GGGGGCCCCCACTTTACAAAATAATTACTATTAAATTTGCTTTGCATGTTGTTAAGGTAAATGAATAATGAGAAATATCTTTTATTATATAATTATACATTTACTTCTTCTGAAAAAAAGTATATTTAGAAAAAAAAGGTTTTCTGTCTTGCAGATTTCGATAAATTAAAATATGATCTAGATTCTAATAAAATGTGTTTGTAAAGTAATATTTAAAAAATATGAAAAAAATGTGTTTAATTAATATCATAAGCTTCTAATTAAATCTTCCGTAAAAGCGCATTGATTGCTCCCCGAATTCATTGGCACGTGTCATACGTTTTTTTTTCTTCCTATCAATAGAAAAGACCTTGTCTGTGCATTATCTAGTTAAAGAAAATAAAGACAGAACAGAAGTTAAATTTTGTAGAAATTACAGTGAGATTACGCAATCGGTTATCTTACTTGCAATATACCTGATAAGAAAGCTTGTTGCTGCTAGTTTCGAACTGTCAATTCCGTGTATTATAATAATACAATAATTCAATAAATATGTTAACACAAACCTAAATTTTGATTATTGAAAAGTGGGCCGAGTTGACCCGTGCCGATTTTTGGAATAGGGCTGAGCTGACTGGGGGGCCGAGTACGTTTTAGGGCCGAGCTGACCGGATTCGATTAATAGCTTGTTTGGCTTTCGATTTTTTGGGCAGAGCTCCAGATAATTTTTTTGGCCAAGGGGTTTTACCTCTCAAAATTAGAGTGAGGGGTAAAATTAAAATTTAAAAAACTTAGGGGTAAATCTGTTCAAAAAGCATTTTGCATTTTTTAAAAACAAATTAAACTGATTGTTTTTGTTTGTTTGTTTATTTTCTTTTTTTAGAAAAACCTTTAACAAATAAAATACTGATTCAATGCAAAACAATACTATTGTTTCACATGTGAATACAAAACATGCCCTGCAAAGTCAGACTCCCAGAGTATACTGGAACTCAAGTTTAGGATACACAGCAAAATTATCAGGCTTCCATTTTCAAAATTTGGAAGTCAAATACATTAAAATCTCTGATATTGGAAGTCACATTATATAGGTAAAGAAGGAAAAGTATTAGATTTTCGGAAGTCACAAGCCAAAATGAAGGAATAAATGACTCCCAAACTTCCACTAGTGGAAGCCCTGAAATTATTTTATTTTCTAGGAGTCCATATTTTTCTTTCTTTATTTCTGTTGGCATGTACCTTATCATGTACTCCAGTTTGAACAGTTATAGTTGAAATTATAATTAAAGAAAAATAAACAAGATTTTTTATCTTTCCTTAAAAAGGTATTGGTCTCAGACAACTCTGAGAGAAAATTGTCCGTAACTGTAGACTGGGTACGAAAAAATTGAGTACAAAACTGCAGGTGAAAAACATGTTATTTTGTTCCAACAACAAAAGTGAAAGAAATTAAAATATATTTTTGTTATAATATTGAGGCATAAGCATGTCAATAGATGCCTAAACAAACAATACTATGTTAAATCCTATGATGATTAGCTGGCTAATTTCACAGGTTGGATCTACGAGAGTTATCTCCCTTCTGTACTTCCTGTTACTTTCGTTTTTAACATGCGTTGTTGACAACAGAATTTTTAGTTTTCAAAGCAATAAAATGGAAATATATTGATTTTTATGCTAAAAACATCCTCTTTCTAAATATCAAATGTTTACACTTCTATTCTTTCACGCTTAAATTTTGACATACAAGCGTATTTTCATTTTGTTGTGCGTAACTTTGACGCATGGATTTTGAAAGTGATGCGTATTTTAGATTTTCTATGCGTATTTTACGCTGATACGCACGCTATCTGGAGCTCTGCTTTGTCATCTCAAGATGTCGAGAAAAAGTAGCTTTTGGTTGCATTTAAATAACACCAATTAAAAATAGTTTAAAAAATTTTATTAAAATTTTTTTTTTTTTCATTAATTTTAATTTTTTCTACCCTTTAAAAAGAAAAAAAAAAACCGAAAAAAATTTTTAAAATTTGGCTCTGATAATTGCTAAATTCCCGGGTGACGGAAAAGGGAAGTTTGTCCATTTAAGGAAAGTCTGAAAGTTAGTAAAATTCATTCAAAAATTTTTTGTCAGCCCCTGGTGGGGCTTTAAATTAAGGCAAATTTTAATTGATTGTGCTTTTATGTTTGATATTTTTTAGTATTTGAAAATAAAAAACAAATGATAAGCTAAAAAATAATGACATTATAACTTATAAAATGCAACTTTGACCTTTTATAAAGATAGTTTTAACAAGATGTTCATATTATTTTTTTTACAAAAATGATGGAGCATTTTTATTAAAGTGAAAACGAGGAAAAAAGCGGAATTGTTTAAAAATTTTTTAAAAGACACAAAATAAAAATATAAATTTTCGATTTCCCATAAAATTTTAAAAAGTGCTGTACGAAAACAATACAGTGCTCCTGGTAGTCGTCCTGACTTACTTTTATGGAGATTTTGCACAGTTAAATATTAAATTGTTATTACAAATTAAATTTGAGATTGTTAAAATTTCCCTAGCTCTTAAAACCTCAAAAGTGTCCATAAATAAAAAAATATATATTCCATTTTTAAAATGATTAAAAAATTTTTACATTTTAGATAACCTCAGAAAAAAATAGTCGGTCTTAAAAAGAATCTGTCAATTTTTGATGTTTAACACTGTAGCCCCTGCAGATATAAGAAGGCCAACACAAAATTGATTTCCCATTTTTTATAGTGGGAAACAATGTCTTTTTTTTGTCAGAAAAAATTACCTTTTTTTTTTTTTAGTCAAAAAAAAAAAAAAATGTTATTTTTTCATGTATGATTGACATCTAGAATTATTGTAAGTGAATTTGATTTTGATATTTAAAAAAAAATTTACGCAAAAAGGAACTTAAAAATCCGATAAAGTTTTTGGTTGTTATTTAAGCTTTTATTTTTCTAACAAGAACTGTATATTGTACATGTAAATGAACATTTATATGGGATATTATAAAGCACGGCAAATCTCTGGTTGATTTTCCCATCTGGATTGTTTTTTCTTTTTCTAAAACCTGTCCTCAGTGATTTGACACTTGCTGTTAAAGTTGTCAGCGTGGAAAGAGCGGAAATGCAAAAATTGCTTTGAGCTGTACTGTTAATCTAATTATTAAACAATGCTAATAATATAAAAGTTACATCATGATATAATAATATTAATGTTTATTGATTTATGTTATCCCATGATAACATTTGACTGGCCTATTGTATGTCACTAACTAATTATACACATGAGTCTAGGAAAGACCGCTGTTTATCACCGTTGATTACTTAGAAAAGTAAATTAATTAAATACTAAGAGTAATTAAATGAATTTAAAGAATACCTTAAGTCTTCTTAAAAAACGGATATTTTTTGTATGGTTTTAAATCATAAATATGAATACTCAATTAAGATTATCAATATTGTAGGTTCCAAAAATCATTATTTATAAAGATATTACCGAATTTAACATTTCAAGTAAATAAAGGGAGGTAATAAAAATTTTATTTTCTATAAAGTTTAAGTAAGAAATGAATGCATAAATTTTAATGATAACATATATAATAATATGCACAAATATATGCAGCTACATATTTTACATGTTCTTCGATGTTTGAAAATTGTTTTATTTGCATAATTATGTACATATATATAATTTCACTTAGTGTGATTAACCACTTTGATCACAACATACAGGATCTTTAATGGCTATAAAAAATATCAATCCAGGGATTTTTTCCAGGATTTTGGGAACCCATGGAATTGGGAATGTCAGCGATGTTTTGTTAAAGATTGGGAAAAAATGCATGACCGAAATTTTACTGTGATTAAATGGATACAAACAGTTACTGTCCAAGATGGCATCTTCAAACATTTAAAAACTATTAAAGTGAAGAAGCCCTTATTTTCAAAGATTTTAGAATTTTTATTCAACATTATTTTGTAACTTTCAATTGGGAATTTTTTCCTGTGGATTGGGAAAATAATATACTATTTTCAATTTGGAATATGACCCAAAAATGGCTATAAAATAAGCCAAAAAAATTCCCTGCAATCATCATTAAATTTGATATAAATGTGATAGACTTTGGATTATCATTATGGATTAAACAACTTTCAACCCCTGCAACTTGTTATAAAACAACGCCGAACGGTGATGACCGGCCATTTTGTCAAAAATTAAAAGTACAAAACCTACTTTGCACTGTTCCGCTCTCCGCATTTTTGACAAAGTGGCCGATTATCTCCATTATTTTGCAAGATTTTGACAAGTTGGAGTTTAACCAAAATCAAAGTGTACCCTAGGGTACCTGAATTGTTTCAGTCTTTGCAGTAAATCAATATCAGAAACCAAAAAAAATATTTTGACAGGTAAATGTATTAATATTGTCGTAATATAGATACTAAATATACAAAAAACAGGTAACACAGCTTCCCCGCTTGAACTGCCCTGAAGTATATATTACTTTTCTTTTGTGAAATGTACAGTTATCACTATTGTTTCTATTCTTAATCATGCATTGACAAAACTGAATTTATAAAGTTTTGTGATTTCTTCATGTAAATTTCATAGAAAGCAACTAAAAGTGTTTTTATTACTATTTTCAGAAACATTAATTCCTAAAAGAACACAAAAATGACTTCTTTGCCCAGCCAACCTGGGGCGCCAAAGCGGAAGGAGATCTATAAGTATGAGGCACCTTGGTGTGTATACAGTATAACGGATATCCGCCTGAAAAGCGACAAACTTTTGGGCACGTTGAAAATATAAAATAAGTAGGGTATAACGGGGTTTCTTTAAAAAGGGCGGAAAGGGGCCAAAATTGCCTGTCTAAATCATTTGGCCCCTCAAAAAAGAAAACCCTTTTTGTTATCGAAAAGACAAAAAAGACCCCTCAATTCAAAACAAAACCTTCTGAAAAAAAAATGTTAATGACAACCCTGCGGTATATCATAATGATGCCTCTCAACCAACAGTTAAGGACTAAGAGAGATTTCTACAGTTGCAACTATGTGTTGTTACATGACCAGTCACTGTCTCTGTAAAGTGTTATGGCTTAAACATAATTTTCAGTGAAATTTTTCACAAGGGGGATTGAAAAAATAAAAAACCCTTTAAACTTTGTCTTGGACCAAAAGTTAAAACTTGCCACCAAAGACGGGCATTCTGGTACCCTTTGCAGTTGTAGCTCTATACTTTTGACTGACTAACTTTGAATTTTTATCTTGATATTTCCAAAATTAAGAAATTTAGTACAAACAGTTTTAAAGTGTCACATATAATATATTTATCTCATTTTAATCTTTTTAAAAAAGCTGTAAGAAAGCACTGTTGTAAAACTGCAACAAGTAAAGTAATTGAATTAATATGATATGATACTTTATCGTAAGAAAAGAAGATGTTGTTTTATTTTAGGTACAAATTGTGTCATTAGATGAGGACACATCAGAATTTACGTCCAAAGGAACATTTGATCACCCTTATCCAACTACTAAAATCATGTGGATTCCAGATACAGTAAGTTTGTGTTAATATACCTACATCTTAATTTCAGCCCAGGGTTCGACACTAACTGTTTTAACAAGGGATCCCATAGGAATCCCTGAGATTTAATTCAGGGATTCCTCCTAAATGTCAGGGATTCCTCAGATCAAAATAGTAAAATATGAAGGCGAAGAATAACAAGGGAGTGCAGCAATCCGATTTCAAATTCTTTTTTTAAAGACCACATACATGATATATTGCCTTGTTTCAGATGCAGAAAATGTAGTTTATGAGCCTTTTGGGTTTTTTTTGTTTGCTTGGATTTTTACGGCACGTCAACACATAACTGGCCATATGAGCCCTTTGGAAATATTGCTGTTTAAAGTTTTAAAAGTGTTTCAAAGTGTTTAACTTTACTAGTATATATATAATTGGACTGCTAAGATAAATTAAAACATTAATACATTTTTACATGCACGTAAAAAGAATAACATTAAGCTCACCCACTGAACAAGAGTTCGATTTTGAAAATAATAAAACCTGTTTTCTCCCTAGTGTTGATAATTGTTGAACCAGTTTCTGTAAATGAAGGTATAATGCAAGTGACTGGGCAATGGGACTTAGGGTTTGAACTTTTTAAGTTAAGTAGGAACTGGGAAACATTTTCCCAGATAGCCTAGGGTTCACTGAAATAGAGCCAACATATCATCTGTAGATCTTTAAAAACTTACAGGTAATGATTAGGCTCCAAATTCCAGTAAGTTCTGGTATGGGATAACTTTTAGAAAATATTTTTACTTTCATGTCATTTAAAAAGAAAAGTTTAATTATGATCACTTTAAAAAAATAAGTGATTTTCAGCTTACTGTACACTTTTTGTGTGTTTAAAAGGAAATATCCCATAGATTGTTGTAAATAAAATATTTTGTTAAAATTTTACTAAAGCTAAAATATCAAGAAAAAAGTTTTGTTTGCATTACAAGTAGGTACCTTCAAATGATTTCGTTTTTAAAAGTAAAAAGTTGCACCAAGTTCCATGACAGGATGTGTAATATCCAAATTTATTGTTCTCAATTTTTACACTAAAATGTTTCCGATTCTTTTCCTCCCTATGTGTATTGATTTTTTTTAAGTTTTGACATATGCCACATCAAAGGCACTCACGGCATACAGCAGTCATGTAGTTCAGAACACTGATTGGCCCAAAGAACTGTCAGATGAAATATACGTCATTTGGTGTATGTTTCACCTAAGGATTTTTCTATTTTTTTGTCGGTAAATTATGCGTGACCTTGATTGACCTTAGAACACTTCAGTCTTTAGTTAGACAATATTTTTTAGCATTTAAGGCTGCAGAGTTTCAAAAAGGATTTTAAACTGAAAAGTATGGATTCTTTTTATTCTATTTATTAATTATACTTTTGCTGTACTACAGGGAGAAAAAAAATACATCAGTAATCTTTTTGTTTTTTCACTTTTTTTTACGAAAATTTACAATGATCACAAATGCCGAAGTTTGGCACACAAAAAAAACAAACACGTACTTGTTAACTTCCTAGCTACCGCCGGCAACGCCGATCTGCGGTCTCCCTAATTACCGACAAGAACCGTCAGGAACCGACAAGAACCGACAAGAAGTAAAAATAGGAAAATACGAATTAATTTCACTTATTCATCATTTAAAAATAACAATTCCTAATAATTTTTACATTAAAAACATAATAAATTCGTTGTGAACCATGTTTATAGGCAAATATCTATACCGACAAGAAGTCAGTCTCAGTTTCTCACCGTCAAGAACTCGGCCATCTTCGTATCATTGATATTACATTAAGAATTTGTGTATAAGTGTTAAATCATAATTATTTTTATTAAGATTATGTTGTATTATAAATAATAATTATTATGTTAAATGTTTTCTAATTCAATTAAGAATATCATCATTAATCGATCTGCACATATTTGAAGTACACACCGCTCGTGTAAAAAATTATACGATAATTATATTTCTTTCTTGAATTTTCACAACTTAATATTATGAAGTCAATGTATGATATAAAATTATTCAAGAATGTTTCTTTAGCCAAAATACCTTTCATTATATATCGCAAACGAGTTGATAGCAGTCACTGCACAAAGGAAATCTGGCGTACATGATTCAAGAGCGTAGATTTTACCGGCGGGATTTTACTTTTCTTTCTTGAACATTGCAGTTGTGCCAGTCTTTAAAAACATTTTTCTTGAATATTTGTGATTCAATATTAATTCAGACAATTTCAAAAATTTACACAGCAATTTTTCAGGGATCCCAACGGAATCCCCAGCTAGGAATCACAGAGATTCCTCCCGACTTTTTGGGATCCTCGGAATCCCGGGATCCCGTTAATGTCGAACCCTGTCAGCATATATATGGCAATTTAACATTATTAATCCATTGAGTTAATGATTTGCCTACAAGAATGTCACAGGGCGTCCTCGGCCGAGTGGTTAAGGTTGTTGACTTCAAACCACTTGCCCCTCACTGGTGTGGGTTTGATTCCCGACAGGGTCTTTGGATTCTTTCATCGGTGGTTCTACTCAGGTGCCCGTTTGTGTCTGAAGTAACGCACCTGAGGTCTTCCTTCACCAGTAAAGCTGGAATGTTGCCAAATGACCTATACTGTGTCGGTGTGACGTAGAACCCAATTAAACAAACAAGAATTTCACAAATTTGTGCAATGAGAACAGATTCTATACTGCCGGGTACTGTTTAATATAGAGTTCCAATTCAATGTAGGCATGTCTATTTTTCAAGTTCAGCAGGGTAAGGATCAAATATTGTTATAATTCAGTTATAGTGTAAGAACTTTCGGGTCAAAAATTGCTAAAATTTTTCCAGAGGTTTAAAGATATGTGGTAGGTTTTTTTTGAAACTATAGGAATGAACATCGGATAAATTTTCACCAAAGTCTGATGATCTGAACTTTAGTTAAATTTTTCATACCACCCAAAATATTCATGTATACGCTCTTATGTGTTTATACTTTTTAGAGTAATGGTTAGTTATTGTGAACAGTTTGAGTGTTGTTTGATTCAGTAATTTTCACCTTATTCATTCTATTCTCTATTCGTTTGAGTTATTCTATGTTTTGCATCTATTCTATAAAATTGTTTGTTACAGAAAGGGGTATTTCCAGATCTCCTAGCAACAAGTGGAGATTATCTAAGGGTGTGGAGAGTTGGTGATACAGAAACCAGACTGGAATGTTTACTCAATAATGTAAGTTTTTTCTTTGTTCTATATATGAATATTTTTCAGGTTTAATAATGGCAGTGACAAAAATAATGTGTTCAAGTTTCAATTTCTTATCATTATCTTATCATTAATATTTTAAGGCAATCTTTAAAGACTTGTTAACCCTCTTTATTATTAGCATAGTTATATAAACTTTTTATAAGTTATTTAAGTAAGGTGAAGCTTTTCAAATGGCTCATTATTCTATTGCACTTTAAAGACAGCTCCTGAATAAAAACGAAACTTAATTAAGTCTATGCACTTTTTCCAGGCTATAAACTTTAATTGCTTTGTCTAGTGACATTTCAGTTCAATTTAAGTTTACTCATATTAAGATTTTTGGCACATACACAACATTTTAACAGTATTATACAAACAACATGTAAGTGTTGACAAGGCAACAGTGACATATGTATAGTTCTAAATAGAATACAGTTATGAGTTGCAACCCAGCAAACAAAAGACGTTGTACCAACGTTGTACTGACGTTAGACCCTGACGTTGGGTAAACGTTGGCAGAAGGTTGGATTTGAAAGTTTTTTAGACGTCAGAAAACCGACGTCTATACAACGTCATATAATGACCTTTATCCAACCTTTTCTGACCATAATCCAACTTTTTCTGACCATTATCTGACCATAATCCAACCTTTCCTGACCATTATTTAGACATAATCCGACCTTTTCTGACCATAATCCAACCTTTTCTGACCATTATCTGACCTTAATCCAACCTTTTCTGACCATTATCTGACCTTAATCCAACCTTATCTGACCATATTTTCTGACCATGATTTAGACTCTTACCTCATTCAAAACTTTTGGAATACGATTTTTTTTCATAATAGGGTAAACAAATAAGCATTCTTATAATTTTAGCAATTTATTTGTATACTCGGAATCACAAGTTCCAAACAAGAAATGTGGTACGATAACAAATGCAAGATTTACATAATATTTTTTGAAACTATTAAACTTGACAGTATGTACTTTAATTAAATAATCATGTTTTAGAAATTAGATACACAAAATTCTTCTTGAATATTACCACTGACATTTTGTATAGTAAACATCCATGCATGTGTTTTTTTTATATCACCACTGATCATGATCTGATCACCCTGATTTTGGGATTTTCCAATCATCTATCCAGTCCACTGATTGTATATTTGTCTTTGTATGTTATAACTGAATCTAGATCTGAATGTTAAATGGAACAATATTCTGAATATTTTGTTATTACTATAAATACTATTAATTTTTATGTATTTTCTTTCGTCCTCCTCCACTGTGTCGATCTGGGGCATACTTTAAGCGTATCATTACCGTTTCCAACCTGAGATCTCATCACACTTTCTGAAATTAAAAAAATAAAATAATCAATTACAAGTGCAAGAAATAAATCACTTTTACATATCATAATTAAACGAAATTCTAACAAACTCTACAGCTACTTAAAAAAAAGATATTTAATATTTTCTATCTAGTTTAAACCATATGTAGTTAAGTGTACCTATATATCTATTGATTTTGATAAAAATAGCTTCGTGAATTTCATTATAAAATCAAGGGTAATCAGATCACTGTATTTTCTATAATATTTTGAAATATACCTGTCACAAAATCTTGGTAGGTTTTCATTTTTCTTTTCCTCTTAATACTTTCATCTTCCTCCTGAACTTTTGCAGGATGTTGAATAATCATAATTTCCACAATCTGAAAGACGAAATATAATCATTTTAGAATTTAACCATGTGGTGGAAGGATGTTTGTCTAATACAATAGGCAAAATCAAAATACTATTAATCTAGCTTAGTTAATTCATAAGGGCATGAAAAACAAACATAACAAATACCAAATTAATTCTACTCCCGCAAAAAAATGATACTGTTATTTTTTATATTCAATGTAATTTATACAAATTTTCATACAACATCAAAGAAATTCACATGTTACTGTCATTTTTATAGATATCATCTCTGCCCAGCATGATCCGATCTGCTAAGTGTATATAGGACAGACTGGCTTAGTGTACAAACGTTTTATGATATGAACATATAACTTGGTTGATAAGCAGGCTAATTAACAAACTATTACTTTTATTGATTTATGACTATGATAATGTGTTTTCTGATTTATAATATGTTGTTTGATTACATTAATAAAAAGATAGCTAGTCAAAAACAATGTGCTTTCAGATATATCTTACCAAAGTCGTATCATTTACATGTATCAAATGCCATGAATCATTATCATAATATAAGAAACACATGGTATGCTTACAGTATCGGTAAAGTACTTCAATTAACAACGAGTAGTTTAACAACTAATCAAACTGTGCATCTGATACATGTGTAAATGACTGGCCCCTTATGTAAGGGAAATTCATGTTGATAAGAAATAAGAGGGAATTTTATTTACCAGCATTTGAATAATAAGAGTCTAAGGTACTGCATTTAACTTTTTATTGATTTCAATTGCTCGGATATTTACTACCATTGATTGTGCATTTTAAAATTTTATTTGGCTTGGCGATATAGTGTGGGGAAAATGATCCGATGATACAGACTGTTCTATAGTAAATAATATAGTGCTCTTACGAGGAAACAAAAATGTTTATCTCGCGAAATCACGTGACATTAGGTTTTACCAGTCAAACATTACAATGATCAAATAGCCATCGAATCCATGCAAACATGCGGTAAATAAGCATTGAAAAACAATATATATAATGTTTGCCTACCTTTTCATTTTGTTTGGAATATTCAACTTTGTCTGTCAACTCGTTGTTTTTTTTGTCCGCCAATACAATTGAATTTCAAATCCGATATATGTCGCCAATTCGAATTTACTAAATTATTTACCGCTATAAAATAAAGCCCTCAAAAATGATAAAAACTTCATTGTAAATTATATAAAAGATCTTAGACTAATTCGAGGAGATAAGATATTATTTAAACGAAAATAGAGCAAATATATTTCATACTGATCTGTGACTATTCGTTTACCGAGCGCCACCTATCGAATATCGTACGTAGCCACCCACGTGATACTGTTATTGTTTTGATGGAGAAAATAAATATATCATTTTCCCTTTCTAAACTTAAATTTAAAATTCTAGCTGTTTATGCTTTCATTTATATATATATATTGGTTTCATAAATTAAATTCACCTATTGTCAGATTACCGACCAAAACCCGACGTGAGTCGACGTCAAAATGAAACGTCAGAGATTCAACGTCGGTTTAACGTTGTATGAAGGTCACCGACGTCGCGACCAAAATTCAACGTTGAACCAACGTTGTGTCAACGTCGGGTGTTTGCTGGGAAGTAATATAATTGAAAACTGATTGAAAAAATTGTGTCTAATAATATAAATACATTGCAGTTGACACTGTTTTGACAATATAGTAGCCCATTGTGTATTAAAGTGTTTAAAGTAAATATTATTTTCAAACACTATTTACAGTTGATACTTTGTATATTTCAGAACAAGAATTCTGATTTCTGTGCTCCTTTGACGTCATTTGATTGGAATGAAGTGGATCCTAACTTGTTAGGGACATCAAGTATTGATACAACATGTACAATCTGGGGACTTGAGGTAAGGAATTATGTTTCATCCACAACATGATATGTCATTTGATTCTAGGCAATGTACAACTGGTGTTTGCAAAGAAGCTGCACAGAGTAGAGTGCTGTACAACCCCAGTAGAGTAACACCCTTAATGTTTTATGGAGACAGATTTATAGTTGTTTTAAGATTTGTTGCTCTATAGAAGTTGAATTCATTATAAAGACTTATCTGGGGGGGGGGGGATTTTTGTCGCAAAGAGTTTATTCCTCAATGTGGGTATTAGACTGAAGTGTGTCATGTTTTAGGAGAATATAGAAAGGATTTTGAACTGTGCCATAAATCATGTAGATTTCAGTATACAGAAACATTGTAACATGTTACTGTTTAGATGCTGTATGTTATGTTTTCCAGTCCACAAGCGGACAACTTAACCTTGGCAGTAACATTTTCATTCTGTTTACTTGAAGATTTTTGCTAGAATATCAATATATATGACTTACTTCTGGATAGGAACTGTTTGGTACATTGAAATATGACTGTATTTCCTTAATAACATTCACCTTAAAGATAAATCCCAATTTTGATTTTCACCATAAGCTTGTGAATAAACTTCTCATCTTGTATCATAGACAGGGCAAGTGTTAGGACGTGTGAACGTTGTGTCAGGCCATGTGAAAACTCAGTTGATAGCACATGATAAGGAAGTTTATGATATTGCATTTAGTCGAGCTGGTGGTGGACGGGATATGTTTGCCAGTGTTGGTGAGTAAATATTTCTTGTTACTTATTTAGCTTTCTATATCAAACATTGATTATGTTGATTAAACTTAAGCTGTCATTCTTAGCCTTCTTTGTTGTTACACTTCTTATTTTGCTGTTTAATTGATTTATCATTGTTATTTAAATATTTTTAAAGTATTGAAATTGTTTAGAAAGGGCAGAATTGGTTAGAAAAAAAATAGAATTTGTTTCTCTTTTAACAACTTTTCTCAGGCTTTTAGTTTTTTTTCTGTAAAAACAATATATAACTTACTTTATAAGTAATGAGAATAAATTCATTTTTTAGCTCCACTATTCGATGAGAATAAGTAGAGCTATCCTAGTCAACCGAGCCTCGGCATCGGTGTCAGCGTTGCGTAACCAATTATGTTAAAGTTTTTGTACCACCTCAAATATTTTCATGTACATTGATATATGGCTTTGAAACTTTGCACATTTGTTCACCATCAAGGTGTACAAAGGAGGAGGTAACTCTATCAAGCATTATTGCTATATGACTGCAACAGTTTTGATGTGATTTAAAATCGCAACAAAAATTGGGAATAACTTTACATCTTACTCTAATGTTGGAAAATAACATTAATGATACATGACACAGGTGCTGATGGCTCAGTAAGAATGTTTGATCTACGTCATCTTGAGCACTCCACCATTATATACGAGGATCCCCAACATCATCCATTGTTACGTCTGGGATGGAATAAACAAGATCCTAACTACCTAGCTACCATGGCAATGGACGCTTTAGAGGTTTGTGTAACTTTTATGACAGTAAAATTATAATTATATATATAATTTTTTTCTGTATTATCATTACGATGTTGTGTATTTTATTATTATGATTATACACTTACTGTAGAAAATTAGAATCAGGCTTTTATTTGTGCAATTTACTGTTTTTAAAAATGAATCTTTGCAAAAGTAAACATTCATTTAAGTATAACTGTATATAAGAGAATGTTATTCAATAGATAAGGTGAATATCAGACTTAACAGTTGTATCAAAAAGAGGCTAGTGATACAGGGTCCTGGGAATTTGTGGTCCTGGTCACAAGTTCTTGTTTATATTGGCAAAATGATAGGCAGAATATGTATAATTTATACAACTGTATTTTGTTTTAACAGGTGATTATTTTAGATGTAAGGGTACCTTGTACCCCTGTAGCCAGACTTAACAACCATAGAGCTTGTGTAAATGGGATAGCATGGGCACCACATTCCAGCTGCCATATATGTACTGCTGGTATGTGTTGATTAGGATTTAATAACATGTTGATAAGATTTTATAGCGTGAACATACACTTGCATTTGATTAAACATAGTTTTATTTAAGCTGGAGTTTGAAGAAACGTTATAGTTAATTTGAACAAGTCTCTAAATTTGAACTAAGCAGTACCTGTGTCATAAATGAATGAGGAAATATGATAAAAAATTACAACTACAATCCCTATGTTTAGAGGCAGACACATTAATCATTAAGCAACTTATCCCCACTGGTATTTGATTTAAGGCTGTGATCAAGTTTTTGGTACCTCACAATTTTTAGCTCGACTTTTCTATGAAAAGGGGAGCTATCCTACTCGCCCCGGCGTCGGCGTCGGCGTTGGCGTCACACCTTGGTTAAGTTTTTCGTACCACCCCACTTTATTTCAGAAGTATTACAAGTATGGCTTTGAAACTTACCATACTTGTTCACCATCATAACCTCCATCTACAGACAAGAGTACATAACTCTGTCAAGGTTTTTGACAGAATTATGGCCCTTTTTTGACTTAGAAAGTGTATTGAGCTTGGTTAAGTTTTTTGTACCACCTCACTTTATTTCAAAACCATTGGAGGTATTGCTTTGAAACTGACCATACTTGTTTACCATCACGACCTTCATCAACAGACAAGAGGACATAACTCTGTCAAGGTTTTTGACAGAATTATGCCCCTTTTTGACTTAGAAAATACATTGAATATGGGTAAAATCCACTTATTGCCTTAACCCTTTGAGATATTGCTTTGAAACTTTTAATGCTATTTCACATCATTACCCCCATCTGTACGCAAGAGAAGGTAACTCTGTCAAGGATTTGTTTTAAAAATTAAGGCCTTTTATCGACTTAGAATCTTGGTTAAGTTTTTAGTACCAGTCCACTTTTTGACTGAACTGTTTGAGATATTAATTTGAAAGTTGGAATACTTGTTTACAATCATGATTTTTTTTCTTTCTTACCAGCCCTCTTTTGACTTAAACATTTCAAACTTTGCTGCAGTGTTCAAGGGTATCACACAATTCAGTAAAATAATTCTTCACTAAATATCTTAATGCTCATGGCCATTGTTCACTTTAAAAATACAGAGATTCTTGTATTGCCTTTTACTGCAAAAACTTTTTTTATTGGCAAGCAATAAAAAAGTCGAGCGCGCTGTCTTACGGACAGCTCTTGTTTGTAATCAACTTGTTTTGCTTTGGTTCTGAAATTTTAATCATAAACTTAAGGGAATACAAAATCAAAATACCAATTTTGAACAACCAACTGTAGCTTGTAAACCTTGTTTGCCTCTTTCTGTTGGGGAGTAACCTAATCACATTCCATCCTAGTGTAAAATAATTATATTAAAAATTATTAAAAAAATGTAGATTTAATTTTGATTGCATACTTTAGTAGTAATTATTGCATTAAAATAGTTTCTCTAAATATTTTTTTTTTTATTTGTTTAGGTGATGATCACCAGGCATTGATCTGGGATATACAGCAGATGCCTAGAGCTATTGAGGATCCTATACTTGCTTACACTGCAGCAGGAGAAATCAACCAAATACAGTGGTCATCTACACAGCCAGACTGGATTGCCATTTGTTATAACAACTGTCTCGAAATATTGCGGGTGTGACAACAAAAATAAGGACTTTTTTTAGAGGGATATTTGGATAATGTGTTTAAAAAGTCCTTTTTTTTGTGTGAACTTTTGATGTTTTAAACATTGAAAACAAGTTGCTATGGTTGGCTGACAAACTTTTCTTGTTTTTATGAGTTTCAAGTCAGAAAATGTTTGTTTCCAAGAATAAGATTGGAAGGAATGAGACTACAAAGAAAACTTGCTTTTCAAACTAAGTATTGAAATTATGGCGTTGTGTCTGTAGCCTGAATGATTTGAAAAATATTTTCCTTGCTAAGACAAACATTTATGCTTATGATAAGGAGGTGGAAAGGATCCTAGTTTATTCATTTCGTAATAATGAGCAGTGTAAAGTTAACTGAAAAAGAAGTCTTCACAATCATTTTGCAAGAAGTTTCGTATAGATCCTTTTGTGATTGAAATATGAGTTTGTAAGATCTGTTTGACTTGAACCAACATGTTATTTATATATGAATAATGAGACTTCATTAAGTCTTATGTTGTCATATTTTTAATGGTATTTATGAAACAGGGGAGAGAATATCATTATGTAAGGCCTATCGTAATGTAGTCAAGGAAAGATGAATAAACATGAAGATGAAAACAAACAAACACATTATTTGGCATGATATTATTATTCATGTGATAAGTAAATTGATTAAGGAAAAGATACATGAATACCTTTGCTTGAAAATTGAAAAAAGCTCTTGTATTTATCACTTTCAAGTCTACTTTTTGGAAAACTAACCATTACAGATGTCATGTAAGGAGAAACCAGGTCTTTACCCATATAGAGCTAAAAACCACTGACCCGGGGTTTACATGCTGATTTATTTCGCAAGACAAAGAAAAATACATCAGCAAATTTATTGTATTCATTAATAATAACAGTGAAAATAGAAATGTTGATTGTATGACTTGAAGATTCTGAAAAATTTATGAAATGATGTCAAGAAACAAGTACATGTAAAATTATTAAGAAAATCATGACAGGCAAAGAAACCAAGTTTAAATAATATGAATTTACTAGTGAATTTATTTGTTTTAAAGGAAGGCTGGATTTACTTTAATACATGAGGGTAGTTTAATTATGATGTAAGACTTCTGTGACTTTATTCTGTCATTTAAATGTAATATACATTTTGCATCAAATTATCATGATGAAAAGTTACATACAGTCAACTATCGTTATCTCGACATCGCTTTCCTCGATATTTCGTTATCTCGATGAAATTATGAAAGTCCCGATTTTCTTCCTTCTTTTATCTATTATGGATATTTTGTTTATCTCGATATTTTTATATCGATATTTTCAGTATCTCGATGTAAAATTTCAGCCCCAACAGTTATTTTCACACTATTATCCTTTGTTTATCTCGACTAATAGTTTTTGTCTGTTCCCTTAAGACATGTGAAAAACACAAACCTGACGATAATTGCTCAATAGCGCGTGTCATAATGATGATTATGTTTGTAACAAAATGAGCTGTTATTATAAAAGTTAATCTAAGTAGCGTGTTGATTGACTGATGTCCAAAATGAGTGAATTTTACGTTCTTTATAAATATTCGAACACTGTATTAATTCATTATGACTTTAAATGTAAATGAAATAGTGAAAGTATAGAAACGTTATTGGAACAATATTGTTTCACAACATCAACAAATCAAACAGCGATCAAACAATCTCGAGAAGGACCCGATAACTAACCCGGGAGGGTATCCGGATCAACTACACAGGAAACAATTTTTCCACTATGTTGGTGTATTACTGAGTAAACCTCACTATGTGTTTTTATCACAGACACCCGTATTTCCGCTGGTAAACATCTGCTGATGTTACTTTGTTAAATATTGACTAGGCTTATGAAAACAAGACATGGAGATATCACAGTTTAATTGCCATAAGGTATGCACATGTCTTTTGTAAAAATAAGTTTCTGCCTTGTCCAAACCCTAATATGTTTATCTCGACATTTCGCTATCTCGATATTTTTTGGACGGTCCCGATGACTTCGAGATAACGAGAGTTGACTGAATATTATGTGCTTTTTTTCAGTCATTTGTAAATATTTGTACATATCAGAATTTTTTTTTAAGAGTCATATTGTATATTTTGAGTTTCATTTTTACTTGCTTGCTATTTGTCCCATGTTATATTGCATTATATATGAATTATGTACACCTGAAATTTTTGCTGAAAAAAAGATTTTTAATATATATGTTTAATGTTACTTTTAAAACATAACAGTTTATAATTTTCAGTGTTTAAAATAATAATGCATTCTTGTTAGAGACAATGCTGTGTTTAAAAAAAAATTACACTGAAATTAATTGCTTTGACTTTGCTTTGATAGGCACATAGATACATGTATAAATATAATCATGTAGAAAATTGAACCATTAATTGTCTTTTTATTTACCACCTTTGCGTATTGAGTATAAATTGAATGATATGGATTTCACATTATTCATGTGACATATTTTCAATTAAAAGTCTATGAAATACCATTACATTTTTTTTCCAGATGTATTTTGTCCCTGTATATTTGTAATATTCAGTACTAGTTCAGTATTTAGCATGTACAGTCTATACAAGTTTAATTTCTCAGAACCATGCAGAAATCATTTTTATGTGTGAAGCAAAATCTTTTTTAAAAATCACAGCAACTCTGAAAAGGATTGTTAGATATTAATTTTGAAATTTCATGTATTGGAAAACAACAGAAAAAATGTGATTTTGTGCTTTTAGATATTAATGTTTTAAGAGTATTTTATTTTATTCCTGTTTGTTATTTGAGTAATGTTTATTTATGTTAACTGTATTAAATGTTGTGCATGCGGATGAAACTGAAAATGGAGTAATATTTTGTATACATTATCATTTTTTTACTGTCGTGAAATATTAAATGGCATTGCTGTATGAGAAAAGTTAATGTTCCAGAAATCTTTTCACAACTTTTATCTGGATTTATGAATCAGCTGTAAGTTAATGTAATTTTTGTTTTAAATTCAACAGAAAAAATATGCTTTTATTTATTTTTTTTCCTTACACTTTCATATATTTTGGCTGTTTGCAGAATTGGTGAATTGCAGCGGAAACTCATTTTATAGAACAACATTTATTATTATTCATGTAATTGGGCATTTATGTGAATCACTGGGGGAATAGTTGAGACTTTTAGTCTACCTTAGTTTAACTATAATATTTCAGGCGTGGGTTTGATCCCGGGAGATGCTTTGGTAGTTTAGCACGGAGGAAGGTAGTCTAGTATTGGTGTAACTCTCCAGGAACAATGGTTAGGAAACTACCCGCCTATATGACTGAAATACTGTTGGGAAAAGGCGTAAAATGAAACAAACAAACTATAATATTTTTATTAACAATTATTATTGTACTCATTAGTTAATTGAAGATCTGAGATTGCATATGTAAAGTTAGATATCTACATATTTGTTAAAATCTTATATAAACATTGAACTTTGTAAAGTATCAAATTGATATATGAAACATTTGAATGTGATATACTTTTAAGAGTTTTAACTTGTATTTATGAAGGTGTTGATAAATTGTTTTATAACAGTTACCTGGTTGGAAGAGAAAGTTATTAGCTTTTACTACCAGTATAGAGTAATGCCAGCCTGTGCATCCGTTCAATCTGTCAATGATAGATACAGTTAATAGCTCAATCTGTGTATTATGCTATTAAAATCCCTTAAATTTTGAATTGTTTGTTCTGAATTCAATGCTAGGGAGATTCATTACACTGATCCAGTAGATAATAAATAGTGGTAGAAAAACACTTGATTATTAGTTGAGTTTAGCAGATAAATTTGTTCCGATATCGTGTTTAGTCTAGTAATTTATTTTGTTTCTTTATAATACACTGTTGGCGATAAGAAATTTCCTATTCTGCCATCATTGTATGGTTATGCCATCCAACACTTGTGTTTGTCTGACCTCAATCTACACTGTTTTAGATGCCTTATTTAAGCATTTAAATATTTAACATCACTTGAATTAACTCTGGAAGTTCAGGATTTAAAGAACTGGTACTCAGCATGGTTTAGTAAAGTAAATACTTAGAATACTTTTTCCTTTTAATACTTGACAAGATTATGAAGATGTGAATAAAAATTGATGTGTTAGGCACATGTCATTTTAACAACATGTTCTTAAGTAAGTTCAAATTCATGCAAAATCAACAACTCTGATGATCATTACTTAGTAAATCTATGTTGGGTATTCATTGTGTCAAAGTATGTGAACATTTTGTATATAAAGATTTGTAGTGCAGTTGATGTACATGGCACTCTAAAATAAAATCATAAAACCATTCTTGGCGTTGATTCTTTTAATATAAAATTTGTCATATATGAATTGTATGGTCCATAAGAGAAATGATTGTTATATTTATATCCGCCAGAGGATTTCACATAATAAGTTTAGTTGACTGCAAAATTAAGTTCCGGTATGTTTTAATACAAATTTTAAAGAAATGTTCAACAATCTCCTATCAAAGGAAAATAAAGAATTTTGTGCACAATTTTGTGTCTAGATCAAAATATTAGTCTGTGCTTGTCAAAAAAGATCTCGGATTATTGATATACCATATACTCGGAGTAAATTGAGGAGAAATGGTTCATATAAGCTTTTATTTGAATGCATAAAAGTATTAGCACCTTACTGCTTTGTTTTTTGTTTTCTGAGGGAGCTATTCTGCAAGATATCTCTTTAGGAAAACTTTGAGTTTTCCTCCATATTCTGAGCTGGAATACGTATTTAAGTTGAACACTTCAATGAAGTGAGTCACAATCAAGATTTAAGATCATATTGTCTTTTTATTTGTTTAATAAGACAGAAAAAATAACAAGAAATACATGACATTTCATAATTTTAGCTCCATTGACAGGAAATATACGGTTGAGTAAAAGTAGTCTAGGTAAGGAAAGTATGATTGTGTTTATAATTATTTTGATTGATGATCTTGACTACGAAATGTGTTTTCAAAGCTGGGCTCATGAGAAGAAATGTTGCTTGGATATTTGCCTTCAGTTGTAAGAAAGTTATTGCTGATGTCAAATTCGTCTTCATGACTAGGAAAGTTGTTGCTTCTTCCATCATCATTTGAATAGTTTTTGTCAATTTCATGATCATGACTAGAAAAGTTCGTGTCAAATTTGTATCCGTGTCTTGGAATTTTGTTGCCAACTTCACTCTCTTGATGAAAGCGGTTCTTGTCAATTTCATGATCAGACGAGTTGTTATAAAGTCCATGGTCTTCATCATGGTCATGGTCGGAAGAGTTGTTTTAAATGCCATGACTAGAAAACGGATTGACATGTTCATTTTCTGCAAGATCCTTCTCATCTATTTTATCAAAGGGCAGAAAGGTATTTAAATTATCTATTCTAGATAAACCATCTTGGATCTTTGTAAAGTCTGGTTGATTGATTTCGTCAAATGAAGATCCGACCTGTTGATCAATGTCAAAATTGGTGCTTTCTTGTTTGTTTGTTGAATGGAAAGTTTATTCCAGGATGATTATCAAATATGTGCTCATTGTCTCCAGGAAATGCTTTATTGTCTTTAAATCTTGCAATGTTTTCATCTTGAATCCGAAAGTTTTCAAAAGAGTCAAAATGGTGTTGTTCTACAGGAATAAGAATATCTTCTGCTCTGAGTAATTGTATAATGAGGTCATGACCAGAAAGTTTGTCATCAGTAGACACGCCTGCTCTGTCCAGAACCTTGCGAAGAGATTTTCTAAAGTATCGCCGTCGCATTAATTGGTCTAACATATTTTGAAAATTGTCATCACTGTTCCATCTTTTCGCCATTCTCTGTATTATTTTCTTTTCCCTTTTTGTTATCAAATTAAGGTTTTGTAGAGTTTTAATGATGTCCTCGGTACTCATACCCAGCAGCTTCTCCTCATACTTAGCGTTTGGATCTTTTAAAATAACAGTTGAAATATTTGGATTTGGCACAAGATCAGAAGTATTATGGATAACCTCTTCCTTGTTCAATTCATCATCGGAATTTTCAGTAAAAGATGCAATCACATCAGTGCCAATTTGATCATACTGCTGCATTTTAGGGACATCAGGTTGTTTGTTTTCTGTGTCTGCCGCTGTGTCCAAAATATTTGCATCTTCTTTTTGTACTACTGGTGATAAAAATGAAGAATCTGATTGTATTTCAACGCTGTTGTTCATATCCGAATGATTTTCCATTTTTTGTTCATCTTCTTGTCGCACCATGTCATTATCGTTTTTTATTTCAGCTGGCTGGCGAGTATTCAATATATCTTTGATATCTTGCAATAAGTTCTTGATTTCGCCGTTCATATGAACATTTTCAGGTGGAGCATTCGATTCATCATGATTTCTTTTAGGCTGTGTATGACCAAAATCGAGATTAGCTTCACGCTGATTGTCCGGGTTAGTCTGATCGTATACTCGTTTGTCTTTCTTGTCGTCCCCGTCTTCGAATTTTTGTTCACCTGCGGAAATTTCATGTCTTGTTCCTTCCTGCAATAATGTTGCTTGTTGGTTATCAAATAAAGGTAAAATTCTGTTCGGAAAGTTCCCATAATGTCCTGCATCAAGTAACGGTTTAGGGAAAGCAGGGTTAACAAAAGCTTTGTTTTTCATGACGCTTTGTCCCGATATTAATCCTGGTAGGCTTGGATACATGCGGCTTGATTCTCTGTAAATATCTGGGACCGTTCGTGTGCGGAACGGACTATTCATGTTTGGCATAACTCCAAAAATATTTGTGTCAGGAGGGGCTTGAACTTTTTGCGACGTAATTGGATAGTCTTGATGTAACCCTTCCAATGATGGTGACGATGATTGATTGTTGTTACCTTGTGGAAGTGACGATCTGCTTTTATTGGTATTTATGGCCTTTGGAGGATTGTTCATGTCTACTTGAACTGTAAGATTTATTTCGTTTGTAGAGGATGGATTGTTTTGCTGGCCAGCAGACTCCTCTGTTGAAACAGTCGGTTTCGGCGGTTCATTCTCTTCTTTCGTTTTACCTTTGCTTAATTTACGTTGTTTACGAAGTTTTCTTCTCCTGTGTATCATTCTTAAAAGAGCTTTTCTTCTTGATAATTTTTCAGCCATTTTTCTTCCCTTCTTTGTTGACAAGATGCGTTTTAACCTTTCGGAATCTAATTTAGCCTGGCGTTTCTGTCTGTCTAAGGTAAATGGGCTACCTGAATATATAAAGTGAAAACGTCTTTATTAAAAAACAACAACACATGTTTACATTTGCGTGAAGTTTATGAATTTAGATTTAGAGATTGTATATAAAATGTTTGCTAGATCCGTCACTTAGCGAACATCAACCAGTTTACTTTTATTTATGATGTGATTGAAATTTATTAAATAGGAATTTTAGAAAGCTTTCGGTATAGTTTGCTTACGTAAAAGTTTTTCTTGTAGAGAATATGACAGAAAGGGCTCCAATGTTTGATCGTTTATAATGTTGTTTATCTCAGGCACTGATATGTCTGTGTCGTGCAGTCTCTTTTTAACATTGCCCCTCATTATAGCTTCATCCATACCCTCTGGTTGACTTTGTTCTGGTGAGAAAAAAGATAAATGAGCCGCGCCATGACAAAACTAACAAATTGCGTTTGCGACCAGCATGGATCCAGACTAGCTTGCGCATTCGCGCAGTCTGATCAGGATACATGCTGTTCGCCTACAAACCCTATTACAAGAGAATCTGATAGTGAACAGCATGGATCCTGACCAGACTGCGCGGATCCATGCTGGTCGCAAACAAACTATTTTGGTTTTGCCATGGCGCGGCTAAAATGTACAATTGTTTTTTGTTTTTTTTTATGTTGGTGGTTTCGCATGTTGTTCAGATGAAAAATGCAAGATGCCGGAGTCATTCAAAGTAAACATGTCTACCCTCAGTTTAAAAAAAGTCCAGTCATTCCATGTTTTGGCTTTTGAAATTTATTTCTCCAAAAGATAAGAGGTTTTTAAGAAAGCGCTAATTAAACAACAACTTAATGTAATAAGGAAACCTAATAATAATCAATGTAAAAGTATATTTTGTTGCTCAGCACATGCATGGCAACAAACAAATTTAAATCACGTTATCTTCGCATTTATCATATCTTCAAAAAAGAACTTTTTACATGTAGTATATAAGGTGATCATTTTTACAGAAATTTCTTCAGGCGTGGAAGCTTTTAGAGAAACATTTGGAAAATGTGGATTTAGGTGCCGGGCCATGTCTGAAATAATGCATGTTTATAGGTGCACCTATTGTGGTTTATCGCTGGAAAATCGCCATATATACATATATTACTTAAAAGACGGAAACAATATAACATTTATTCATTAATATAAGTACAAACATACCATATGTGTTCCTGGTATGAAAGCATTGGACAATTGTAAACAATGTGGCCAACAGTAGAAATGGTGTCAAATCCATTGTAATCTTAAGAAATATTCTGTAATGACAAAACATATGAATGGTTACCATTATTTTGTAAACGATCAAGGATAAGTTTATTTTCAAAGAACGCCGAAAATAGAATGCATATTTATAGACATAAAAAGTTACCATATTTTTTTTTCAAAACCACTTTAAATGAGAAACATCTAATGTTATTTATTGATTTTTCTGAGTTTTTACAAAAAGGTAAAAGAAAAAAAGTATATACAACTTCACAAAAATGTTATTATGTATTAATTAATGAAAAACATTTACGAAAAAATACAACCTTAGAATGGATAAAATTAGTTTACTTACATAATATAACAGTCACACGCAGCGTAGTTATATATTAAGAATTACGTACCGATTTTAAAACTTAAATAAACATTGATGGCCTTAAGGTGTTATTAAAACATGCTTTTACCGCAAAGTACAAAAATGTATACGTTTTGAGAAAAACTGGAAAACAAGTCTACATTTGGTGAGAACCCGGGGCACGTTTTAGCTGGATACGTTTCCGTTATCGTGCTTTTCATGATAAAGAATTAAAAAAGCAATGTCACACCGTACTATAGGAAAACAAGACAACGGTCCAGAACTATGTACGACATCGTAAGACAATCAATGTACATGTATATCTGTCCGGTCGTGCTTTAAATGTATTCCTAAACATTTTCAGCATAATCAAGTGTATGCTTTTAAAGTGTACATTTTCTTTTGACTGACCGACACTTTAAAGGTATTATGGCGAATTTTCCACCTTTAGACCTCAGATGCCCCTACGTGCATAATATCAGACACAGCGGAACCAAAGCGGAGGGGCAAGTGGTTCGACTAACCAATCGTTCACGAAGTATACATCGAAATGATCCTTACCGATTTATGTCACTGTAAAAGATTTAATTTACAATAATCTGGATTGGAAATGGCATTACATGTAATTTTCGATGATATGAGACATTTGGCGCAATCTTTATAGACCTAGTAGATCATTGCAAGCTATGTTTCATTATCTTTATCATGTACTTGTTCCTACATGCTTTTGTCAGAGATACTAGTTTAAGATATTTAATTTGACATGCCTTCGAAATTTGACAATATCATATCAGTCATCTATGTCATGTACTCAGATTTACTTTCACTTATAAATACCATAGTATTTCTTGCATTTCTATACTTAATTTTCGATAAATCATTGTATATCATCAAAATAGAAAAGCCTAATGCTACAGTGTCCTTTTAATTAATGCCATTTATAAATTCGTCCATCGCGTTTTAGGGTCGACACACGGCAATGTGATTGCGACATGGCACTCGACAATGCCAAACGAAACATTTCATTTGTCAATGTCGTCTTAAAAAACACGACATAATTCAAATGTCACTTTGTATTGTCGGGGTGCGTACTAGCACCATTATCGTTTTTTTCACATATCATTATCAAGATCTGTATTTCTGATTGCTCGACAATGTCAAGCGATGCTGGAACATACGTTATAGTACATCCCAGAGCGATGCTTTGCCATGGCAAATCCAAAACTTCATGGAATGAAATTCTTCGGACAACTTCGAAAGTCTTTCGCCCAAAGAACATGTAACATGCATAATTAAATTGAAATCGGGCGTAAAATGTTAGAGAAAACATAAGTTTTTCCTACATAATTCAATGTATAACTATGAGTTGCCATTGCAACACGAGATCTGCATGTTCACATATGAAACCGGAAGTAACGGTCACATTAATTATACGGTTAAACACAAAGGAACGTCCGTGGCAAATTGACTTCAAACCATTTGCCCTTCACCACTGTAGGTATAAATGCCGCCAGCAACTTTAAATTCTTTAAATAAGTAAGCTATCCAGCTAGCTTACGGAACGTCAGTGGTTCTACTCAGTGCCCGCCCGTGCCTGAAATAATGCATCCGAGGTCTTTCTCCACCAGTAAAGCTGGAAAATCGCCATGACCTTAACCTTAAGTGTTGGTGACCTTGACGTAACCAACCCCTAATAAAAATAAATAAAAAATACGGCTATTCCCGAGGGTCAGTGAATTCGACCCAAGCACTCATGATTATAACATTCTTGGTAGAAGCCCTTTATATTTATTAATGCTGCGGTTCAAAGTATCAAAGATCAAAACCTTCTATAGTTCTAAACATTTTTACAGTATGTATCTCTAGAACATGGTTAAATTGATAGCAGAGGCCATTTTTTTACCTGTATTAAGTATATGTACCCCTCTAACAAGGTGAATTTTACTCAGAGTCATGTAAATAATTCAAGTCTGTATGTTTTCTTTATTTCAATTGGTCGCAATTGAACAATTTTTACACCTCGGACATTATTTTTACAACTTGAATGCCAAATAACACAGTTTTAGAGTTTTTCAGTATTCTGTGTAACAAGTGACTCCTAAGAGTAAGACTGTTTCTCCATTGGCATACTTCAAACACCTTTTTGTAGAGAACACCACTAACCCTATTCTGGAATCTGGACAGTTGTGCAATTCAGAACAAACATTCCGATTTTCTGTAAATAAATAATAACAGGAGACTATATGGTCAAACCAGGTGATGCTCTTTGACACTGGACACTTCTACACAATTAAATCTATCTGCATGTACTTACTAAGTTTCTTGCTCATATCTCTTGTAGTTTCGGGGGTTATGTCTTGAACAAAGTTCAAAGCGTAAATATGAAACAAGAGGACCATTATGGCCCTAAAATCGCTCACCTGAATATTAAAACTCTCCATGACAAGAAACATTGTAAACTACATGTACTCATTAAAGCAGATATAGAATCTAAATCTTACACTTATATCACAAAGTTCGTATTTGTATCTGAAAAAGTGCATGTGTAAAAGCATACCTGCTTGTTATTGCTTAAGGAAAACAAGTTCCAAAAGATGTGTACATATAAAGAAAATTAATGCTCGCAGGCAAATTTTGACCCCAGAGCTTTTATTTGAACAAACTTGGTAGACACTCATTAGTTTCATGCTTAAATATCTAAGCTCTAGCTATTTGGGATTTTAAAAAGATTTTTTAAGTTTTTACTATATACATATAAGGAAAATAAATAACCCCTTGGGCGGGGCCAACTTTGACCCCCAGGGCTTTTTTTTAACAAACTAGGTAGACACCCACTAGAGGATGTTTCATGCTTAAATATATAAGCTCTAGCTTTTGGGGTTTTATTAAAGACGACTTAGCTGGGTTTTTAAAAAAGATTTTTGTTTGTTTTAATTTTATACATGTATAGGTTTATATTTATGTAAGGCAAGTCAAAGACCCCCTGGGGAGGGGCCAATTTTGACCCTGGGCTTTATTTGAACAAACTTGGTAGATCTTTCATGCTAAATATCTAAGCTCTAGCTCTTTGGGTTTTGAAAAAGAAGAAGATTTTTTAAAGCTTTTTACAATAAACATGTAAGAAAAAATAATGACCACTCAGGGTGGGGCCAATTTTGACCCAAGGGCTTTTGTTTGAACAATTTTGGTAGATACTCACAAAAATGTTTCATGCTTAATATCTAAATTTCCAAAGGTGACCACCAAGGGAACATTCCTCTGAAGTTTGGATGACATTGGCTTAGCAGTTTATGAGGAGATGTCGTAAAAGTTTACAGATGGCTGGACGCCGGACGAATTGTGATCACAAAATCTCACGTTGTCACACAAGTTTAAAAGGGCATTAACTCGCAGAGTTACAGTTCTACCGCATTGAGCTTGCAATGCTGCAGAGATCAAAATAGCTTGACTTTTTCTCTGAAAGAGACCATCTGAAAATGGTAAAATTCAACCATATTTTGCCAAGAATCTTCAAAGCTTTTCATGATTTGATTTTATCTTAAAACTCCTCATAAGGTTTTTATCTTAAGCTTTGCTTAAAGAATAATTAACCAAAACATATTTAATATATTTATTTTCCCGCAACAAAGTTGATTAATGTCAAAACAGTACAAGAATTATAGCAAAGTAAAAGGGAGCAATTTGTTAGAAAAACTTGCATCGTTATTCTGTACATATACTTTGTAGGTCATTTTAAAGAAGTACAAAATAAATAGAATGTTTTAAAATGTTTATGTATGATTAACCAAACATTTCTTTCCAGCACATTGCAAAAAGCTTATCAACATGTGAGCATTGAAAAACATAAAATATCATAACAGTTACACATTCACAAAAAAAACAGTAATTTTAAAATGGAATGAAGTTTAGTGTAACCTTATAAACACTAAGTTAACAACTCTTCACACTTAGTTATCAACTCTTTATACTAAGTAAACAACTCTTTATACTATCCACACTAAGTAAACAACTCTTCATACTATCCACACTAAGTAAACAATCATTCATACTATCCACACTAAGTTAACAACTCTTCACACTAGGTTATCAACTCTTTATACTATCCATACTACGTTAACAACTCTTCACACTAAGTTATCAACTCTTCAGACTATCCGCACTAACATAACAACTCTTCATACTATCCACACTTAGTTAACAACTCTTCACACTAAGTTATCAACTCTTCATACTATCCACACTAAGTTAAAAAACTCTTCATACGATCTGCACTAAGATAACAACTCTTCAGACTATCTGCACTAAGATAACAACTCTTCATACTATCCACACTTAGTTAACAACTCTTCACACTAAGTTATCAACTCTTCATACTATCCACACTAAGTTAAAAAACTCTTCATACGATCTGCACTAAGATAACAACTCTTCAGACTATCTGCACTAAGATAACAACTCTTCATACTATCCACACTTAGTTAACAACTCTTCACACTAAGTTATCAACTCTATACTCTCACACTAAGTTATAGCACTTGACTAGTATATACAAGTTGATAACTATAGTATACAAACAAGAGTTAGATTTCATCATTAGTTTTGAAGGTTGTACTATTTTTGAAGAGTATAAAGAATTGAGTAAACACTTCTTCATACTATCCACACTAAGTAAACAACTATTCATACTATCCATACTAAGTTATCACCTCTTCATACTATCCGCACTAAGATAATCACACTAAGTAATCAACTCTTTACACTAAGTAAACAACTCTTTATACTATCCACACTTAGTTAACAACTCTTCACACTATCCACACTAAGTAAATAATTCTTCATACTCTCCACACTAAGTTATCAACTCTTCACACTAAGTTAACAACTCTTCATACTAAGTTAACAACTCTTCACACTAAGTTAACAACTCTTCATACTAAGTTAACAACTCTTCACACTAAGTTAACAACTCTTCATACTAAGTTAACATCTCTTCATACTAAGTCAACAACTCTTCACACTAAGTTAACAACTCTTCACACTAAGTTAACAACTCTTCATACTAAGTTAACAACTCTTCATACTAAGTTAACAACTCTTCACACTAAGTTAACAACTCTATACTATCCACACTAAGTTAACAATTCTTTATACTCTTCAAACTTAGTTAACAACTCTTCACACTAAGATATCAACTCTTTATACTAAGTTAACAACTCTTATACTATCCACACTAAGTTAACAACTCTTCACACTAAGCTAACAACTCTTCACTCTTAGTTATTAACTCTTTATACTCTCCAAACTAAGTTAACAACTCTTCACACTAAGTTAACAACTCTTCACACTAAGCTAACAACTCTTCACACCAAGTTAACAACTCTTAAACTCCCTTTAGTATGATATCAAATGTTGACAAACATAACAAAGAAATATACAAACACACAAGCAGTAGGATTTTTCATCATTGTTTTGGAATGGGTTCTGGTCAGTCACTGGTCCAAATACCAATGTAGGAAGCTTCTGATGAAACTACACACTATGAAATTATTGTGGAAAAATTAAATATGACAACAGTCAAAATGTTTTTAATGATGAAATTTATATAATTTTTGTCGCAAAAATTGGATATTCTGATATTTGAATTGGGAACATTTGTTCAAGCAAATTCAGTTGGGAACATGTATTCTAGTAAATCTAATGGGGAACATTTGATCTAGAACAAATTGAATAGGGACCACTTACCAGACCAGTCTAAAGAATGAACAAAAATTCTACTGATTATAGACATTCATGCACATAAAAATGCTAAAAATAGAACACTGTACAGGTTTGCTGCCTTTTGAAGAGGTCCTGTTGAAAAATGATGATAAACATGTCAATATACTTTTTACAACTTCAACAAAATGTTGCTCAATTACTGAATTCAACCACATTATATTGTTTTTATTTATAGATAGACCACTTCGTTGAACAACATTTTAACAAAGTATTTTGGATTATATACTTAAGATATTTTGATCAGAAACAAACAAATAATGCATATTAAGCAATGAAAATTCTGAGTTTTGAGACAGAACTTGGAAAAAAGTTTTACAACCTTGATGTCAGAAGAAACTTAGTAGTTTAAGTTAATTTCTGCACTTTCCTAAAGTTGGCTCCCATGCACAGTAACTTACATTAAAATTATAATGGAGACTGGTTCTACCATAATTTTCAAGCTTAAACAGCAGGAAACATTTGAGTCCATGAGGCTTTGTAGAGCTTAATATACAAAGGTCTTACAAACTTGAGCTTAAAGGTTTACAGAGGTTATACAGAGGTTATAAAATCATAATCATTTCTAATGCTACAAAATGTAGTAAGTTATAAAAAGTATCCCGACAATGTTAGATCAAATATCCAAAATAAAACATATATATTACAACATATTATCATTCAATTACAATAAAAATTTACATCTGCACATTCTTAACAATACAACATACAACTTTATTAAACACAATTCAATAATGCCTACATCCAATATATTTAAAAGAAAATTTACATTGAAAAAGAATGATTTCTTTATCAATCTAACAGGTTATAAAATTGTTTAGTTTTGTGAAGAATCAAATGAACTTTGTTTTTCATTAATAAATATTTACATGTCCACATTTAGTTTAAAATAAAAACAACAAAGAAACAAACAACACGATAAAATACTGTTTCATTTAACTTTTACAATGAACTTTAAAACTTGTATGCAAAAATTAACCTTGAAGTCAAATCATCCGATATATTACAACAAACACTAATATTCATCTCATCCGTATAAATTGGCAAAGAACCATATCAGTTTGATCTACTCATACTTTCATATATATTGTATTTCAATTGTAAAGCATGTTCAATCACATAATACTGTATTTCAATTTTAAAGCATACTCAACCACACAATCAGAATCTCTAAACTAACTCATTAGCACACAACAAACATACTCTTAACAAAGTAAACAAATTGCATTAATGAAAGAATAGTCAATCCTGGACGGAAAATTTAATTTAGGAACACATAGGGTATTCTTAAGATGTTTTTGTCACAAGGCAGTGTTTTCACAAATTCTGAAAAATAACCTGCCATATGGCCATTTTTTAAAATTAAGATTCACTTTGAACACCAATAAAGGGGAAATTTCTTTGTAGTTTAAATGAAAATGGCGTTGTAATACAAAGTATCATAGCTAGGACTGTTTCCGGTTTTTAAATTTTCCGCTATCTGTATTTACTTTTGTGATCTGACAAATATTCATTTGAAAAAATACTTTTAAATAACAATATTGTACTAAACATCAACAAAAACTACAAATGTATAATACATAGGATGGAATATGCTTGTCTGCAAATATTGTACACAATAGTTTTCCCATGTGTAATAATTTTTCTCTTCATTCTTTTTCAATTAGACATTGTTGCATAGATGTAAATAAAAACTTTCTTGTTTTCACTTTATGTTGCCTTGTTTATTAAATCAAATCTGAATGTCATTTCAATCCAGTATGGTTTCCAACACAGATCTGTCATGGTGCCTGCTATTGAATAATAAAGTTTCTTTCTGTTTTTTTTGTCTATGACATTCACTTGTGGTTGACTTTGCTTTCAAGTTCATGGACAGTACAAAAAGTTCTGGTTTGAATTTGAATATGGTCAATGGTCTGAAAATGTTGCAACTTTTAGGCAAGTTCTTGCTTGATTAAAGGTGTCTTTGCCACAAACCATGGTCCCACAATGGTACTTTTAAGTAAACCTGAAAAAGGTAATCATTTACATTTAGAAAAACTATTTATAAATGCATGTGATACTACATGTGATTAAAATTGTACAGTTATCATTTCTTCCATATTATTCGCTATTTCATAAAATAAAAAAGGAAAAGATGACAGTGATTTCTATATGTAATAATTTTTAAAAAGATGTATTTTTATTTATGCTAAAACCGAATTTTAAAGCTTACAGGTTTGAGAACTGGTTGGTCACAGAAACTGTGATACAAGTTACAACACTCATCTTGCAAAGGACACCGGCAGCTATTTAAAGGCATCAGTAAATGCTGTTAGCTAATCGAATTTTCAGATGAAAGTAGGGCAACTGCTGCCATACCGTCCCGTAGGACACGTTTTCGTGGACTTCCACTGCAGAGTTGGTTGTTGTTGTTTTCAAATTTGGAGCCAAAATGCTATCAAATCTTTCATTGGTTAATGAGTATTTGTTAAGACAAATGTGATTGGATTACTCGGGATAAAACTTCTCGCAGTGATTACTTCCCTTTTATCAGTACAGGACGATTCGTCCCAGGTCAATGACGATTCGCCCCGCTTCTATTATCATCATGCCACCATGTTCTTAATAATGTTCTTTTAAAACGTTAGATACATATTATTTGCATTTGCTGAGAAAAGATAAGTTCTTCCAATTTGTGGTATATGCACCTAAATACTGCATCTTTTTTTAATCTTTATATTATTAAATAATGTATTTACTGGTAAATAGCACAGATATATAAACAATTTATATTTAGCTCCATGAAAGTAGATATGTTGAGTATAATAAGAAAATTAGTCTTAAATTTAAATGCACAACTTTTATAACCTAAAGCAGACATGTACCTTAATTGAGTCCATATTTCGGCAATGTAAATTTATCGGCGTTTAAAGTTAATTAATTCATTAATATTCAATTTGGATAACCCAGGTACGTACATGTATATTAACATACGTACCTGGATAACCCATCACTGCATAAGCATTTTGTGAAAAATGGCTGTTTCCATTGAAGCCTTCTGTTACACAAGTTCAAATTGCTATGAAACTACAAACACAATGTGAAGAGAACATTTCTTAAAACTTGACTAAGAGTTGGCTTGAAAACATTTGAAGTATATTTTACCAAAAAAAAAAAAAAAAAAAAAAAAAAAAAAATGATACCCTCTGCATTCTGTAGGTTCAGTACATTTCATAGGCATGTTTTCGTTTATCAAATTAAACGTGCAATTAAATAATTAATTTGAAATTTTGTAATAATTATGCAGAATTAACAGATGTGTCTTAATTTTAGTCAATCGGTTAAAGAGTTATTTTATGTAGTGATTTAAGGTTGTAAGCAACAACAAAAAAGTGTCCGTTCAATTAGACTGCAATGAATTTAGTATAGAAAAATAGAGAAATTCGATCTCTTTTGCTATTACTGGAACATCTGCAGGTTATCTATATTGCAGATAACATTTATAAGTATCTTCGGTTCGTAATCAGTTTTCACAAATTACTGACACGATACTCTGAAAGTTTTTATATTAAAGTTTGTTTATCTACATGTATGGGTCGTTTAAATAACACACCGCATTTTCTCTGACATATCAAACAAATATTAACCCTTTCCCCCATGAGCATATTGTGAAAAATGGCCGTTTTCACTGAAAAGCCTCCTGTTACAAGTTCAAACTGCTATGAAACTATGAAAAATGCTTCAATACTAATCAAACTTGGCACAAATGTTGACTGGACCATTACCTTTGTAACGACATGCTCAGTCTTAAATTTCCTGTTACCATGGCAACGAGGGGACATATCAAAATTGCCAAAAAACACTATTTTGCCTCGATTTTTTCCATCAAAATTTATTTCAAAGTGCTGCAACTGCTCAAGGGATTGAGATAGAGTCAAAGGCTTTTCACCGTTGGTTAAACGTTACATTATGATCGACCTGGGGTCATTTTTAGCCTCTCACAAGTCCAAAATTTTCTTGGCGATGAGGGGGACTCCGCCCCCTTCAAACCCCCCTAACAGAAGGGGGCACATCCCCCTTCTGGCAACCCCCTGATGTATCTTTTGGATGGGGGACGGCGCCGAAAAAGTGCTCAATTTTTTAAGCAACATTTCTCAAACGAAAACTTATGTTTGGGGCCCAAATAGGACATTTTTTCACTATTTGAGGCCTAAAAAAGGGGGGGTGGGGGTCGTTGCGTTGTTTCGCGTATATATGAGGTAAAGGGTTAAAGTGTTCACCAAACATGTATTTCACGTTTTCATACATTTGTCTATCTAGATGTGTACGTGTTAGTAAAATACCGGTATTACCAATATTTTCTGACACATCCCTTTCCCTGAAACATTTAAAAGCAACAAGTCGGCTTTGTTAAGAAAATGAAGTCGCCCGAGATGTCCTGATGGCATTTAAAATCAAATGAAAAGACAAGCACAAAATAACTTGTTTTCAATAAATTCAAGTGATATAATATTGCAAATAGTTCTTCTTTTATTGATATATGTTTGCCATTTATGGTCCCGCATCCATATTTATGGTTGAAACCGTGTTAGTTGTAAGACATACATTGATCAGAGAAAGCAGAACGAAGTATGAATTGGTGCTAGTCCCGATGGATTGTTAGAATATTTATAGAATACCAAATTCTACCACCCGGTTTATTGAACAAATTTTGCGATTGGTAGATTAGTTTGCAAACGGATTACGAAGCGTTCTGATTATTCACATTGGTACCAATACTTAACACCATTGGTAACATTCATTTTCATTGGTTAAAAGTTTACTCTGAACGTATTTTATCATACAGTTTGTGTCATTGGCAATATAATAAATATTGGTACCAAAGGTGAACCAGTAGTACCAATTTATAGTAATTGATGTTACCAAAGGAATTTGGCAGAACGGGTGAAGTACACATACCTTTAGTGCCCGGTAGATATTGACATTGATTTAAAGCAGCACCCCCCCCCCCCCCCCCCAGATTCATGTCTATTTTCATGGAAATTTTGGAAATGTTTTTCAAAGTAAAATATTGTGAGGTGAACAAATAGAGTAATTTACATATTGCGAAAGGCACTTACAATCCACGAAAATTAACAAAAAGTGGTCAAGATATGCAAAAACATCCCTTACAGCGTTAGTATCGCAGTAGAAATATGGTGATAAAGTTTTAAACCGAACATAATATGTAAAATATAACTTGGATCTTAACTGTTTTTACCTTTGTTAAAAGTTTAGAGCATTTTTTCTCAATATTGACTTGCTTGAAATATTTTGGCTCATCTGGAGGCACGCAGCTTTAATATAGATAATGTGGTTGTAAGTACATTTTCTTGTCTTAAATTTGTTGTTGTTTTTTTTAAATTAGTTACCTCATCTGTTTTACTTTAAAGCTTCGGCCCTGTGTTCTTGTATGACAAAATAAAAAAAAAATATTTATTTGCCAGAAAGGTTTACCACATTAATACATGTACATAAATAGTATTTTATCAAAGTTTACCAAGTTTATAAATGTACATAAATAGTATTTTATCAAAGTTTACCAAGTTAATACATTTACATAAATAGTACGTATTTTATCAAAGTTTACCAAGTTAATACATGTACATAAATAGTATTTTATCAAAGTTTACCAAGTTAATACATGTACATAAATAGTATTTTACCAAGTTAATACATGTACATAAATAGTATTTTACCAAATTTTACCACGTTAATACATGTACATAAATAGTATTTTACCAAAGTTTACCACGTTAATACATGTACATAAATAGTATTTTACCAAAGTTTACCAAGTTAATACATGTACATAAATAGTATTTTACCAAAGTTTACCACGTTAATACATGTACATAAATAGTATTTTATCATATCTGGGCGACGAAAACCGCCACAAAGGACCAGGGAACCTACAACAATGTTACAAATTATTTAATAGAAAGAGCATCGAAACACGAGGCTTTCTGATTAATACTCGGGCGCGTAGCCCCCGAGTATTAATCAAATTGTCGAGTGTTTTGATGTTCTTTCTAATATCTATGACAAAGCTAAGTCTTGTGTTAAAGTGAATAATGCATTGTCGGATACATTTGTAAGCTGTTTAGGTGTGCGTCTGGGAGAAAATCTTCCGCCAATTTTGTTTTCAATTTTCCTTAATGATTTGGTTTCTTATATGTCTACACATTGTGAAGGTTTGCAGTTTTTATCAGACCAGATAAATGAACAGTTGAGTAATGATGAAGTTGATGTATTCTTGAAGTTGTACTTATTACTCTATGCTGATGATACAGTTGTTTTCGCGGAAAGTCAAACTGGCCTTCAAACAGCACTAAACTGCATGCTTGATTATTGTAAATTATAGCATTTGACTGTTAATACCGATAAGACAAAAGTTGTTGTATTTTCTCGTGGTAAATTAAGAAATAAGCCTGTATTTTATTTCAATAATGCACCTCTAGAAGCTGTAGATGACTTTAGTTATTTAGGTGTGGTATTCAACTTTAATGGTAAATTTAATAAAACAAAAAAGCACTTGACAGATCAAGCGAGGAAGGCTATGTTTAGTATTTTAACTAAAATTAAGAAATTGTGTTTGCCAATTGATATTCAGTTACAGTTGTTTGATAGTATGGTTAAGCCAATATTATTGTATGGGTCGGAGGTGTGGGGATCTGAAAATAATTCTATTATTTCTCAGTTTCAATTGAAATTTTATAAATATATACTTAAACTTAAGATGTCAACTCCTTCGGTTATGGTCTTGGGAGAACTAGGTGCATTTCCTATTGAAACTGATATTACTTGCAGAATGTTAAATTTTTGGAGTAAATTAGTTTATGGTAAAAATGATAAAATATGTGTTTCTTTGTACCGCACTATGTATAATCTTCATGAAAAGGGTATTTTACATTGTCAGTGGATCGAGAAAGTAAATCTACTTTGAATAATATCGGTTGTTCTGATTTTTGGATAAGAATGTTGCAAATTTTAATAATTTTAAATATGTAATAAAATCACGATTACGTGATCAGTTTTTACAAGTATGGAATAGTGATGTTTTTGATTCTGCTAAGTGTTTAAACTATAGAATATATAAAACTCAATTTAAATTAAAACATTATTTATATGTTTACCAAGAAATTTAGCAATTGTTCTCTGTAGATTTAGATGTCTCAATTCTAATATTCCTATAGAGAAAGGTCGCTATTTTGGTATTGAAAGAGAAAGTAGAACATGCTCACTTTGTAATCAGCAAGAAATAGGTGATGAATTTCATTATATTTTTAAATGTACTTATTTTAATCATGAAAGACACAGGTATATCAGTAACTATTATTCAAGGTTTCCTAGTACTTTAAATTTTCAGGCTCTAATGTGTAGCGACAACAGAAATACTTTATTTAATCTAGCCATTTTTGTCAAAGCTATAATGCTGAAATTTCAATAAGTCATCTTCCTTATTTACTTATTTACTTCATGCCATGCTTGTATTACTATTTTTTGTTTTGTTGATTATTCACTCTTATGCCCTTAAGGGCCATGAGTTTTGTTTATAAATGAAATAAAATAATTCTCTTTTGTATCATAGTCAAACAAAAACACGTTCCCTGTTGTCATAATATGAAACCCCAGACAAAAAGTAACCAATGAACGAGCATCTGAGTATGATATTTCTGTCGCTTTCCCTTTCTCTGTCGTCACAATAAGCAAACCCCGGCAAAAATGAGCCAATCAATGGGCGTGCTCTGGAGTGCTGGTAACTATTTCCTGCACTCCAGTTTACGCACTGTGCATGTATATGTATACGATTTAACTCTGACACATTTTCAACAGAAAGGTCCCCAAAACTATGATACAATAACATATATTAGCACAGCGTTCAGCAATAAATTATTTAATTGAATATATATGGAAAAACGCGTTAAGTAAAATAATATAATAACTTATGATGATCAAACTGTAAACTGTATATGGACATATATGAAATGTATTGAAATATGAATACGAATTACTCCTAGTCCTTTAACCTTCGTATTTTTTACGTTTCATGGTTCATGGGTTTTTATATATATGAATATGACAGTGCGTGACGGACTGATGTTAAGATTTTTTTTGTTGAAGCAACACTAAAGTAACATAAATGATATTATTATTTATGAAAATACGTTTTACAACTTTGAATAATTCATTAGATTCACGTAAAGTTGCATCTAGTACTGACCCATAGTTCAAACCATTAAATAGTTCAATGGTTAAAAAAATGGACGAAAAAGCAATAGAGTTAAAATTATATAGTATTTGTACAGATGTGGAGTCTGCATACGAAAGAATTAAAACGTACATTTATAAGACACCATTGACGATTTCTAGAGAGCTAAGTTATGACACTGGAGCTAAAGTTTACCTGAAACTTGGTAAGTAAATATATATTTTCTTTTTTATTTTTCTTTTATGAGCATACTCAGTCACAGTTCAATGTTCACAAAAATCCTGACGACATACCTGTAATTAATATGCAGACTCGGTTTAATTCAATTTATACTATTCATGGACGTCAATGGTAGATGCAGGCCACTCTCATCTCGTCGACTCATTGCCCCGTACTTCACTTCAGTGTTAACGTTGTTATATTTTTCTGGTTCTTCCGGATCATTGATGCCGTTGAGAATTGAGTACCGCTCAAGCCGGTGGTTGTGGACGTGAGGGATGTTGCACTTATTCAGTATCCCTCATGTGCATACTTAATCAATCCGAGTCAACAATTTTCATGTATTTTTGTCATTCATGTTTCCAAGGGATCACTTTGTTTCCAGAGTTTTAAAAACATAATTCATTTTTTATTGCGTAATGATACTTGATTTACCAACAGTGTTAAGTTGTTCATACGCATGACGTTGAAATGTAACACTGTCGTGCCATTTCATATCAACTCACGGAAATGAGGGAAACAAAGTCTTGCATGCCAAATTAAGAGAAAGAATCAATTTTATTTTGTTTCTTTTATGATTATTCTTATTTACTAGAGAGCGAACAAGTTACTGGATCATTCAAGATACGCGGAGCATTGAATAAAATCCTTCTTCTGAAAGAATTGGAACCTGAAAGACTTGCGAATGGTATAGTGACAGCGTCGTCCGGTAACCATGGAATAGCTTGTGTAATGTTGTTTTTTTAATATATACTTTTATATCAGTAAAATTGGAGATTATTTTAAAAGAATATTCTAGGTAGCTTGTGAAATACAGCATTAAAAGTTTAAAAACTCACTTCAGATTGCAACGATTTTTTTAAAGGTTAGTTTACGATTATCTGACTTCAGTATGTTAACTTTGTGAAGGAAATATTTGCAGAATATACTAGAGGATATTTGGAAAAACGTATAGCGCTTTTAAATGTGGATAATAAATAACTTTACGAAATAAGTCAATAGTATCTAACGAATATTCAGAGACATGTATTAAGTTTTGAACTTCAAATGTGCCTAAGCTGACCTGCACAAAGCTTTGTACTAATATCATTTGTTGCTGTACAACTTTTACAGTATATTTACTATAGTTTATCTTAAAATTTAAGAGTATACATTTCCTAGTGTTTCAAAACATTTTGCTTTGCTTCACAAAGCAATACCAATGGGTGATTACTCTTTTTTTATAATTTCAGATGCACTCTGGTGAAATATTCGGACATTCTGTAGAGGTGTATGGTCCAGAAACTATGTCGAAAACTAAGATAGAAACTTTGTTAACGTCGTTTGGAGCTAGATTTATCCTTTATGGTCAAAACTGTGTGGAAGCGGAGATGAAAGCTCGAAAATCAGCGCAGGTATTTTAGCAATATTTTTTCTATGACACGTTGTGTCATTAATGAAATCACGAATTATTAAAGCTTTAGGTCTGTAACTTCGCTGTGCTAAATTATTTGTTTTATTGACTGTATACCTTATAAAGACTATTTTTTTTTATTATACATGACCAAAAGAAATTTTCTTTGGTAATTTTAACTTTCAACTAAACAACACTGTGCCCACCCACTGGAAATACTCCGTCCATTACGTTACCAAAATGGATCCCTACTCGGGCCACTACCTTATTTCTTCATATTACACAATTCCAAAAACATACCCCGAGAGCGATTCAAATAAGCATAACGTGTACATCATAAACGAGTTAGATTTTATATATTTTATATGTTTAAACAAATGTGAAACTATATTTGAACGAAATAAGAATCCATTCCCGTGGTGACTGACGCATTCCCTTGTTGACTATTCCTTTCATATTATATGCGCTATATGCTTGAGACAGGACTATTTGATTACATTATTATTCACTAAATTCAAAGATACTGTAAACATTAAAATATGTTTTAAAACATTATATTATCAATAGGAAAGAGACAAGGTATATGTTTCCCCATACAATGACTGGGACGTAATGACAGGATCAGGGACTGTTGGGTAAGTGACGGCTCATTTTGTATAAACACATATATATGTAAGTAAAATATTAAACAAATTATTTTGGCATATGAAATACATATTATTTTGACATATGAAAGGTCAGCATTCTACTTATAAACTTTACTCGTTTTAAAAGAGCACGTGACTTTAGGAAAAGCCAATTACATCATCAAATACGACAGTCACATGTAATGCATGAAAAAACTTATATAAATAATAATAATAATACATTATTTTTCGTAATGGATTACATTGTTGTAATAACATTTTGTCACTTACCATAATTTAGTAGTTATAAATGATATTTTACATGATTCTTTGTATATCTTACAAGCTACGAAATTTATTCCGAACAACCAGATATTGATTATGTACTTGTGTCAGTTGGTGGTGGTGGACTTCTTGGTGGAGTGGCTGCTTATCTAAAGATGAAAAATAGTAAGATTCGGGTAAGCTTCGTTAGTATCATACATGTTTGTGTTGTTTTGTATGTTTTCTGTAACGTTTACCCTTTGATTATATTTGAAATGATATATGTCGCAACTAATTTGAAACGAACTTTTATTAATGTCAATGTTTTTGGTTAGGTTTCTACAAGTACATATTATATAGATTTAGAATATCCGGTGTGTTGATGATGCAATTATTTTAGCCATAACTTTGTGTGTGTGTGTGGTTTTTTTTTTTTTTTATTTCCAAATATATATCTGTACTCATTTTTAAGCAAAGAAATAAACATTTAAATGTAAATAATTTATGAGGTTGTATTGTGATTTAAGATATCATATATTATACATGAAAACTTACATTTAACATTTTTGTTTCCATTTATTTCATAATGCTATTATTTTTTCCATCTAAGGTAATTGGCTGTCAACCGAAAAATTCTAAAGTAATGTATGAATCTGTGAAAGTAGGATACATAAAAGATGACGAGCCATCTGTTGATACTCTGTCAGATGGAACCGCAGGTGATGTAGAAGATGGATCGGTAATTTAATGTATTTGTCTCAATTTCTGATTATTCTTTTAATATCATTATCATATTTTATAGTGTATTGAAGAAGATAAACGTTTATGCACATCATAAGTGAATAATATCCAATCTTTATTCAGTATTTTCTGATAGTTATTAAAGTGAACATTACTGTTTTGTTTTTTTCTTTTTCCTGTCTTTTTGCTATTGAAAGGAAAACATGAAGAAGAAAATGAAGAAAAAAAAAAAAAAAAAAAAAAAAAAAAAAAACCCAAATGACACTGGCATTGAAACCTTTTTGTTACGGTGTTCTTATTGTTTAATTAGATTAACAAGGCAATCCATGTTGGTTTTTGCACATTTACAAGCATAGAAAAAGTCAAAATACGTTAATGTATATTTTGATCAAACAGAGACAAATATTGAAGGAAATATCGCAGCACTATGCGTGTTCTGTACCGTGGTATATATCGCTTGGCGCTGCATCGCAATATATCAGTACATCTCCATATCGTTTTGTACCTTCCTTTAAGGTAGAACGCGACACTTTGCGAACTTTCGAGTAGCGTCTTGAAAATTGGCATGCAAAAAATTGACCATATTTCTGATTGGATTTCGTTGATTTTATTTCAATGGTTTCAGCCATTTTTTGTACACACGACGTCAAAGTTGACCATCAAAGCCCGTTTTTGAACATGACGTCGTTTCGTATCCTTGGCAACTGTTACGGGTATTCCAACGCCATTGGCGGACAAAATATCTTAAATTTTAAAGCATTCGACGGAAATTACTTTTGCCTTTAAGCTGATATAAAATTTATCGTTTTACACCGAAAATTGTTTGAGTAATGGAAAGAAAATTGTCAATTTTGTGTAAATTTTGACGTTCAGTTTAGCCGCAGTTTTAGGCTTAAAATCGGCTTTTTAAAAAATTCCTGAAATAAATTTTTGATTTTTTTCTTTTAACGTCCTTTTAAATGTATACTTAGTCAAAATAACTAAAAACATTAGGAGGTCACCGACTCATTTTTTTCGGTACACGTGATTTTATTTCCCCCACCCCTTTGGATAAAAGTCACGCTATCACGGGGCGTTTGGTTTTTTGATGTTATTAAAAAGATCGCCCTGTGTCAAAATCCCGCTTTTTACGGCATTTTACGCTATTATGACCACTGTGGAAAATATATGGATACAATAAAGGGTACGGAATTCCGTATATTATAGATGGACAGGTGAAAATATGTGGAACTTGATGTACGGGACCGTATATCATGCAATACGTATATGACTAATATACCGTGATCCGTACACTCGTAACATGCGGGAACTTTGAATGAAGTCCGTATTTACTAAAATGCGTATTTTTTTAATTACACGGTCAGATATTACCACAATATGATTTTTTTATTCTTGTAAATATAGATTTTGTATATAAAACAGAGAATAAAGATGTTCTTCAGAATTACCCACTTTCTACAAGAGGAAAGAAATAATAGCCTGATCTGATATTTGTCAGAATAACAATACATAGTAAAACTTTGAGTAAAATGTAATATTTCTCGGTTTTATTAACATGTCAGTTGCATACTGATTAAATAGTTAGTGAAACATCGACAGATCCTCTACAGTGCCAGTAGCATGTACAGACAAAAAAATGACAATATATATATTGAAATATCTTTATTTTATATAAAGATTTACAACGCAACACTCCTTTGTGCAGTATCTAGCTCAGGGCCGCCGGTTCGCTAAAATCCGCAGACATGTATTTACAACGTGTCATTATATTTCATGTTTAAAATATTGTTTCTAAATTTTCCTGTTCAAAATAAATTCTACCATAAATTTGGCTATATAGTGAATAATAAATATTTGCAAAGGCCGATTTGATAGTAATGTGTTTAATACAGCGTTTATGGTGAATCCTCAATTAAGCGTTATTTTTAACATTATAATATTCTAAAATGATAAGCAAAACGAGAGAATATGTATTACAGATGTTTATTTACTTGTAGAATCGAACGTGCTACATCTGTAATCCAACACCCACTGAGCTAACGTTTCAAGCATGACTGTTTGCTTCACGCTAATATGAACGGTATATTTTAATTTGTCAATATTTCGCCAATTCTGTCAAATTTTTGCAATAGTTTTTGATTACAAGTGAAATTCAAATTTTGGTTTTTAATAGGTGAAATAAAATACATATCACTCACAGTATATCACTCATAGTGTGGGTAATGCAAAATGTATGGATTTGCAGAATTTCTTGTAGACTACGTATTATTTTATGATTGAATTTCCGTAAATTTCTAAATTTACATAAAAATATATAGTTGCTTTTTGTTCCTTATGGCATATTTCTCGATTCAAGTTAATTAATCTTATTGTATTACAATATCAAAAAGGAACACCGCTAATGATTACTCTCAGCTGTATTTATTTTTGTTTGCGCAGAGTACGCGTTGCCGTTGAACGCCTGACGTCATTTTTTCTTTACATGCGTCAGTTTACAATTCCTTATGAAGTTATTATTCATGCTTAAAAACAAGAAAAAAAAAATCGCTTGTTTTTCGTACAATGTTAAGAATTTGCAATGGAACATTGTTGTTGTTGTTTTATATGTATTAGTAAAACTCTAGACAATTCTCCTGATAACCTAAACATTATTGCCGCACTTTGAAATCTCAAACGTATCTGCATACTTCGAATTTCGTTACAAAATTACTCACGGGGTGGGGGAAATAAAATCACGTGTATTGAAAAATTTGAGTCGGTGACCCCCTATTTTTTTTTAGTTATTTTGACTAAGTATACATTTTAAAGGACGTTTAAAGAAAAAAATCAAAAATTTATTTCAGGAATTTTTTAATAAGCCGATTTTAAGCCTTAAAATGCGGCTAAACTGAACGTCAAAATTTACACAAAATTGACAATTTTCTTTCCATTACTCAAACAATTTTCGGTGTAAAACGATAAATTTTATATCAGCTTAAAGGCAAAAGTAATTTCCGTCGAATGCTTTAAAATTTATGATATTTTGTCCGCCAATGGCGTTGAAATACCCGTAACAGTTGCCAAGGATACGCAACGACGTCATGTTCAAAAACGGGCTTTGATGGTCAACTTTGACGTCATGTGTACAAAAATTGGCTGAAACTATTGAAATAAAATCAACGAAATCCAATCAGAAATATGGTCAATTTTTTGCATGCCAATTTTCAAGACGCTACTCGAAAGTTCGCAAAGTGTCGCGTTCTACCTTAACGTCGCCTTACACTGCGAAACTATAAATGTAATAGGACTTTCATGAATTATGAACTTTATACATCATATTTCAAGTTAAACATTTCAGGTGACGTTTCCCGTGTGCGCCAGGTTTGCAGACGACTGGATTCTAGTTGACGAACAACAGATTTCTGATGCTATATTCTTTATGCTAGATAAACACCATAAAGTAAGGAAAAAATATATTACAACTCGCATTTCCACTAGACCGCCAAAACGACCATTGATTTTAATATTTCTAAAAGATTGGTAGCAGCATAGGGGCCACTGCAGCAGCACAGGGACCACGTTGACTCCAAGTGACCCTATGCTGCTGTTGATTACTGCGGCATTCTTTGCAGCACCTTTAAGGTTGAGAGAAAAGCTCATTTAACTTTCATTTGTCTCCTAAGCAGATCGATTCTGCGATTTTCACATTATGTTGATTATTATAGCGTTTGCAATTGTTCTCGAGTGATTTGATCCTATATTGTAAGTACGTTATATCCTGAACGCTATGTCAAATGAAATAATTATACTAGATTTAAAAACAGTAAAATTATATTCTTCCCACCGCCTTCTGGTAAAATGTTGAAACAGTTTTAAGATAAACATGATTGTTATTAAACATTTATGAATTAATGTCATTGTGCTTGAACAGAATAAAATGTTCTGGAACAAAATATTACATTGTATTCTGCTATTTTGAGTAGGATTCTTACTATTTAGTACACATACATCATTTACATACAAAAATATATCTTTCCTCTATTTTTTCGTAACTATTTTTCGTTTATTTTTCTAAATTTGAAGAATAATTCTGCTTGCTACAGTCATCAGTATACAGTTTTATAAACTTTAAGTTTATATGTATATTATAAAAATGAAGTTTTAAAATATTTGAGCCGCGTCATGACAAAACCAACATAGTGCATTTGCGACCAGCATGGACCCAGAGCAGCCTGCGCATCCGCGCAATCTGATTAGGATACATGCTGTTCGCTTACAAACCCTATTACAAGTTTTGTCGTGACGCGGCTCATTTTTCTTTTCATATCTGATTACTTGTTTTTATTTCAGTTGATTGAAGGTGCTGCTGGTGTTGTTATTGCAGCTTTACAAAGTAACAAAGAACGATTTAAAGACAAAAATGTAGCTTTGGTTATATGCGGAGGGAATATTTGTGCCAAAACAATAAAATCAGTACTAGACAGTCATTTATAACGCATACATTATAGGTGAAAGTCCTAAGTGTAACTGTTTCTTAGCAGATTATATACAAAATATTCCATGAAAATATATACTGTAGCTCATTATTCAAATAGTATGTCTTCATCTGACAATTAAAAAATACAGAGGACGAATCGATGATAACTTTATAATACAATGTATTGTCGTTAATAGATTTGATCTATGATATTTGGAATTGTGTCACATGTAACCACATCTCGGTAAATAAAATGATATATAAATATTATATGTGTTATGCCGTTCCACACTTCAATTATGTTAATACCAATAGAAATTCTTATGAACAAGAAATACAAATACTTTCTAGTCTAGACTGCCTTAAAGAAACCAGCCATGACTACAACAATAAAATAGGAAAACTGAAAAGTCACAATGGCAAAAGTTTATTTAGAATAGAATGCATTATAAACAAACAAGTACAGTTTAATGTGTGACATTATGCGGGCTTATCCTGTGTGTCAACAGTAATAATTTCCTAAAAAATAGTTTATTAAAAATATTTTTCTCCATTAAATCGAGTAATATCATCGTCTGATCAATTATATATACATTGTATGCTTATATCAAATCCCTTTTAAAACATTTTCTTCTCTTCACAATATGTTATTAATAAAACGTTTCATTTTTTTTTGACAAAAAGTTCAACAGTATCATTTTTGAATGCAAAAAAAGATGGCAAATAGACTTTGAAACGCCTGTCTGTCCTGGCAAACATAAAATGGTTTATGAGCGTTATTCCGTCCATAATGTTAGTTTAATAAAAAAAGAAGAAAAAAAAACAAAAAACAAAATTCTAACACTATCGGATTTTTTTTTCTATATAAACAAAGAAGCGTGCATTATTCTTCAACAATGCACTCGCCGTTCTTATTACCTCCCTGTGTATTTTCACATTGAAGGCGCCATTTTGTTTAAAAAATCTGATAAATAAAAACATTTTTTGTCGAATTTTGTTGTGAAAGCTATCTAGAATGAAAGAAAATGGTCTAACAAAGAAAATGAATCCGAACACCAATATCTTTAATTCAGTCGTTAACGCTGTACAGACGTTTTAAGTGTTGTTTACGTGACGTCACAATGTAGCGCAGAACAGCACGTGCAAAACAATCAAATCAAGTACGCTATTTTAATGTCGCAAACGAGTTCAGTTTTACATTTATTTCACTTTTAATAATTTTTATTTCGCTTGAAAAATTATAAAGTGAAATAAAATAAACAAACAAAGTTTTTCCAACGTTTTCAAAATTCGTTATTCTACACACGGTAGATTTAACGACAGTTTCTTTCAACCCCCTGGAACAGCCAACGTTTCTATGGGAAACTCTCAGGCGAAAACAAATTTAACCACCAAACATAAAGTCCAACTTTATAATAATAATTCTAATTTTTCTTGACGTGTTAGAATGGAAATAGATATTAATTCTTCGTGCATTATTGTATAATAATGCACGTTTTTTCGTTCAAATGCTTTGTAATTAATCACTCAAGCCTATCGGCCTTCGTGATTATATTACTACGCATTTGAACTCAAACCGTGCATTATTCTACAACAATGCACTCAGAATTGATATCTATTTCCTAAACAAAAAAAACGTTGGTTAATGTCGGAATTGGAAATCAAATCAAAGATTTTTAAATAACTATCCATAAATGTTTGAGATGCTCATCACTCATATCTAACCTGAAAGTTAAGTTTTCAATTAAGTTCAATTATGATCATGTATTGTCAAATATCATGTCATTCATGTACTAAGTGTATAAATGTGCTGTACTTTAATGCTGTTTTGGGGTCATGATTTGCTTTGTAACTATTTGTTTCACAAGAGTGGTTTCCCTTTACCGCTTTGTTGATTTATCTTTATACTGACTACATTTGAGCCGCGTCACGACAAAACCAACATAATGGGTTTGCGACCAGCATGGATCCAGACCAGCCTGCGCATCCGCGCAGTCTGATCATGATCCATGCTACCCTATTACAAGTAGAGAAACTGATAGCGAACGGCATGTATCCTGATCAGACTGCGCCGATGCGCAGACTGGTCTGGATCCATGCTGGTCGCAAACGCATTACGTTGATTTTGTTATGTTCTCCATACACGAAAGGTTAGTAAGATTCTTGTATATTTTTTCCATTATATTAAAAGGATTGAAACGATGATACTTGCACATAGAAGAATAGGACTGCTATTAGTAGCTGTCATTTGCAATTTGTAGACATCTTAATATGTAGGGGCCTATAACGTAAAAGAACCGTAAGTCGTCGCTTTTAGCTACATATCTGGCTCCAAACGGGGAATGTAACAAAATTTTGTTTTTCATATTTTGTCTAAAAATAAACATGCACCCTTTCTGTACCTTTTCCAACCTTTCATAGTCCGATTTCTTGAAGAAAATTATCATAAATGCCCTCTAAATGGGGTAGGTGTACCGGTGACGAGTTAAAGGGGTCGAACAACCATAACTCGTCAGTACCAGTAACATTAAGTCGTCAGTAGGATCCTTAACTCGTCAATTGTTGTATGTTATTTTAAAATCTCAAAATAAAACCTATAAACAGTAAGCAAACGCATTTTATTGATCAAAATTCATTTAAAATGGGTTAAACAACATCAACATGTTATTTTTACACAAACGTTACTTTTACCAGCAAACAATGATGCGTTTGTAAAATTCATGCAGCAGCTATTAGAGTAATGGTATTAATTACAGGAAAGTACGGCCATGAGTCCATCACTTCTGAAATTATTTTTAAGTTTTAATAAACAAACAAACATTTGAAATAAATTGAAATGCAAGTTAATAAATGGTTAAAATATTCCATTATACGGTGACATAAAGGTCACGCGATAAATATGTGTGACCAACGATATAATACCTCGTGATCACGAGATAAATATATCGTAGCCAAGAGATTACAATAATGTTACACACGTTCCCTCTATGCCACCGTAACATTAAGCTTATGTTGTACATTCATAACACGAAATTAAGGAGAAGCTTTCAATTTTATCTACATTAACCATGTATCAATCCTGAATATCAGTCCTAATGTTTTTACTAAATGTAAATTCCGTTATCTGAGCATCTTTTTTCCTTCCTTGTCTTGATCAGTTCCTGTCTCTGTTTTTCTATAAGACTCATGGCAGTGGCAGATGCCGCAATATTTATATCATCTAACTCACTTGATGCCTCTGTGTCAATTGTATTACACTCTGAGTCAGACAACTTTCGCTTAACTCGTTTTGCTTTCTTGACATTTTCTTTCTCTTGCTTGATTTTCTCTTTTTTCTGTTTTATTTTCAGCCTTATTTCTTTCTTCTTACGTATCTCTTCTCTCTTCGCCTCTAATGCTACCTTTCTTTCTATCCTTTTCAGCTTGTTATTTTTGGACTTTTCTTCCTTTTCCTTTTTTTATGTTTTCTTTTTCAATCAGTACTTCTTCGACTTCCTTTGTTGTTAAAATATCCGCGCTTTCTTTTCCCTTCACTACCAGGAGCAGATTTGCACTTAGCATCAAAAGTTGGCGTGATCAAAACATCTGCGAGATCTTCTGAAATTAGCCCTGCTTTTACGAGTGGGTGCATTTTAATCGTTTCTTGAGGCGATTTCTGCTGTATACATGGTTTGGCAATTGTACTTTCAGAGACAACCCCTTCTAGTTTCCTAGCGAAAAGTATTTCGTTTTCTTGTTCAATTGGTTCTAGGGCAACAACCTTTTCCTTCAAGGCCTTCCATGTTTGATAGGTTCTGTCACCTGGCAAATCAATATTAAAGTTCAAACATTCATGGTAACGCCTCTTTTGCTTTGGTGTTAGTGTCATCTCTACAGCTGCCAAAGCCAGTTCAGGCGGGCATTCTGTTCTATTACCATCAGCCATCTCAATATCATTGATGACTGGTTGAGGCTCTACACTAGCAAGTGTCAGTGATCCGTCTTAACCTAGGTGATGTCATCAAACATAAAACCTTGGTTGTCTGTAGGACAGCACACTGTTAACATCAAATGCTACGTCTTCGCTGCCACTGGGCAACCTTTTAGGTGTTGATGTCATAGGTTGTGTGTCACCAACACACCCAGGAATAGATTCAGACTTAACGTTGGCGTCATCAGTACTAACTGACAGATCTATGTCCTCCTTGTTTACCACATCACACGAACGAAGCAGCAAGGTCTTGTCTATAGCGTTCGGGTCAAAAGGATAGATCCCACATTTGCGAAACCCCTGTTATGCTGCGCATGGAAAAGCTCGATTCATAGATAAGCTTGAACATGGCCGATACATTCCTTTTTGCTACCCAGAAGTCGGATTTGATTAATTTTGCTTGGCTCATAATCTTGGCAGCCTCTATTTTCATTTTGCGGTACACTGCCACGTCAAGAGGTTGTGTAATGTGGGTGGTCTTCGGGGGAAGACAAAGGATGATGACATCATTTGCTATTGCGCTTTGAATGAGAGGACAACTCATGTGCGAGCTGGCTCCATCATGTATAAGTAGCAGGGGACGTTCGGGTAGAGCGTACTTCAGGAAGGTTTTCTGGAACCATTGAAAGTACAACTCTTGATCCATGAGGCCTGTATCTGACACAGCGTATGTGGCATTGACAGGTCCCTTCTTTTGGTATGGGCCTCCAGGGTAAGTTTTCGTAAAGATTACCATCGGAGGTATCGTTCCACCAGCGGCATTGACACAGCAATGTACAGTTACATGTTCGTTCGTTGCTGAGGAGATACTATGAGCCTGTTTCTGGTCCTTTGGTACGGCTACCCTCTGGCCAGCGGACTTGTTAAGATTAATGGCTGCCTCATTGCAGTTGAAAACCAGGAGAGGTTTTGAATTAGGATCATTGTAGTCCAGCGTGTCCTTAAGTAGTGCAAAGTATTCGCGAAGGGAGTACACATTTCCCATCGATGCTCTTCCTCGATCAAGGGAATCAGGTCTGCGCAAACGAAGCTGTGGGTGGCGTTTCTGGAAACCTTGCCACCATCTCTTGGTGGGACCAGACTTAGTGAATACGTCGCCTTTTCCTCTCTGCCTGGCAATACACCACGCAAATCCGGAGACAAGTGGTATTGTTAGCGGAAACCCCCTTTTGGCCATGTATTCAATATAAGACACTAAACTGTCTTCTTCTTCAGCCGTAAATGCAGTCTTGTTACCCCAGTTCGCGTCCATCTTAACTTTACCCATCACTCTATCAGAAAGTGTCATTCTAGGAACTCAAAACCTTAAAGCAGCTGAGTGAATATTCATTGACCCAGATTTTACTGCTCTGTAAGCCGCCGTCATATTTTCTAGTTTCCATCTTCGGGCTGCACGCTTAGGTTTGAGCTGTTCAGAGGTCTCAGTGCATTGGGCCATCATGTCTACAAATTAATTATAGCATATATTTTATTTTTTATATGTATATTTTATATTTTATATATCACTTTGTAACAGCTCTGTCCTGAATCTGTATATCACAGATGTATCTGAAGAATTGTCAAATTTCAATATTTTTTTTTGTTTAAGGCTATGATAATATAGACATCTAACAACAAAGAATCTTGGCTAAACAATGCCTTTACATTTTTATCATAGTTACTGTTATTGAAGAAATTCAGAAGATAAGTATAGTAATGGTGGTAACAGTAACTCGTCAATAGGGTCCCGGAGTCGTCAATTACTCTCTTTGTCAAAAGCTACGCATAAGAGCAGTTTTTAATCAAAGGGAGCTTACTGCTGCAGAATATAATATTCCAGAACATCAACACGTGTTTCCTTTGATAATCAATCGTCTGCATGGTACGGAATACCACTTCGCATTTGAGTGTTGTCGTCGACAGAGTAGAAGAAAAGCATGTTTTTGGGATGATTTTTTATGGTCATTTGCGAGGACGATGTGTATTTAATGGATATAAAATACAAACCATAATATAAATAAACTGTTTACCTTTCAAAAAATGCCCGCTCAAAAACTTTCGGCTCACGTGATCGAAAGGGAGAGAACAAAATAAAAACATGACGATTTACGGACTCTGCCGAGTTACGGTTCTTTTACTAGTTTCATTTTCACATATCAGAATGAGATAAAGATTTGACACTATTATAAATCTTTCAATCTGATATGTAACCTAAATAGAAACTTATCACTTACACTTTATTTAAATACAATCGTTCTATGTTTATCACATTCGATTAGTTTGTTTTAAATTTAACTGTTCGTTGTGTAAATCTTTTTCATGTAACTTTTTATTATTATGTTTAAAATTCAAAAAAATATGAAAGATAGATACAAATATGATAAACCATGTTTTTAAATTTACTACGTTTGATTTTTTTGTAAAATAAATATGTTTATAAATGTTAATTCAACCGAATAACTTGTTTAATTGTATTTAAGCGTTACGTAACATATATAGATTAACCTGAGTTTAAAATATGGAAGAAGAGATGGAATCAAAAGTGTCGAGTGTGTACAATGACGTAGAATCAGCTTACGAAAGAATTAAATCGTATGTCTATAAGACGCCATTGATGTTTTCCAGAGAACTAAGTAGTGATACCGGAGCTAATGTTTACTTAAAATTAGGTAAGACCAAGCATATACGGGTTATGTGATGGGTAAAAATTCGGCAAAATAGAGTTATTATAACAGTATCTAGCCCAAAAACTACATGTTTCCTTGCTAGACAAAGATCACACGAACACGGTCAAATGGGCCGCATGTGCATTATCCGGTCTAACGAGTAAGGACATATAAATAATTCTGGAATGCATTAGAACACTTATGTGTTGTGAGAAATTTTGTTTCTTTTTGGTTCATATTGCTTCATGTATTATAGATATTTATTGTGTGGCAATTATTTGAAATTTATTTACATTGCATTTAAAAAGATTGTGTTCTTGCTAAAATAAATAAAAAAAACATTCCTTCATCTGAATAGGATTTTGTCAAAAGGGCATATTACACCTCAACTGTAGTTAAAAATAAAAATTTACTGAAACATACTAGCATTGAACTTTGAATTGACCTTACTTTTGATATATCACACAGAGAGCGAACAAGTGACTGGATCGTTCAAAATACGCGGGGCATTTAACAAAATCCTTCTGCTGAAAGACCAAGAACCGGAAAAACTTACGAAAGGAATTATAACGGCGTCAACAGGAAATCATGGCATAGCTTGCGTACGTCATTTGGCATCCTTTGCTAATATATTGTACATCTAAATAGATAATTTTAAAGACGTTAGCCATTATCATTGTAGGACTGACATCTCATTGTTCTTTATTTATTTTAATCAAACAATTATTGCTTTTGTAGATGATAAGAAACGGGTTGAAAGAAGCTCCTTTGATGTCCAAAAAGCCTAAAAACTTAATTCAAAAGCTTATATTGATCAAGTGATGCACTTCAAACGGAAAAATATGAAAACAATTGTAAAGAAATATACTCGGAATTAAATTGAAAATTTATGTTTATTACGACCCTTAGCCAGCTGGATTTGAGTTAAAAGCAAAGCTTTTCATTTAAGGCCTTTATGCACAATGAAATTGATTATTTTGTACAAACGGACTGAGTGAATAATATAGAATTTTGCACTCGAGTTATTGAGTATAGTCCTTCATCAAATGGTATACCATTCTTGAAACAAATATGCCAATTCCGGTCATGTAAGAGGACCTTTAAATGATAACTTTTATTTCGTATGGGCTTCTCAAATATTGTAGTCAATGTATTTCAACGTAAAATTTAATATTTTGAAAATATGATGTTTTAGTCAATTCAATCAATTTCATTTTAATGTCTTGTCTTCCATTTTTAACATGGTAATGCTTATGTGATATTCCAAAACATGCAGTGAGTAAACGTATATTTGTTATTTTTAGATGCACGCGGGGAAAACATGCAGGTGTTCTGTCCAGGTATTTAGCCAAGAAAGTATATCACAATCTAAGATGGAGACTTTATTAGTATATAATGCTAAAATCACCCGATATGGAAAGGACTGCATGGAAGCCGAGGTGAAGGCTCGGCAGACAGCGCAGGTATTCTGATTGTATTTCGTGCTGTCTTGGTTATATGTGTGTGTATGTGTTTTCCTCTTTGAACATACCTAATAGTGTCATTTTCATAATAATCCGACATCGTTGCTCATTAACACTTGCTGTGAAATATTATGATTCTGTGTATTGAAATTAGTTTTATAGTCATTGTAAGTCTTATACAAATTAAAGAGATATTTGTGTATTAATGGCAGTCCAATTAGAATAAAACCTAAGGAATTTCTTGGTTCAGTTGTAAGTGGAAAATATTAAATGATTCGTTTTAAAAGTTATATCTTTCCCTAGCTTATGATGCTGCTTTTAATATGATATATAAATCCACGACATCACGACCACACTTGTACCATAGTTTCACCTATATGATAAATTAGCAATGATGGAAGTTAGCCCTGATAAAACCTGTTGGAGCCTGTCTGCACAGCATCCTACTACCCTTTCTGGTCGGTCATCCCTGCTTACTTTTTAGGCCATTTCCCTTGGCTTCAGTCGGGACATGGACAATTAACTTCTAACAAGCTTAGTCGTACGCCTTAACGTCTGACACGTTGCTGAAGAGCTTCTATTTTCTGCCGATGCCCCGTGTCTCTTCGTGATTTGAATGTGCCAGGGGCGAGATGAGAAAGTTACTGACTTCCACCAAGCATTTTCCACCTTATACTAAACTCATTTTGGCTTCCATCTTGGATCCGATATTTTGTATAAAAAGATTATCTTTTTATGCCACTTTTTTTTTATTATTTCATTATTTTTTACACGCTTATCTGTATCTTATAAGAAAGACAAACCTCTTTTAAACATATACGAAGGCATTCAATTTCTTTGAATTTATACTATATATATGTTCTGATTTAATTTCAGGAACGAGATCAAATATATTTGTCACCATACAATGACTGGGATGTTATGGCAGGACAAGGAACGATAGGGTAATAAAATAACGCAAGTCTAAAGACAAATACAAGTTAAGTTGTTATAAGAAATGATTTGGAATGTTACCTATGTCACAAATATTACATGTGAACATTTTTTTCAGAAAACGAATATCTGTGCATATCTGTTTTTAAGAAGGGTTTCGTGCTTAAACACACCCGATGACAATAGATAATAAAAAAGTCTTTGGTCTGCAATTTTCTTTTCAAAAATAATGTTTATTTGAAAACTGCGGAAGATGTTAAATTATTTAGACCGCTTTGGAGGCATACTGCTTTAAGAAAAAAAACTTTACAACAAGTAAAATCGATATTTCTAAATTCTATTTAGCATTTCTTATGTTGTTGTTAAGGTATGAGATATATGCGGAGCAACCAGAAGTTGATTGTGTTTTTGTGTCAGTTGGTGGCGGTGGTCTTATTGGTGGTATAGCAGCTTATCTGAAAAATAAAAATCCAAACATTCAGGTATAAATTAACTTTGAAATATTACATCACTAATCCAGTCAGTTTTTTTATTCTCTTGACAGAATCATGTAGAAGTTTTTATATTTAAATGTAGGCGACCAATGTGATATATTTACAAAAAAGAATAGGTTACTACAGTATTGATTGATAGTAATAAATAGAAAGCAACGTAAGACAGTTACTAGTAACATCTTTAATTTCTTTTTCGTTTTTGGGTTTGCTTTGCCTCTTTGTTTCCTTTTCATATACGTATATCAAAGATGGTTGTATCTGAAACATATATTCATTTAAATAAATGCTTTACTAATTATAGATAATAGGTTGTCAGCCAAGGAATTCCAAAGTAATGTATGAATCTGTTAAAGCGGGTCATATCAAGCATGAGGCATCTTACGATACTCTGTCAGATGGAACTGCTGGAGATATTGAAGACGGATCGGTAAAAGGAGTAGAAGTTGTACAATTTTGTGGCCCATTTATGCCTAACAAATGCTGTCATTTTTATTTCTTAAAAATGATTTTTACTTTGGAACTATTGTTACAGTTTCATTTCTTAAAACTAATATTTTGCCATATACATAAACAATCCTTTGCTGAGTTATGTTGGTAATTTGTATTATTATAGTGAATTAGTACTTTGTAAGTCAAAATACTACTTTGTTTAAATTTTGCTACCTCTATGACGCAGTACGTATAGCATGTTTCTTCAGATGTTAAACATCAAACATGCTCCTAATCTTTATCAAAGCATTATTAAACACATGTTTGACTTTTCTAAAGATTAAAAAAAAGAATTACTGATGCATATATATTATCGCAATATATTATCGAAGTGGTGTATATTTGTCAAACATTTATTTGATTTCTTTACTTATATACATAGAGGATATTCAAGTTTTGTCTATAAATACATGATTTATTTTCATCGAGTGGTATGAAAATAAATATTTCATGAGTGGCGGTAGCCACGAGTGAAATATGGTAATTTTCATGCCACAAGATGAAAATAAATCATGATTTATAGAAAAAACTTGAATTTTCTGTTTATTATATACATTTTTCTCTTTTTTGACATTAAAATTTGATAGACTTTCTCTTAAATTTTGTGTACTGGCAGAATTTAAAAGAAAGTAGTCCGGCAAGACACCAGTGAAAATACGGAAAATATGTTTCACTGCAGTGAAAAATAAATTTTTACAGTGAAAATACGGAAAATGAAAATACACATTTTATTTCGTCAATATTTCTCAATATTTCATTTGTAAGTATATAATAAATACGATTTATGCATATATCTTTGATTTATACGATCCCCAAAATATACTATTCATTGTATTTTCTTAGATTTACTTTTTTTGGTCTGGTGATATCTTTCTTTATTGATGAAATGTCAGTCAATCATTCATGCATTGCAGGTGACATTCCCTGTGTGTTCCAGATTTGTCGATGACTGGATTCTTGTAGACGAACAACAAATTTCTGATGCTGTATTCTTCATGATAGATAAACATCATAAACAGCCATTCTCCCATAATTGAAGCACTTTTGGTTCACAAAAAATGAAAAATCTGACTTTCATAAACAACGTTTTCTATGATTTGCTTTTAATGTTCAATATCTTGGACAGATTGTGTGGAAGTTTAACACACACCATTCGCTCCGTTTGTATACTGAAAGCTTTTGAAGTTAGTTACTGAATTACACTGTTACGGAACATATATATACCATAGGAAATACTTTGGAGGTGTTGTTTTACTAACATTTTAAATTAAACAATCCAAAAGAATATGCATTGAAAAGTTGAAGACCAATGGTTACCTTTAGCAAAAATATTTTATGCCATATCTTATTCTGAAATGTGTATACTTCGTATTTGAAAAGCTTGTATAAGCAAATATTTTCATAACTTAAGATTGACATTGTTTCGATATCATGCACAAACAAATACTGCCATAAAAGTTATCGAATTATATCTAAAATAGAAGCAGAAAACAAATCAAGCATAACTTTTAATCGGTGTAACGTTACCAAAAAAACTACGCTGCACAAATGATCATCAAACAGACCTTATGATCTGTTACGGAACATAGGTGAAAAATGATAAAACATAGGATTTATAACTCAATAGTTTCACTCTTTAAAATTACTTAAACAATTTAAATGTGGTATCTTCACAAACAACATCAATCATAAAACACTGTATCAATTAAAAATAACATCAACAGTTTAATTTAGTGAGAAGTGCAGGAAAAGATATCTGTTACGGAACATATGTTATGGAAAATAGAATATTATGTTTTTCACTGAAAATGAACAAGAATTCTTTTTTTTTCACTTTTATTTGCTTTATTTCTGCCTAATTTAACAAATTTGTTGTAATGTTATAATGTTTCATGTAGTTTCCTCTACATTTTCTTCACCAGTGCTTTTTCTTTTTTGAATGGGAACATACTTTTTTCTGCTTTCTTTCTCTTTTAAATGATTTGTTGTTTTCCCCTCTCTGCTTTGTCTCTTGTATTTCTGTTTTTAAAAGCACCATTCTAAAATAGAAAATTATAGCTTATTATAAATATATTAACCTTGATACATGAATATCATTAAAATAATTATTTTTATCATGATTATTATAAATATAACAATAACATAATAATCATCATTTTTATCATTATTACATAAATATCATTATTAATATTACTTTTTTCATGATAATTGTTATTCTAAAACTTTTAGATAATGTAAGTGACATAATGATACAATTTTGGTATTTTATAAATAGTAAAAAACATAAAAAAATCATATTCAAACATAGCATGAATGAATGCTATGTTCCGTAACAAATTTGATATGTTCCGTAACGGAAAACTGCAACCTTTCAACACAATACAAATCATGTAAGACGTCCAGTTAATATTGGACACTATTTTCATATATCTTTATAATAAAAAAACACACTGGAACAGTTTTTATAAACAAACTGAATATATGTATTATGGTGCTGAAAAAAGATGATAGGAGACTATGCTTCCGTAACAAATTGCCTTTGACTATTTGATAAACTGTGCACTTCTTTTTCATCAAAATATGTGTTCCATGTTTGAAACCAATCATTCATTTCAAATTGTTAAATACCTATGAATAAAGTACATTTATGACATCAGATTATGATCTCAAAATAATTAACTATGTTCCGTAACAAATGTTTCAAACAGGTAAAAAAAATATAAATAGCACCAACTTGCTACTTTTGACTCTGTGGTTTGCTGAAAATAAAGCTTGCAATCGATTTTTATCAGTAAAATTTCTCGTGTAAGTAACATAATTGTGAAAACATCGTTATCAAATCGAAAACAGTGGTTGCCAAAAAAAAGTACATTGATTGCCAATTACCTCCAGTTGCTTAATTGTATCATAAAAGTCAATTAAGTTGTTGCATGCATACCTCTAAGTGACGTATCATTGGGAGCGGTGATAGGCAAAAAAGACGCACCGTCAATTGAACCGTGTACTGTACCGAAATTCGGATGATCTTTTTGTTACGGAAAATAGTCGTTATGGAAACATAGTGAAATTAGACTTCTACGGGTCAGAGTTATCACATTTTTGTGCAAACGACATCTCATTTTGGTGTTTTTCATTTACAGAAATACAAAACAATATTTTGAAATTTTTATTTGATTGGTAAAATGTATATTTAAAAGTAAACGCCCGTTACGGAGGCATAGCATTTTAAACGCGACATTTGAATTATTTACAATAAAACGGTTTGTGTTGAAATGTATCATCGCAGGAGTCTAATTTATCAATTTTATTCCAAATATAGTCTTTTGATATTGTTTTGAGTACAAATTTAAAAGAATATAACGCATCTCAAGATCGTTACATTCCAGTTTAAAATCGTTACGGTACCATAGTTGCATTTCGGCGACGGCAGCATTTAAAGAAAATCATGGAAAATAAGGGTCTCTGTCTCGAACTTCTTATGTAATTCGTAATCTATTATCAATATTGTATTGATTTAAGGCAAAAATTTGTTGGAAAACATAGAAATGGATTGTTTTTTTCACCAATCTTAAACTTTAATTGGTCAAGCGACAGCGCTTTTTTGCAGTTACTATACCTTTTCAGTTTAACACAAATGAAAAACGAGGAGCATCCACGCTACAAAATTTAAGTTAAGCTGCTGAGAACATCCCAGTGTACTTATTTAAATGTTTGTCACAAAGGATTAAGCTCGTCTGTAAATTTTACTACGATTTTAAAAGTGGAGACAGGAATTATTAAAAAGTGCTTCAATTATAGGAGAATGGCTGATAAAGTGAGTAAGAAAAATGCCAGATAGCTACACCATTTCATAGCTTGAATTAAATTATTAACTTTTTGGCATACTCGTACCCCATAAATTCATTCTTAAAGAGGTCTAGTGTAACATGGACAAAGTTTCCATTTTTTTTAAATTAAAAAAAAAAACGAAACTAAAAAAAAACAAAAAAACAAAAAAAAAACAATAGAAATATTTCATTTGGAGATCCTTTTAGAACATTAAAAAATACGATGATGAGTTCTAGGTGATTATGTATGAACATTTCTTGTATTGAATGATGATATTTTGTCCAAGAACAAATTAGTATCTGCTTTATATAGATATGAGCCGCGTCACGACAAAACCAACATAATGGGTTTGCGACCAGCATGAACCAAGACCAGCCTGCGCATCCGCGCAGTCTGATCAGGATCCATGCTGTTCGCTTACAAACCCTATAACAAGTAGAGAAACTGATAGCGAACAGCATGGATCCTGATCAGACTGTGCGGATGCGCAGGCTAGTCTGGAACCATGCAGGTCGCAAACCCATTATGTTGGTTTTGTCCTGACGCGGCTCAATTATGTTATACCGGATCAAGTACCTGACAATTAGCAACACAATCAATACATTATTCATTCGTAGAAAACTGTGGTTGATATGTTTGATACAAAATACTATCAACAAAATTACTATTCATGTATTACAGGTAATACATTATTGATCAGCTGACTTTAAACCTACATTCATTCAATACCCTCTATTTCTTGTATTAATGCCATTGCAGATTTAACAGCTTACTTAGTAAAGCAAACGATTTTCGTAATGCTATACTTTTTTCTTTATTAAAGTAATAATACTGTATAGGTAGCCAATAATTGTTGCATTCTTTATGGTTTTGCAATATGCTTAAGATAATGTTTTCTCACATTTTTACTTATTCATTTTACTATTAAATACTCGCAAAACCATTTGTGTTACTATAATCATCATTACAAAATGTATATGAAACTTAATTTGACTGTATGTATTTTTAAATTTCCATTTGAAATATTTCTATTGCATTGAAATTAATCTTAATGTCCCATGCGTGTTAAAATTACTTTTTGCTGTTTCATATTTTGTTTTCCTTTGCTTTCTGTTGATGATGAAAACTACGCAAATTGTGATTCTCTGCTATATTTCAGTTGATTGAAGGCTCAGCTGGTGTAGTAGTTGCAGCATTACAAAGTCAGAAGGATAAATTCTCAGGCAAAAATATAGCGCTAGTTATATGTGGTGGAAATTTGAGCTCTGCAACATTAAAAACTATATTGGATAGTCACATTTAATACTACGCATTGTTGTTGCTGCAGTTCCAGCAAATAGATATTGCTATTAAAATCTCTATACATCTTCATTTTCTTTTCTTGATTTATTAGCCTACTACCAGTTTCACAGGAAAGAACTATCAGTTTACCACCGTCTGTCCGTCAAACTAATTAAACAAGAACGACCGCCTTTCTGTCGCTCTTGCCATAACTAAAAGAGTACAAATGCTTTGTTAATGGTATAAAGGGTCTTATGAAAATTATGCACGCATTTTATTTATTTTTAATTGTGATTGCTTTTGTTACGAAAATGGTGAAATCCAATGAAAACTGACCAAATCTGGACACTGATAAAACTCAAAAGTAAAAAAGGCTAGGTTGTAGATACTTGCTATTTGGATAGAGGCCCAGTTAGAGTTTATTAACTCTATAGATGTTTTTCAGATACCAATTATTACCTCCTCTGGCCGCCATTTTATGGGTCATTCCAAATATATGCTTAAGATATGATAAGATTTTCTCATTATTATATCATCTTCATGAAAACTGATATAAAAATCCTTTTACGCATTGGTGGTACTGTTTGTTTAATTTGGTTTTACGTGAAACCGAAAAATTATAGGTCATATGGAGACGTTCCAGCTTTACAGGTGGAGGAACACCTCAGTTGCCCTCCCGTGCATTATTTCAGGCACGAACGGGCACCTGAGTAGAACCACCGACGTTCTGTAAGCTAGCTGGATAGCTTCCTCACATGAAAGAATCCAAGGTCCTTGTCGGGATTCGAGGGACAAGTGGTTTGAAGTCAACGACCTTAACCACTGGCCTCGGACGCCCAACATATTGGTGGTATAATAATATTTGCAGCATATGTATATACAATTTCTCATGAGAAGGAAGAACTATGTTTGTTAAAACTCACTGAGATGTGACGATATTAAACTTCACCTAGATATCTAAAGCATTTAGAATGTATATGGAGAGTGCCATTTTGTTCTATATACAGCGCCATTTTGATATATTTGAGGTAAACACAGTTACTAGCACGACAGGATACAGTATAATTGAATAAAAGAAGCAAAGTTTAGAAAAAAGGCAAATATGGTATTTCCCATTATACATTGTATTTGAACTATAATATACATTTTGTTTGAATTATTTTTTCGAATCGTTTCCTGTAAATACATAGTGCCGTGCCCCCTCCCCACAAATTCTTGAAATCAGACGAATCCTGAGAAAAGAATCGTATGGCATATTTCAAGGTTGAACTGTCCAGTCAGTTTTAGCCCGTTTCATAGTCAAAGGAAACCACATTTACTTTATATGTCTTAACAATCGTAAACAGAACAATGTTCTTAATAAAGCTACCTCATGAACTTCAGACAAAGTTCATTTGTATACTACAAGTTCCTTTCCGTTTAGGTACTATTATGACAAAGTATTACACATTTGAGGCTTCATTTTGGGTGGCGCGATAGCTCAGTTGGTTAGACCACTGGCTGTCACTCCTGAGGACCCGAGTTCGATCCTGGGTAACACCCTTGGGATTTTTCAGAGACACTTTCAGTGCTTCCCACCTAATTATAGAGGTGTACTGGTAAGAAAACCAGGTAATCCATGTAACAGTGCTATACATTGGGCATGTAAAAGAACCAAGGGGTCTTTTCAATAAGAGATAGGGACTGGTTCCCTGAAACCCATGTATCTCGTGCTTTCTCTGAAGTGGCTAGTCTAGAATCATGTAGACCTACGTCGCGAGGGGTTTGACATTAATGGAAGATGGGTGGATGGATGAATGAATGCATCGATACATCGATAGATAGATACATGTAGATAGATAGATAGATAGATAGATAGATAGATAGATAGATAGATAGATAGATAGATAGATAGATAGATAGATAGAAAGATAGATAGATAGATAGATAGATAGATAGATAGATAGATAGATAGATAGATAGATAGATAGATAGATAGATAGATAGATAGATAGATAGATAGATAGATAGATAGATAGATAGATAGATAGATAGATAGATAGATAGATAGATAGATAGATAGATAGATAGATAGATAGATAGATAGATAGATAGATAGATAGATAGATAGATAGATAGATAGATAGATAGATAGATAGATAGATAGATAGATAGATAGATAGATGGATGGATGGATGGATGGATGGATGGATGGATGGATGGATGGATGGATGGATGGATGGATGGATGGATGGATGGATGGATGATAGAATTTCGGGTTCCTGATAAACCCGATGCTATGCTGTGTGTCTACTTTACTTTATAGTGATTTTTATTACTTTTTGAATGTTAATTTTCTTTGCGTCCTATTCAGCTCATCTGTGTTATCCAAATGATTGACAAAGTAAAAGCAAGCGTCTCTCGACAGAAAAGCGCCACCTACTCAAGTTATTTTCAGTGTTGACAAAATTTCTCTGAAAATTGTTGAAACTATGTTTGATTGATCATATTATGAACGGAAGAGATGTTATAGAATCTTTACAGGTAACAACTCTTAATGACACGAATGAAACAATAGATGTCAATTTATGTACATCATGAAAAGACCAAAAATTGATTATGTGACTTGTTTACCAAAACACGATATTTCATTCGGGGTTCGGCACGTTCCCAAATAATGATGTCTGTATATGCCACTTTCTACAGATTAAAAACAGAAAAGTGAAATTTTATGCGGCTCTGATAAAGGAGATTCTCTCAGTATTTTTCTTTTCCAAAGTCATATGAAAAGTTTATGCAAACAAGAATTTGAAGAAATGAAAGTTGGGATTTTCCTTTTTACACACGTTCATAATCAACATTAATGTTTTGAATAATTGCTTGCTAATATAAGCAGGGATTCCCAGAATTCCCTGCTAGGGTTACCAAAAAAAAGCACATCCGGCACCAATTAACCAGCCTTAATAGCGAGCTCAACGAGCTGGCCCGAAAGGCCTGCTCGCAAAGCGAGTACTTGCTAAGTGATGGTTTTGAAAACTTTCATTCGAAGTACCGAATTGGACACATCGCAACTTTTCAAATTACAAGATAACGATAAAAGCCGATGTACTCTGGTTGAAAACGGAAGCGTAGACTGGTGTCCTAGCACTTATATAGGAACCATATTAGAAAGGGGGAACCAGAATAAAGGGAAGCAGTGTATAAAATACCAAATGACAATTTTAAAACGGAAAATGTAAAATAAAAATGAACGATTATTTTAAACTATCTTACGGTAAAACAAAATTGAGCTCGCTTTGAGGCTTTCCATTTTTCATATTATTCATAATCAAAACTGGGCAAATAAATAGGACCTTGTATAGCCTCATATTTGTTAATATAAATGATGAATGCGGAAATAATCAACAAAAATGAAGATCTAGACTACTATCTATCTTCCAATAACATCAAACCCCACGCGGAGAAGTACATGTAGATATAGCTATCTTCCAATAATGTCAAACCAAACATTGGGAAGTACATGTAGACATGTTTTTGCGTGAAAATCGCAAGAAAGTTACAAAGAGTTGTTTAAAGAAAGATTTAAGAAGACTGTTTTAAAAATTTTAAAACAAAACCTAGAGTGTCTATGCAAGCTATGGCTGCACTGAACTCCTCTAGGGTAGGGAGTAGAGCAACTGCAGGCAGTAGTCAGTAGGTGATACCAATGGTTTACAGGCCTGTAAAAGGAGAATAATTTAGAATAGTCTGAAGTTGCTGTTACTTAAAGAACAATTAATGTATCATCACTCAAAATAATATGATTCACATCTGTATGTTAGTTATATCTATATATGTCATTCAATGAATAAAAAAACAACAGAGAAACACTAAAGCATGTAGGTCACAGGTCACTCAGATTTCTGAATATAAAATGATAAAACACTGACTTACAATATAGGTAGATCTTTTCTCCAGAAAGTGCCAAATAAATGATGTGTCTTATAATTTGTAAAATCAGTAATCTGTGTGTCGAAATTTATGTAAGATTAAGAAGTGGCCTGTTTTGGCAAGGTGAATAACTGTACATTAATTATCATAAGAAAAAGGGACAACATATATAATAATAGGGTTTTGTCAAATTAATTATATAGATCATCAAACTATCAGTCTAGCTGTAGAAAAATTGCTCATCAATTATTATAGATTAGTATGATTAATGTTAGTCTTCCTAGTTGCAATGCTGCTTTTGTAGGTGCAAGTATTAATATGATAATGATTTTAAGTAAATGTTTATTTTCTATATACACAATATTAAATATGAATATTTTATAGACACAGAAGCATAATATAGTATTAACTGGGAAAAATCCATTTGAGATTTCCATGTAGGTTACACTGCCTTAATATCTAAGTAAATACACTTCAGTAAAAGTGAGCGATACCTAGTGAAACATTTGACTGATGGATAGTAGAGCACATTTTAAGGCCACAAATACAAAATGTATTAGGAATAGAATAATTTGATTAAACTATTTCTAGCAATATAGTAAAAAAACTCTTTCTTTTTAATTTTTTATACATAACTTGTTATTGTTTATTTGTAAGGACTTAATCACTATGGAACTACGTGAGGAGAGAAATATTGCTGTAAATGGCTGGCATAGACGCCGTATGGCGAGAATACGAGATGTTGTAGGACCAGCCCCTAGAGACTTGCCACGACAAGTGAGATATGAAAGAATTACAGTGGATGATGACCACCTTAGGTATTGTACTCTAAATCATAAAAGCTTAAGTGTTGTACATGTATTTGTTTTATTCTTTATAATTTTATTTTACTTTAATTAGAAATGACAATATTTTTTCTTGTGAACATCATGAATAAAATATTTTTTTTAGCCATACACAAGTCAATAATGTATTCTTGTTTATACCCTTTGTTAGATTTCATTACTTATTTTTCTTTTAACAAATAGTGTCAACAATGGTTAGTAATTGAATATAACTTTTCATATATACATAATGAATTACATTGTATGATACAATTTTATCTGAACATATGTTATTTAGACTTAAAATGTAATGTGTCATTCTTCTTTTTTTACAAAATTATTCAGTACAAGTTGACTCTACATAACTGTTAACAATAATGTACATGTACCTTTTGTATTGCAGTTTTGCTACAAATGAACTAAACAAAGTTGGGCTCTATGTAGCCGCAAAGCCACTGTCACCAGAAAACTATTACTTTGAGATTGAAATAGTGGATACAGGGCTAATTTCTGCCATTGGTATGTTTCCAAATATGATTAAGAAAATATGATAAGTTATAAATGTAATTTTACATGTACAGGTGATTCATATGAACCAATAATGATTGCATAGTGTTGTACTACCTTTCGCTGTACGAAAATTAAATTTGCATTACAACCTTTAATTTTAGGATTACAGGTTTATAAATTTGGACATTTTAGACATTATGTCATGATATTATATATCAGTTTTAGTTTACATAGATTATGACTCAGTGACATACTTTTTGTTTTAAAAGCTACAGTTAAGAAATTTAGATGCACATAATAAAGAAGCATATGAGCCGCGTCACGACAAAACCAACATAGTGCGTTTGCGACCAGCATGGATCCAGACCAGCCTGCGCATCCACGCAGTCTGATCAGGATCCATGCTGTTCGCTATCAGTTTCCCTACTTGTAATAGGGTTTGTAAGCGAACAGCATGGATCCTGATCAGACTGGGCGGATGCGCAGGCTGGTCTGGATCCATGCTGGTAGCAAATGCACTATGTTGGTTTTGTTGTGACGCGGCTCATATTTCAAACCTAGGTATACTAGTATCAGTTGACCTAGATTTTGACCTGATGCATGTGTTTAGATCATAGTTACCAATATTCTCTGTCTTGTCATTTCAAGCCATTATAGTCGGGAGAGTGATACATTGCTATCTTGTTATGATTGACATTTATGGACAGAATGTATTTATCAATTAGCATTTTTTGTATGTGTATAGAATAGTTATTGTTACAATTAGATTATGTCTGTCAAAATTGCTTGGAACTGCTTAAATTTGCGTGAACTAAGAAAAAAATTATATTCAAGCTATTAACGTATACAAGTATAGAATTATATGTGTTTTGCAAGTTAGAATGCTTAAAGGGAATCCCTAATTGGTACTGCAGTGTTTGAAATTAGCAGTAGTCTGATAGCCCCTGACTACTAAATTTCTCCTGGGGCTACCAACTTTTTACAGTAACAAACCCGACCAGGCTACTGTATTTTCAGAGGCAATATAGACAACTGTTTTGAACAAATGAATCATGCTAGTGAATGTCTTTTGGGCTAGTGAATATTCCAATCTGGTAGTCTGACCAGCCTAGTCGATTCAAATCCTAATTTCTTACACTGGTACTGTATTGAATTAATTGACTTTTTGTTTTTCAATTTGCAGGTATAGGCCTTGTACCATATAAATATCCTATGGATTCCCAGCCAGGATGGAGAGCTTTCTCTGTAGGCTACCATGCTGATGATGGACAGTAAGTTTAATTGTTAATACATGGAAGTTGTTTTTATGCCGTGCTATGTCCATGATGGTTAACTTATAATGACTGTATTTTCTTTAGCCTTTTACCTGTCGAAAACAGATGTGATAAGCATTTGTAAAGCGAGTATAGAAACAGGCCAGTCTGCATATAATAATACCTATTAGCTTGATACTGTTAGTAGCTTAATTGTTTTTGTATTACAATTTTAAAGTCCCTTAAACATTGACTTTACTGTTCCAGGATGTTAATTATTAAAATTTAGCACAGGTAAGAATGTATGTAGGATTGGCCTACAGTGATGAAAACACATCAATTTGTTTGATGTGTCCTTTCTATGGCTATTTAATACCTGTTCAACTTGAATGTATGATTAGGGCTATAACATTTAATACTTTTATAGCCTGAACTTCTAACAAAAAATTATAAAGGTGTGAAAACATATTTAAAACTATGGCTAACACAAATTATTGTTTTGTCCTAACTTAATACAAATTTTGGTAATCCTCAACATTCTTCAAGGCATGTGTTTAAGGAAAGTAAGTAGACAAGAAAATATATCTAGTTAGTTTATGTGTTATTTTCTATTATTACCCCTCGATATTTTTGTAATGTTAATTTCTCATAGGCCAAATTGGAGTTATTCTTCCTGTTAATTCAATTGTATCATGTGACTAACAGTTTTGTACTGTTACATCTTTACAGAAAAAAACCCAATAAAGTATTTGTTTGGGGTAATAAAATAAATAACACATGACTGTGAATAGGTTTGTTTGTGACAGTAAAAATATCATCCCAAGGACAATACAGTTGCCTAAGGCATTACTCACAAACCTATATGTTATTTATATATAATAATATCATTGTTTAGTTCTGGGATCTGTGAGTACAGTATGATGACTCATTACATAAATTTTCAGATTATTTAAGGCAAGTGGATTTGGTCGACCTTTTGGTCCTAAGTGTAATATAGGGGACAAGATGGGTTGTGGTATTAAGTTCAAGAGGAATGAAGATGAGAGGCCTCAACCTGAACAAGCTGTCCAAGTGTTCTTTACGAGAAATGGTCAAGAGGTATGTTAATGTTACAATTGGCGTTAAAGATTTCATTGACACTTGACTTTAGTTGTGATACTTTGCCACAGGCAATTAATTCTACACAGTTGTACTGTCTAACAAGACTTAATACTCAATTAGGTTTTAAATCAAGTTTTAATTGAAACCCTTGAGATTGATGATATATTGTTTCGAATTCAAAGCAAGAAAAGTTTTCTTACACAATACCATGTGGTGAAGGATAGTAGGTTTATATATAATTAATACTTATGTTGTAAATTTAAAAAATATAAAATGTATTAAAGCAGCATGGCTCCAGATTCATGCTAAATTTCATGAAAACTTTAAAAATGTATTTAAAAGTAAAATATTGTTAAGTGAACACAGAAAGTAATTTTCACATTGCAAACAGCTCTTACAGCCAATGTGAATTACAAAAAAAGAGGCCAAAATATACAAAAATAGCACAAACTGCATTAGTAACACAGTACAGATATGGTGAAAATGTCTGTCATAAGTCGCACATGACAAAGAATTATTAGTCCCCTACCGGTTTAACCGGAGGGGACTTTAGGTTTACCCTCCGTCCGTCTGTCCGTCTGTCTGTCAGTCCGTCAGTCCGTCCGTCCACAAAACTGGATTCGCGATAACGCAAAAAGTACTGAAAATATTTTTATGAAACTTGATATATGGATAGATGGCAGTATGGAGATTATGCACGTCTTTTTTTTTTCTTCCTATGTTGAAAATTCTGGTTGCTATGGCAACAAATAGTCTGAAAATATGGCAAATTTAACACATAAACTGGATCCAGTGATAACGCAAAAAGTACTGAAAATATTTTTATGAAACTTGATATATGGATAGATGGCAGTATGGAGATTATGCACGTCTTTTTTTTTTCTTCCTATGTTGAAAATTCTGGTTGCTATGGCAACAAATAGTCTGAAAATATGGCAAATTTAACACATAAACTGGATCCAGTGATAACTCAAAAAGTACTGAAAATATTTTTATGAAACTTGAAATATGGGTAGATGGCAGTCTGGAGATTATGCACATCTTTTTCTTTTCTTCTTATGTTGAAAATTCTGGTTGCTATGGCAACAAATAGCCTGAATTTCAAGATTTCTGATTTAAATTTTTCAGCTTTTTCACTATATGTTCTTTATTTCTTAAGGTGTTTACTTCAAACTTTAAATATAAGTTTCTGGTCATCAACCACGTCATATGTGACAAGGTTTATAACTCTAGCACAAAAAATATCAGTATTACCTCCCTTGAACTTAGATTTTTTAGGGGAAAAAATGTTGTCTTTTTTTAATAACTTCTTTATTTCCTAATGTATCTACTTCAAACTTCATATATATGTTTCTTATTAACACTCGACATTTTTGAGAAGGTTAAATACTCTAGCAAGACTATTTCCAGAATTATGTCCCCCTTGAACTTAGATTTTTTTCGAGAAACTGGTATTTTCACTCCAACTTCTTCATTCCTTATAGGATTTACTTTAAAATCCCACATCGTAATAATATGACAAGGTTGTATAAACATAATTTCCTTACTAAGCATGGAAACTTAACACATTACTGTGATATAGACAAACTTATTTTATTATGTTTTGTGGTCGATATTTTCAAATACAGACTTCATCCTCAAATTCATTATAAATGGCAATACACAGGAGTGTATGACAATTAAAGAACTTTTTGAGGGACCGGTAGGGGACTACTGTATTGCCCGCAATACTATCAAATGCTTGTTACTTTTGTCTTAAATCTTTTTACTTTTCCTAAAATCTCAGTACCAGTACTTTTATTAAGTTTTATTTTCTTGAAATATTTGGTTCATCTGATGGCACGCAGCTTTAAAGAATGTCAAATTATGCCAATAGCTTGTATGTAGTAATTGGAAATGATAGAGACTAAACAAATAAACTCTTCTAGAATGAACTCATCCAACTTGTATGTATGAACAAGCTGGCCTAACTTTATACTGGTGGCATTGCCTTTGTAATTACATTTTATTCTAATTTTTGTAGATGGAAACATTAACGGTTTTCATTTTGAAGAGGTGCAGTGATAGAATGGATCAAATATCACTGATGAATTAATTTATTTTTATAAAACATATTGAATGATATTACTAAATGAGGAGGGGCATCCATGGCAAAGTGGTTAAGGTCGTTGACTTCAAATCACTTGCCTCTCACCGCTGTAGGTTCGATTCCCTACAGGAGTTTTAGATTCTTTCATATGAGGAAGCTTTCCAGCTAGTTTAAGGAACGTCTGTGGTTCTACTCGGGTGCCCTTTGTGCCTGAAATAATGCAGGAAAGGGCACCTGAGTTCTTTCTCCACCAGTAAAGCTGGAACGTCGTCATATGATCTATACTGTGTCGGTGTGATGTAAAACCCAATTAAATAAACAAACTAAATGAGGATAAGGTGGACGAGGCAAACTATTTTCAAGTATTTCAGATGACAATATTAAAAAAGGTTAGATAGTTTAAAGAACATATTGATATTGCAATACCTATGAAATTTTGTGTTTGTTTTCAGGTTGGCACAGTAACGGTACCTAATCCACCAGGTGGTTTGTACCCGGCTGTCGGTATGCATTCAGACGGTGAGGAGGTGAGGTTAAACCTGGATGCTGACTGGCAGTATGAGGAGTTGGTACATATGGCTGTCGACAGTGGGGAAGAAGAATGGTCCAGATTACATGATGTTAAATTAAATGGAATGGTAATTGGAGATTAATTGAGGATTAGTTAACTCAAAAATATAATTTTATTGAACAAACATTAATGTCTTTAGCTGAAATATTATAAAAATTGTGCAAGTATCCTACACTATTTTGGATTTGTGTGTAAGGCTTTGTAAAGTCTTTTATGTATATCATCATGATCTCTCACTTCGTATATGATAATCCATTGAAGGTATTCAATATAACTTCACACATGTCTCCTTGGTCATAATTGTAAGTCAGTGACCAAGAACCTTAATTCTGGCATTAGTTGTCACTGAATGTTTCTCTTTGGGAACATCACATGAGGGGATTATAGGTTTACCCCATTTCTGTTCATCATTTCATCTTTTAATTTGTCCATCCAAAGAAATCTGGATCCAACCATAGCTGAAAAAGCACAAAAGCAAGGTTGATGATATTTGGTATATGGCCTGCCTGCTTAGCTCAATATGGAGTAGAGAGCATATGATTTGTAATCCAGGGGGTCTAGTTCTATCCTCAGACAAAGCTGAGTTTCATTGTAACAATTGATATCAGACATTGTGTCTAATGGTCATTTGTCTCTCACTGTAAGATAAGTAGGTGATCAGTTGCAGAGAAATTAGTAATAACTGGTTTATTACCTAGGAAAGCTAGTTAGGTGTATCAACCATCACAATATAGCCAAAAGACACATTAACTTGTAAAATCCAGAAAATAAACACAAAAAAAACGTAGTATGTAAATAAAGGACAATATGGGGATTATGCACATTAATTTTTCTTTCGCCCCAAAAATGTCACAATGTTTTTGCGGTTACAGAAAAGTGAAAATGATGCATTAGTGGTTTTGAGTCCTATGATAACTTCAAAATGCTTATGCTACCATGGTAACAGAATAGTAAAAACAGTAGAATAAGGATCATACATCGATATATACTTAAAAAGTATTACAAAAATATTACTTAAAAAGTTCACATTTGTTCCCTTTATCTCAAATTAAATCAATTTCCGTAAATTTGGTCTGTCAGGCCAGGTTATATGTCACCTTTAAAAATCTGAGACAATTTTAATGTCAATTTCCACATTCACGGTGCATATCCATATCGGTACCCTCTTTGCGAAATCTGCTGAAACGGTACCCTCTCTGAACATGCACAGGTCATTCTCTGCTAAAAACAAACCAGCGATGGATACCAATCCAGTAAAATTTCATTGTAATAAGGAAAGGAGGTATGTCACGTAGAAAAGATGTATACCACGGAACACTAGGATGTTTTATTTATGTGCTGATTTGTCATGTCCCCGATTTTCATGTACTGCAACTTAACAATAAGCTACAAAAAATCGACATGTCTTGCTTCGCCCATCACCTCGACATATTTTTCGGGCTGAAATGAACCTGTGGCTTGATTATATATGCATCATACATATTTAATATGTTCGTATACATATCATCTTCGGACAAATGGCAGTATATTGTCAAAAATAAATGTAAAATTCATAAAAACACCCTACTTTCGGTTTTGCAGCGGCACGGGCTACCTCTCTTCATTTGAATTTTTATATCACAGGTACCCTCTCATTTTTAACACATGGGTACCCTCAAAGCACGACATATGCTTTTATTTGCGTTAATCGTTAAGTATGTAATAGGCCTATTTACATAAAAGTAAAAAGTATTACATACACACTTAACGAATAACGCAAATAAAAGTATATGTCGTGATTTGAGGGTTCCTATGTGTTCAATAATGAGAGGGTACCTGTGATATAAAAATTCAAATGAAGAGAGGTAGCCCGTGCCGCTGCAAAACCGAAAGTAGGGTGTTTTTATGAATCTTATATTTATTTTTGACAATATACTGCCATTTGTCCGAAGATGATATGTAAATGAACATATTAAATATGTATGATGCATATATAATCAAGCCATAGGTTCATTTCAGCCCGAAAAATATGTCGAGGTGATGGGCGAAGCAAGACATGTCGATTTTTTGTAGCTTATTGTGAAGTTGCAGTACATAAAAATCGGGCACATGACAAATCAGCACATAAATAAAACATCCTAGTGTTCCGTGGTATACATCTTTTCTACGTGACATACCTCCTTTCCTTATTACAATGAAATTTTACTGGATTGGTATCCGTCGCTGGTTTGTTTTTAGCAGAGAATGACCTGTGCATGTTCAGAGAGGGTACCGTTTCAGCAGATTTCGCAAAGAGGGTACCGATATGGATATGCACCATGACATTTATATGGGTTGGGTAGGGAGTGAGACAACCTTATACTTAAAGGGGAATGCAGCATTTACTTTGACAAGTTCTTATTTGAAAAAGTTATTATAATATGACTTGTTATTAGGCAACATGAAACAAGATGATTTTTAGTTGTTTAGAATATTTCTTGTGTAATTAAGATGCAGTCTGTCTGTGGCCATCCTAGAAATAATGACAGAAGAATTATTGAATGATCTTAAGTTCTGTGAGATAGTGGGAAAATTGGCTTGAGACATACTATTAGTCTTTCTGTTAGATAAAGAATACAGGATACATATTATTGTTTTGTTAACAAAATGAACAAAGCTGTTTCAAAATATATTTACCTATGTTTATCTGGCACAATATTTAATAATATGCTGTTATGTTTGTTATTATTTCAGACATTGGAGTATTCTGGTCGAGGGAAAAGTATTCACGACGTAGGCCTGGCTCAGGCTAAACATCCATTAGATACAATGAATCATTACTTTGAAATAGAAATTATAGACCCTGGTGAAAGCTGTTATATAGCTATAGGTGTAGCAAGAAGGGTAAGTATAAACATTCATTTTAAATTATACCCCCCCCTTTCAGTAGATTGTAAGGTATATTGATTTACCATGTCTGACAATGTGTTTGTTTTGCTGCAAACAATTTCCTTTTCTGCTTAGCTGTTTATCCTCATTTCATAAACTTCTTGACAGTAGCTTAATGTTGACTAACTGAAGTTAATAACATTAACCCTCAAACTTGAAAGTCAAATTTAAAAATGAAATCATTAAAAAAAATCAGAATACACAATAAAAGAATTGTATTCATTTACTGATTTGATAAAGGTCATTTGTACAAGCTTAGATTTGTCAATGTTGAAGCTGTTTATTGATTAAAAGATTTTTTATTATATAAAAAAATATAGTTCTATATTTATCATATGCACATAGATGTTGGAAGTCATTTTATTATTATCTTTATTTTACATATTTTCTAGAATTATCCAAAAGACAGACATCCTGGTTGGAACAAAGGCTCTATAGCATATCATGCAGGTATGTTGTCAGACTGTCCTCTTCTCAAATATATTTGAGCTGCGTCATGACAAAACCAACATTATGTGTTTGCGACCAGCATTGATCCAGACCAGCCTGCACGTCCGCGCAGTCTGATCAGGATCCATGCTGTTCGCTATCAGTTTCTCTAACTGTAATAGAGTTTGTAAGTGAACAGCATGGATCCTGATCAGGCTGCGTGGATGCGCAGGCTGGTCTGGATTCATGCTGGTCGCAAACCCATTATGTTGGTTTTGTCATGAAGTGGCTCATTTGTTCTTAGGAAATTTGTCATTTTGTAGCAGAAAGGTGGAAATGCACCATAAAAGATTCCGGCCATAGCTGGGATTCAAACTCATAACCTGCTTATAAGCGAAAGTAAAAACAATCTAGACCACTGAGCCAAACAATTGATTCACTTATTTAGCAAATGTTTTGTATTTATAAAGGAAGATGTGCAGTCAACCATAACAATGTTCCTTAATCTCTGGTGTTAGTATTTAGTAAAATTGATTAGGATTGTACTTTTCAGTTTGTCAAAAAACATGAAAATGTAATTTAATCAGAATTTTATTTACATTTTCAGATGATGGTAAAATTTTTGTAGGGTCTGGAATTGGAGATCCTTTTGGGCCAAGATGTCATAAAGGTATTATGATAAATATATATATTATTGCATTAACCAAATTGGCCAGTGTTTAATTTTCATGTAAAATAGTTAATATTGAGTCAGACATACAATGATTCTCTTGCAGAGTGATGTGTGTCAACTTCAAGAATTTCTTAAAGCTATATCGTATGAAATGTTGTCAATATGGAATGCAAACATATCTATAATCCAATTACATTTTTTCACTTTAACTGCCATATTATTGCTGTGCATTGAAATATATTTTGAAAAAAAAATGGATATATCCTGTATTATGAAACAAAAAACCATTGCTCAGGATATTCAAATTGTTAACTATGATTACAGGTGACTTGATGGGATGTGGTATCATGTTTCCACCTGATTATGACAGCGAGGTAGACAGTGATTTATCACCGGATGAAAACGAGAGTCCCGACTTCCAGGAGGAGCCATATCATTCGTCAGATTCTGAAGAGGAGGAGTTTTGGGGCGGGAATAAAGATTTTGAAACTGGAACAAAAGTGCAAGTAAGTGGATTTAATCAAATATGCTTCTGAAATTATTATATGTTTTTTTGTAAGATTTTTTACAGATTGTTGCTATCTTGATGGAGTAAGAAAGTTACGCATTTGTCTTTTAAAGCAGCTCATCATTTGAATGATGCTAAATTATATGAAACTTTTAAATGTGTTACAAATTCATAATTAAACAAAATACAATGTTTTTTAGCTCGACTTTTCTATGAAAAGGGGAGCTATCCTACTCGCCCCGGCGTCGGCGTCGGCGTTAGCGTTGGCGTCACACCTTGGTTAAGTTTTTCGTACCACCCCACTTTATTTCAGAAGTATTACAAGTATGGCTTTGAAACTTACCATACTTGTTCACCATCATAACCTCCATCTACAGACAAGAGTACATAACTCTGTCAAGGTTTTTGACAGAATTATGGCCCTTTTTTGACTTAGAAAGTGTATTGAGCTTGGTTAAGTTTTTTGTACCACCTCACTTTATTTCAAAACCATTGGAGGTATTGCTTTGAAACTGACCATACTTGTTTACCATCACGACCTTCATCAACAGACAAGAGGACATAACTCTGTCAAGGTTTTTGACAGAATTATGCCCCTTTTTGACTTAGAAAATACATTGAATATGGGTAAAATCCACTTATTGCCTTAACCCTTTGAGATATTGCTTTGAAACTTTTAATGCTATTTCACATCATTACCCCCATCTGTACGCAAGAGAAGGTAACTCTGTCAAGGATTTGTTTTAAAAATTAAGGCCTTTTATCGACTTAGAATCTTGGTTAAGTTTTTAGTACCAGTCCACTTTTTGACTGAACTGTTTGAGATATTAATTTGAAAGTTGGAATACTTGTTTACAATCATGATTCCCAAACATGTCCAGGAGAAGGTAATTCTGTCAAAGATTTTATTTGAATTATGGCCCTTAACTGTCAATGTTTTGTATTATAGGCAAGCACTAAAAAACTTAAAAAATCTAAAAAAATTCATTCCTATCCACTTGTTCACTTTACCATAAATTATGTCATATAAACATTGCTGTAATATTCAAGGGTATCAAACAACTAGTTCACTTTAAAAATACAGAGATTCTTGTATTGCCTTTTACTGCAAAAACTTTTTTTATTGGCAAGCAATAAAAAAGTCGAGCGCGCTGTCTTACGGACAGCTCTTGTTTTACATTTGCTCACCTTGACACATCTACTAACAGTACAATGTTTAATAGTTAGTTGTGAGGTAGTAGATTTGTGATAGAAATAAGGAATTCAGTCAAATTTTACATACAAATGGAATTGGAATTGTACATTTTTTAGTTTTTGCATATACACATAATTTTATTTGTTTGATATTATATTTTGAAAATGTCTTTTCTTCTCTTGAAGCATATAGCTTTGAGGAACAATAATTTTATACATTGTATAAGTATTATTCTATAAGTTTTATAGAGTATAATGTTGATATGAACTTTGACCTGAAGCTTCAATGATGAATTTGCAAGTTGACATGTTATTAATTTCTACTTTGAATACGTCATTGATTTTTGCATTATATTTATTTTCAGATATTTTTCACAAGAAATGGAAAAATTATAGGATATAAACAAATAAGTATACCAAAAGGTGGATTCTATCCAACTGTAGGAATGTTAAGTAGTTGTGAAAAAGTGCGAGTTGATCTACGCCCACTGACTGGATAGACACACCTCCTTTTACAGGATAGACCTGCCCCCTTTTTTAATTATGATGAACTGTTTTGACCAATTTCTCCAGGTTTATTATCAATTTTAATTGAACAAATATTTTTATGTGCATTTGCACATTTTGCAATACATTAATGTATATTAAATATTGTCAAATTGTTTCATTTGACACATTCTGTTTGAATGGAGAATAGTCAGAATACGCAATGTTTTATGTTTTTTCTTGCAAAGATTTTTTTCCTGCCAAAAGTAATTTTTGTATGTTCATATCTATACTGTTTATTGGACTTTGACATATATTTAGGTTGGTTAATATTTTGATTTATGAGCTCAGATAAGTTCAAAGATGCTTTTATGAACCTAAAGGCACATTTTAAGTCTTGAAAATGAATAAATTTTCTGTCTTTGTAAAGGGCACACACGTTTTTATAATGTCGTAATAATGGATTTAGAATATGTAAGATGCTTGTCACCCAAAGAATTTAGCACTTAATTGGAATAAAAGTAGCAAAATGTAAACAAAGTGATATTTTGTTGTCCATACAAAATACTAAATTAATAGCCAAAACACATTAGAAGCAAAAGTTGAAACAGGTGTATAGCCAATGAGTAACTTTTTCGGAACTGCAACAGCACACCAAATAAAATAGCTTCCAAAAAATAAAGATAATATCATATTTTAGCCTGTAATGACTTAAAAAAAAATGTAATGAAACTTTTCACCTTGTTTAGAGAAGGCTTATGATTTAATCACTAAAAATTGCATTAGCTTCAACTAGTGTAGTGATTTTATGTCATTTTATTGTTTTTGTTTTGTTATTTGTAATTATCAAGTTTAAGTATGATGTGTTTAAGCATAAAGACCTTTATGTTGTTGTTTTTTTAAAGCTATGAGTTTGATTTGTTTTGGGACATATGGCACTGAGTCCTTAAACACTGGAGGGATTGGTCTTTACTTTTCATCAGTACCACATGGTTCCAAATTGGCATACACTGTGATTATTGTTAATGTATAGTTTTCATATTTTATATATGACTTCAAGTGAACAGTCATTTTTAGAATATTTGTGTAACATTGATAATTACTTTGTTAATTGACTTTTTATGATACAGAATATATTTTTAAAAGATTTTTTTCCCCAACAATCAAATGTTAATTAATTGAGATATGGTTTTATATGTTACGTAAAGTAATAAATTGGTAAAATCCATGAAGTATGGAGAAAAGAATAATGAAAATCCTGTTTTAGATTAAAATTGAATTGCAGACTTCTTAGAAATACCATATATTATCAAAATTTAAAGAAGTGTTGCATAAGAAAACCTTTATTTATCACCAGTTTACGGTAATAGTGGCCGCCAACCCATGTAGAATATGGGAACTTCAAATTCCTGCCATTTCCATGTTATGAAGGGCCAGGGCTGCAATTGACTGGGGTGTAAGAAAAGCAAGGTGGTTATTGTTTGATAATCAATTTAAAACTCAAGGAAATTTTTTTTTATATAAGCATTGATTATTGTATGAAATTATTAAGGGGGAAAAAAGGAAAAGTTTATATTTAAGCTTTTGAACTAATATTTTATGTTTCATTGAATGAAATATTTTTTATTCCACTGAGACTACGAAAGAACTTTAAATTTGCCAGAAGAAAATATTTTGTTGTTCTATTTGGCTATGTTTGGGTATTTTAACATTTTTATATGGACATTTTATATGTCATAATGGTGTTTTTTTTGTGTTCCAAGTGAGGCAAATTATTCCTGTTAGCTGTCAGTTTATTTTCTATTTAAATAAAGGGCCTAGTTAAACTTCCACATCACATTCTAGTTTTCTTTAGATGTTTACATATACTTATATATAAATCTAAAACAGGGTTTTCATGATCTTCTCACCTCTTTACTGTATCCTGAAATTGAACTATTTCTTGGGAAAGGAATCATACCTCTATATTAATTGCTAGAGACTGAACCTTTCTTTCCTAAAATGTCCTTTATTATAAATAGATACCTGGCTTTGCTTTTGTTGTTGTTTTAAAAAGAAAATAAAAACATTGAGAATAATTTATATTTCATTTGTCATGTGTAAATATATTCTTTATTTAAGACTTTATTTAGAGTATTATCATATTTACTGCTTAAGGAGTTTGCATGCAAACTTCGAGATAATGAAATAACTGTAAAATATAAGCTGAACAATTTATTTTGTGTATGATGCATTTGCTAATTAAATCTGTTATGATTTGATGTATATCTACTAATTCCATGGTTGGATTTAAAGGAATTAAACCTGTATTAATTACTTTTGTTATGGAGAAAAACTATTTTAAATGTGATTACTGATTTTTTGTTGATTTTTAGCTTGTCTGTTTCGAAGAAAAAGTCTAGCTTTTATGGTTGCTGTGTCGTCTTTTGCAAAAACTTTAATGTAGACCATTATTCAAAGATTTCAAAAGGTTTCAACATGAAACTTGGACTACTTGCTTATTGCATTTGTTAAACAAGGGGCAAAATTCTGAAAGCAGAATTTTTGGAGTTATGCCCCTTAGAATTTTTAATAGACGAGCGTTTACATTGTTTTGAGGTTTAAGTATAATGAACAGTTCTTACCTTGAAGACAATAAAGGCATCTCCATTGATGAAAAATTTGTTTCACCATTTTGTTTTCCATTATAAATAGTTAAAGGAATTAGGTACATTCATACTTATTCCAGTTAAATTCAGACAAGTTTAATTCAGACATTTTCCAGTTGAATTTTCTCACTTGAATTTGTACTTGAATGTGTGTGTGAATTCAACTTGAATGCAGGCGTATTCAACTTGACTTCACACACGCTAAAATTCACGCATGCTGAATCTTCTAGTCTAAATGTATAACAAGTTGAATTGAGTGTGATTTGCCTAAAGTCATGGTATACAGAAATACTATTTAGTTGGTGACAGTGTAGGAAGAAATTGTAAATTCATTGAGAGTGTTTGAAAAACATTTAGGTTAGTTACAGTGTTTGAAGAACGATAATTGTAGTGACAAATTTTGAAAAATGATATTTTAATAAAATGACGGATTCACTGACAATGTTTGAAAAATAAAAAATTCAAAATGACATTGTTTGAAAATAAATAAATCAGTAACTTTTTTTGAGAACCATTTTGTTTAAAAAAAAAATGCAGACTTATAAAAATGAAAATTATATCTATAAAATTGTTTTCATTTACTCAAAGCAGAAACATAAGTGAAGGCATGGCCTAGTGGTTAATGCTCGGGACTAGAAATCTAATGATCACTAACCGCATGGGTTCAAACCCTGTCAGGGGCAAGTCATTGTTTCCTTGAAACTTTACACTCATTGCTCAGTACTGGTTGGTTCCAGGAACGGATTAGAAAGTGTGTCTATAAGCTTATAGCGTCCTACACAATCAAACTAAGATAAATTCTGTATAAACCAAAACAGAAACATAAATAACAATTTACAAAGTATAATCTATTCTAAGTTACACAAAGTTTCAAAGTTTTTATTATGATATAGATATATAGATATATTCACCTCAATGTAAGTAATGTAACTGCATGAATATTAAGTTAAGCTGACAAAAAGGAGAATCTTAATTGAAAAAAAAAAGAAAGAAAGAAATATAAAATATTTTTTCAGAGATTTTGTTTGTTGTACATTTATAAACAGATATTGTATTTTAATCATAAATGCAAAATATTTTTGAACCTGAAGTCAAAACTAGAAATAAGCATGCCTCCTCATTTTTGTAACTCTGTTAAGCTAAACTTAAGTACATGTATGAATTTATTTTTTGTGCTATATTGCCATGAGTGTGACAAAATATACTTGTGCTTTTCATCATGGATTTTGGTAATTATGTTTGAATTTATTTATTTTGGAAAGGGAACTTTTTATGACTAGTCAATTACAAGTTGTAGATTTTCTGATTTTCAAATACATGTAAAACTTTTAATCTATAATTAAGGAATCTGAAGTACTTTAATGTAATTGATTTGCTGAGCTCTGCTAAGAATTTGCAACAGTCCAATCAGAAAAAGGGATTTCAATATTAAAAAAGAAGTAATAATAATATAGTATAGAGCCTGGTCAGACTGCACAAATGTGGTGGAGCCTTATCTTTTTCAGATTCGGCAGGTTATGGGTTTTTAGAATGTCAGTTCTGTTTATATATATGTTAAAATGTTTTATTTAGATATATAATTCTGTCAATTAGGATGAACCAAACTTGCCAAAAGTTAGTGTTTTGATTATTTGCTCTGTAGCAAGAATCACGGAAAGTCATTGCTTGAGAGTTTTACAAATGTTTTGGAGGTTATACTTCCAGGAAAATATCAAAATCCATAATTCTAGCATTGATTTTAATTTGAATATATCCACTTTTAGAAAATGAAAAACCAGCATTGCTGATATTTTAGTGTGACATCAAATGTTTCTTTTCAGAAGCATAATTTAATAAGGAAGATGGTTCTTTAAATATGGAGGAACGCCTCATTTTACATACATACATTCTTTGTTGCAGAAGTGTAATGATACAGTATTTTAATGACAAAGCCACTTTGTTATTGTATTTTGTTATGTTGTTATTATATGTTTTATATTGATTGTTGTTGTGTTGTTTTTTTCTAGAAATTTCATTTTAGATATGTGCAAGCTTACAAAATGCATAGTATGCTGTTGAAATGTGTAAACATTTGTATTTTGACATATAAAATAAGCGATGTTTATTTTATTCTTATGTCATAACAAAACCAACATAATGGGTTTGCGACCGGCATGGATCCAGACCAGCCTGCACATCTGGGCAGTCTGATCAGGAACCATGCTGTGCACTATCAGTTTATCTACTTGTAATAGGGTTAGTTAGCGAACAGCATGGATCCTGATCAGACTGCGCGAATGCACAGGCTGGTCTGGATCCATGCTGGTTGCAAACACACTATGTTGGTTTTGTCGTGACGCGGTTTATTTTATTCCTATGTCATAATGGCAAATCAAATCAAATGATAATGAAATTTATTTCTTTGGGTTTTTCTTCCAGCTCTTTTCTGATATTGATTAATATTTGCCTCAATTTTGATGCGTTTGCTTGATAAAGTACTTGTTGAAAAATGCATTTTTGTTGCCTTAATTGCATTTAAATCTACCAAATTTAATGAGAAAGGTTTCTATTTGATATGTGTATGATGTATCTTGTATTAATGGGTTCTGTGGCAAGTTTTTAAGTCACAAGCTCATTTCTTTTATAGAAAATTTTGATTGAAAGTCATATTTTGTATACCGACAATTGAAATTATAAATGTTACTAAAAGGTAAAGTAAAACACCAAAACTGTTAAGGTAAAATACCATATAATGCAAGATAGGTTAAATATCATAAACTTCATTTTACAGAATGTTTAAATAGTTTATTGGTATTAAAATATGTGGAAATTATAATATTATTATAATCTTGCTTGACTTCATCAGGGATTTTAAATCTGTGACTTCATTGAAAGGAAAGAAACAAATTTAGCATACATGTTCATTTATTTTTATTATAATAATTGTAAAAATACAGTTTGATTCTCCAATGCTGAATATGAAGCTACTTATAAAGATTTATTTTACTCAATCTGCATTTTTTGAATTTTTCATAGATAAATATGATGGTATACATTAATGTCATAAATTAATATGATGTCATAAATTGGTATGTACATGCACATGATTACACATACACATATTAAATGGTAACCAATTAAAAATTTTTGATAAAAATATGAGATATTTTTGATGTACTTGTAAGAATGCTCATCAGAGAATCTGACATAAATAAAATACATAATATATAACTTGCTTTTGATTATTTATGTTTTAACCCAGTCTTTAATCTTTCTTTGATCTTCTGCCGATGCCCTATGCCTTTCACCGACATTCACTTACCTAGGGGATTAGAATAACCTGATACAGTTGTAAGATGTTGTATTGATATAAGCCGTGATGTGTGTGCTAATAAGTGTAACAATATAACTAACTCGCCAATAGAATGGTTCTCTAAAATGGATGTTTAAATCATTAACATGGTATCAAAGGAGTCTCATCAGTTTTATGTTGAATAAATTAGCGAATCCTTTTAGCTGAGCTGTTTCGAAAAAAAGTCAGCTATTATGATCAGACCGCCGTGGCGTCGTCGCCGTGCAAAAACCTTAATGTAACCCATTATTAAAACATTTTAAGTTATCAACATTAATTTTGGAAAACTTGTTTATCATGACAAGTGTAGTTTTTAGAGACAATGGTCATTTTTCTTAAAGCTGTATTTTTGGAGTTATGCCCGTTTTAAACTAAGAATTTTTAACAGATGAGCGTTAACATGGCATTGGCGCTCTTGTATAAACGTTCTGTTTTGTCAGAATTAAGAAAGCATGTGATTATTGTCTTAAAGATTTGCTTTAGGTCTTCTTCAACTGGTCAAATTACGGGACTGAGTCACAATAAACCTTAAATGGTAACGTTAATGTAATGAGTTTACAACAAAGTTGGAATGTGTACTTAATGCACTACTGTGTATCTGCCAGTCACTTCCCCCACTAAAGCTGTTATGTTGAAAACATAATTGAACGAATGAATAAATTTATGCCACATTTTATAAATTAATAAATTAATATTAGTAAGGCCTTTTAACAATTGTACAAGTATCAAATGATAAAATTTCTATTTATGTGTATCGCATGCGTACGGATTTAATGAAATATGAAAAACCGAAACTGTTTAGAATATGAAATATGACCGAAATATGTCCGACAAGCATAATAGATTTAAAAACGCCCACTGATGTTACATACTGTTACAGTGTATAGATTTGTTTTATTTAGGACGGCTTTTACTGGATATATTAGAATAAACTTAGTCATCAACTCCCAGGATAAAAATACTTCTTTACATGTTTAATTTCTTAGCGTATGAAAAAGTTTGTTGTCACCGTACCAGAGGAATAAAAACACACTCCTCTGAGGTCTAAAAGACTAAAAAAACATGATAATTAGAAATTCAACTGAGACACTGAGAACCAGAGATAATAAATACACTTCGAATTGAATGTACAATCGATTTTTTTGTTCAACTTCAATCTCGATTTGAGTTTAAATGCTTTTTATTCTGGTAATTTTGCATCATTAGAATAATTATTCGAAAAACAACAACAACAACAAAAACAATTAAACAATAAAAAACACCAGCAAAGTAAGTGAATGATCTGATATTTTCCACCCAAGTTATTTGTTCAGACATACAAAAAACGGTATTGAAATATGAAAAATATATATACATGCAGTCCCATTTGATACATTGAAAGATGTGGATAGTTTTCTCCTGTATAATTTCAATAGAGTTTCATTATCTCTGTTACTAACTTGTGTAAGCCTTATGTTTTAATATGGTCTCTTTTTCAACTAACTTCAAAATTTCTTGTAAAATGAACTAGTGAATGCACCCATTTAAACATTAAATTCGAAATAACACGTGTCCACATTGGTCTATTTTTTAGTTGATCCGAGTATTAATATTACTATTCTGATGTCAATTCTTTTGTTCTAGGTATTTAACAATTTATAGTCGGCAAAAGGCATGTCTCAAATTGCCTTTCATTGACTTGTTTGGATTTAACGTCACCGCTATCACCATTATCAGTGGGGCACAAATCAATGTTCTCTTTTGTTTTCAAAATATTTTGATCTTTTACGGGTGAAATATCTGACTTATTGTTAAATTCAATTTGCTTTGTTGCTGCAGTCTTATGCCTCTGATAGTCCGCGTTTCTCGAGAACATGTTACTGAACGTTCCCGCTATTGCCGCTATTGGTAAGGCCAAAACAACAATTCCATTCACTGCGCAAATCATGCCTACTATATAACCATACGTCGTCGTCGGATAAAAATCTCCGTAACCAATTGTTGTCATGGTAATGAGTGACCACCACAACGAAATATACGTATTTTCAAACATTGTTGATTGGATTTCTGCCGAAAATATCATACATCCGTACACGATCACAGCAACGAAGAACGAAAACAAAAGCAGTCCAAGTTCTTTACAGCTATAAGTAAGGGACAAAATCATTACATGAAGCCTGTTGTAAACTCTATGAAGCCTAAAAATAAGTAGAAGTCTGATCACGTTCAAGCTCTTACAAATGTAATACACATAACCGTAGGAATCGTTGTAATAGAACGTGTCTTTCCGAATTTCGAGTCCGGTAGAGATAATCATAGCGATACATAATAAGATCTTTGCCAGATGATAAACGTTTTTGAAATACTTCAGTTTGTTTGGACAGGCGATATAGTGAAGGATCGTTTCCATTATGAAAAATGTCAGGCAAAACAAATCCAAAGCAAATAAGATAGGATGTGGATCACTAAAAGTCATTAACACCGCCTTTTCTGTGTACGTATCCACCAGGTATTTGTATATAGTCTCATTTGCAAAAACATCCAGTCCTTCAGGATTATCGGACAAGTATTGCGAAACTCGAAGCCTGGGGTCCATCCAAACGATGAACACTATTACACTCACCAAGACTACGACGCTATAGAAAAAGCACCACATCTGAAAAGTTAATACACATCTATAAATAATATGTATTACATTATCTGCTAATAAGGATTGTTATAATTTTATTCAAAGAGTTATTTTTATAATTAGTTTACAATAAAAACCATAATTATATAATTTACAAGTCACAATTAATGTATTGTGACCCCAATTTTGTGTCAAAATGTACTAGCGCTTTGTCTACAAATTTAGACACCCTATGTTAAGATTTCATGTAGTATAAATCTATTATTTTCCTACTTCTGTTCGAACATCTGTTAAGTTGTTAAAGTAGAGAATACTAGTATTAATTAATATAGAGCTCTTTTACAATGAACATATCATGCCTTTGCGGCAGGCGATGATGCAGGTTCGTCAAGAAATTGCCAAAAGGAGTAAAGCCTGTTTATTTTATCTTTCTCTTCCATTTGTTTGTCTTTGTCGGGTAAATCTGAATGATCCGCAATATTTACTGTCTTTATAATGCTCTCTGTAGCTTTTACAATCGGTTCATCTTTTTCAAATATTTTCTCATTTTGGATGAGTATCTTTACAGTTTCTATGTCACTATCGACTTCATACAGGTATTTCCAACAACAAGGAGCAACCAAAGTCAGCGGAATCTTCCAAAATAGAAGTTCCTCTTTAAATAGAAGAGGACAAATATCCCTTGGAACATGAACCAAGTCATATCTATACGCATTGAGGATGTGTCTGAATAAGTGTGGATCTCTTTCGAAATAATGACGTTTAATGTCGGTGTCTAATTCATTTAGAAGTGTTCCTTGAATATTGTCCAGTGTAACAGTTCTTACTCTAAACACTTCCCCACTTATATCTAACGAAAGGGTCTTCTCCATTTTTAACAAAAGTATGAATCAGGAGAAAAACTATTAAACGGTATAAATTTATTATAAAACTTTAACATAAATGAAATCAATACAGTATTAAAATACTATTTCTAGTCCATTCTTTGAGTTTTAATAGAACTTAATAACACACGATGACATAAGTGATTTCCATAAGTATCATTTTTTACTCTTTTTTGTTGCATTGCAAGAAACACTTTAATAAACCTTTAACTTAAAATGACAACACAGTTTCACGATTTTAAAGCTATCATTTCGATTCCACTTTCTTTTTCTGCATCACAACGGCATCTTTATCCTTCATCAGTATCAGCTACATGGCAATGTTCGTTTTGAAAACAGGATTATATAAATATTTATTCATTGGTAAAAGCAGGTTACAGATAGTTACTTGTCGGGATGTAGGTCGAGCATAATGGAGATAATGTATCCACTTTAGAAATCATCATCAATAATTGGTTTATGTTTAAACACTGTAATGCACATTTATTTGCTTTGCTCCGTTTTATTTTGAAAATCAAAGAAAATATGAAGCTATTTCTGGATTTGTTATTGATACAGAAGATAAAACTCCATCAAACCATTTAGATATACATTGCGTTGTATAAAATATTTACTTAACTCTTTAGGTATATTAGTATCTTAAAAGGAACACATCAGCCAGTATGTGCGATTAAATAAACAAGAACACCACTTGTACGTATGAATGGGGAAAGACTACATTAAATGGTGAAAGTTCGTTCCCTGAGGACAACAGGTAAAATTAACAATGTATCGTATCACCGTTCAGTACGTTGAATGCATTCTTACTTTATATTTTAATTATGTAGTTTACACATAAAACTGACTGCTGTGATCATTAACAACATTATTACCAACTCGAATTCCCCATCCTATTGCGTTCAAGTAATTTCAAAAACACTTATCGACTACTACAAATACTCATTTGCCCAAAGTCCATTTTTCATCGGAATACATGTAAGCCAATTTGAGCATGCCTCACCTTATATACACGTCGGGCAAGCGTTTTATTATTTTAAGCTTTTATCTTACTTTTATCATTTTTACTAGTAAAGCATTAAGTGTAAGTCCCTAGAAGGGGTTTGACTATATGGAAGATACACAAATGACTTCACATTTACATCAATGGATATACGCAGTTTTAGAACTGAAAACAATAATTTGTTACATTCACTTTATTAGAGTTTTAATAATTAGACGCTCAACAATTAAAACAATTATTATCTTATGTTTAAGAAAACAAGAAAAAATAAAAATAAAAAAGGAAAGCAAACATGTAATGACATAAATCGGTGAACATTATTTATGACATAACAAGCATTCAAATGTTTTCTGTATCGACATATCACAGTTTTGTGGATTAATATTGTTTTCATTTTGCGTTCTCTTCACACGAAACGGTGCTAATGTCATCGGTGTGATGTATAATGTTGTCCTTTGAAATTGTATCCAGAGTTTGTTTTCTCACTTCAGTCAGATGTTTCTGGAATTCTGCATTTCTGGAATACAAATTACTGAATGTCGAAGCAATTGCTGCAATTGGCAATGCGAGGACAATGATTCCATTAATAGCACATAATATCCCAACGACATAGCCTCTTGTAGTGGTAGGATAAAAGTCGCCGTATCCAATCGTTGTCATGGTTATGAGAGACCACCACATGGAAATCTGTGGGCTAGCGAACATTGTCGATTCTATTTCGGAAGCGAATATAAGACAACCATACACAATAACAGCAATCAGAAATGAAAATAATAACAGCAATAGTTCTTTCACACTGTACCTCACAGATAGAAGCATTATGTGTAGGGCATCGTAGATTTTATGAAGTCTGAATATCAAAAGAAGCCGTAAGGCACAGCAACTTTTGAAAAAATGGTACATCTCACCGATTGCATAGTCATTTACCTTTAGTAGGTCTTTTCTGAATTCCAAGACAACGGACACCAACATTGCAATACAAAGAAATATCTTTAACCAATTGTAAACGTTTAAGAAGTACTTCCGTTTTATGGGGCATACAAGGAAATGGACGATAGTCTCAAGTACAAAGAAAACCACACAGAAAAGATCCAGGCATAGTAATGCTTGATGAGGATCCAGTAATACCAGCCTTATGATTTTCTCATTTATGTCGGCTATGTAGACCAAATAGTCATATAACTGTTGATCTTCAAGCACGTCGTCTAACTCTACGTCTTTTGTAAGATATGGAGAGACTCTGACAGATGGGTCCAACCAAATGATGTACACAACGACACTCAGTACAACCATAAATATGTAGAAATAACACCAAATCTGAAACAGATCATGATGAATTACTATACAGTATCAAGATCTGGAAACAAAGTGATCCCTCGGAAGCATTAATACGTTCACATCAATGCAGTATAACTTTAATTTTCATGTAACTTGGTCACCATATTAAATGTAGAAAGAAGTCATATTTACTCATATAGATATTTGTTCTATATGTCTCGTATATAGAAGATTCTAAGTGTAAGTTTAATACTGAATTCATTAAACGAGTTTAATAACATTTTATTATGCGAGTTTCTGGCGAGCATAATATTATTTTATTTAACGAGTTCAATAAATTCAGTAATGAACTTATATGAATTTAATATTCTATTTAGCACGTACCAAAAATAAGGACCGTTTAAAGTGAAAAAGAGTAATTTTTCATTGACGCGCCTACAGTATAACGCTAACATTTAGCGCGTCTTTACACTATGTGTGTGTAACGCAAAAGACGTCACGTCAAAGTATATGTACGGTCGTGCAATACCATATTTACGGGCACGGTTATATGATAAAAACTATAATTTTACACTAGCGTAATAACAATTTGACGTGACGACATTTGCGTTACATACAATAAAACACGCTGATTTAAGCGTTTTTATTCACTTTCGCAAGTCTTGGATAAAAAGTTTTAAATAGAATAAAGTGAAGCGCGTGATAAAATTTAACTCGACAAGTAATGTCCGTAATTTGCATCATCTTTATTGTTACTTATATCTCTATCAGAGGCTTAAAACAGTATATAAAGTTAAAATCTACAACCGTTGTCTTTTTCAGTATTTTCGACTTTCATTGCTTGATTACGCTTCGTCCTATTTTGTGTCAGTTTAATTTGAAAATTTATAATGACATAAAATACAAAGCAAAGGTTTAATCTAAAAATGTCAACATGTAAACATACCTTTGCAGCAGTTGAAGATCCAGGTTCATCAAGTAGAAGCCAAATCCTGAAAGCCATCGTCTGCTCATTTTCAGAGATCCCATCCACAATTCCATTGGTATTACTTCTGTCACTGGTACGTTTCTCGTCATCCGAAGAGATGAAATGCGCTATACATGCTTCAGCTTTAGTTTGGTCAACTTTATTACAAGAGTCATACTTGTTTCTATTCTGTAGAAGAATTTTATATGTGTCCTTGTCTGATTCAGCCTCATACATATATTTCCAGCAACAGGGAGCTACTAGTGTTAATGGTAATTTCCAAAATAGTATTTCCTCCTTAAACAACAATGGACACACATCCCTTGGCACATGAATGATTCCTTTTCTATGTGCATTTAATACATGTCTAAATAAAACAGGATCTGTGTCAAAGAAATATTTATCTTTTGTATCGTCAAGATTCGACAAAAAGCTTCCATCTATGGATTTGAGAGTAGATCTTTTCGTTTTAAAGATTGTACCACCTATGTCAAATTCAACCAAATCCATATTTGCTTTTGAAGGTACCACGTTTGAATTAGACTAGCTTAAAATTTACTTTAATAACGAAACTGAAAACTTTCCAAACTCAAAAATGCAATCGTGTAATTTATCAGGCGGCGAATTAAAAAAACACAAGTAGACTGAATGAAAATTATTGATTGTATTTTACCTACAGATAAACGGCAGGTAAATTTCAATATTCTTATACATATTTCATAACATGATCATCGATGTGTTCAGGCATTGGTAATTTGCGACCTTTTCCTGACAATGTTATTTGATTTAGACTGTCCTTTTTTTATAAATTAATACATATTTCTAAAATGAAGTAACACTGAATAAAATATAATGTTTATAGTAACCAACATAAAACATTGCTTCCTGTTATTTATGAACATGCTATTTTCCATTTCATTTTCATTTTATCATAAAAGGGTCAATTAGCTATAAAAGGCTTTTCATCAAGTCATTCTTCTTACACATTTTCGCATAGCCGCCTTTTACTGTTGGCTAATTAACAAAACATCACTTAAATAAACCTTGCCCGTTATCTCACACGGCAAAATTGATAATTTCACAGGCTGGGTCATTGTCGCAGTGGTGACCTTAACAATGATTGCAATGTTTTCGATTTCCTGAATCATCAACATTTGCAAGATACATTTCTACAAGCGACAGAACTTGATAAAAACAACGTCAAATGCAGGAAAATGGGCAAATATGTTGTAACATAAATAAGGAAAGGTTAAAATTTTACAAAGTTAAATCCCTACAGACTTGAGTATACAATGTATAATTTTTTGTTTGAATTTTGAAAAATGAATAATTTCAGAATAACAGAAAAGTTTCAATAATTTATTGTGCTATGCAGTGTTAAGGAAGCAACATAGTAATGTTTGTTTTTATGGTTTCCTGTAATCACTGTATCATTTGTCTTTGAAAAACAAACATGTAATGTTCAAATCCACATGTGCCAGTCAATCGAAGTCAATATTTGATCGTTCATTTCATGCCATTATAATATTGTATTTCTACTCTGGATTTTTATATACATGTACTAGGAAATAGATTTATGAATTATATATTATATAGACAACATTCTGTAGTTGGTTTAGAATAGATAAGTTAACAGCTCGTTTGTTTTCCAATTACACCAAATCAATCCTTGGTCTCGTTTATATCGTTGTTGTAAATGTCTATTGGTCTTTTTGTGCGCCACAGGCTTGTAAATATCCATTGTTTTTTGAGAGCCACTAGAAAACATTGAAAACTAGTGTAAATAATATTAAAAGCATTGCTAAAAGATATTATTTTAGTGATGTATATTACAATAACGAACAAAAAGTTTTTAAAAGAATTTTTACCGAGGGATGAAATAAAATTACAAATTCAAATAAATGATGCAATTATTACAATCTTCTCATATATATGAGATATTGTTCCTTCAAATGCTAAATCTACATTATCTAGCTTTTTAAAGATGTTACGAAAATTTTAAATAGTATTTGTTACTCAGCCGATCTCAAATGTTTTTTATTGTTGTTTATACTTTACAGTTTTTTTAATTAAAAAAACAAATGAGCCGCGTCACGACAAAACCAACATAGTGCGTTTGCGACCAGCATGGATCCAGATCAGCCTGCGCATCCGCGCAGTCTGATCAGGATCCATGCTGTTCGCTATCAGTTTCTCTACTTGTAATAGAGTTGGTAAGCGAACAGCATGGATCCTGATCAGATTGCGCGGATGCGCAGGCTGGTCTGGATCCATGCTGGTCGCAAACGCACTATGTTGGTTTTGTCGTGACACGGCTCAAATATTGATTCACATAATCAACTGTAATATCAAAACATAAGACTGGCGTTAAAGATAAACTAAGCTCTCTGTTACGTTTTATATTATATGCATTTATCGACACTTTTGATTATTTACGAAGATGTTCTAAATAGCACTTCATTGGGTTTTGGACTAATACATGTCGTCAGTTTAGAATGTAGAAGGTTTAAAGGGATTCTATTTGGTATGGTGGCATTATTTACCATAGGCATAATTTCAATCATCACACTCATATATCTGTATCAGACAATGAAATCCTTGACACCTGGTTTTGACTCCTGCATACATGTAAGTTAAAAATTACATCAAAATACAACAAAAACGTAACTAACCATGCTATTCAAGTAGCACTTAAATGAAAATGATACAATATGTAAACAAAGTCTCGTTTAGAATTTTATGTTTTAAATCAATATATATCATGTTTACAATAAAAAATAAAGACGCATTCTTATATGAGAAAGTGAAAATACCAGTATAAGAATGTGAAAAATGACGTGAAATTTTGACAAAAAGGGATGATAACCAATCTTTAGGATACATGCATTACGTTTTATTTGAACTTTCACCACTGTATACATTATTTCATGTTTATACGAGTAGCTATTATGTTGTTGTATGAATACCTTGGGCAAAAACGTAACAATTAGATAAGATGTACATGTTTTATTTAAATTAAACAAGTAAAGACACATTAAACATACCAATCCTTGGTAAAGTATATTATCAAGCATAATGAAAAACACTGTACAAAGAAACTAGTATAAAATACTTTCTGTAAAAAATAGAAGAAAAAGTTACAAACAAGTGACACGTTTTATACAAATCTTAAAGCATATGATGATGATTGTGATACAAGAAGGAACAGTAATTCGAACAAATATAGGTTTCTCCTATATACGACAACAAATCAGATTTTCAAATACTGTTTTATATCGGCTTAATTTTTATAATCATCTTCAAGACCAAATCATATAAAACATTTTAACATGATATTTGAAAGTTAGTTCTCTGAAAATTTGGTCTAAGAAGAAAAATATAAACGTAAAAAAGATAAGGCAAGGCAATCATAATTAATTATTTGATGAATAGTAATTTGGAAACAACAATACGTATTTGTAAAATGAAAAGTCAAAATTAAAAGACAATAAAGTCTTTTTACACATTTTGCACACTAACTTGTCTGGCGGAACCCCATATCAATACAATGTATTCTTAATAATCCGTCAACAGGATGTCAGTCAATTCTGCTCAATCTGGTTACAATTTCTTCCGAAATCAACTTAAAAAAGCCCAGAAAACCACCAAAGCGTCTACATTGTTGACTCTACAAGCGTCGCTTATGTACAGATGCGTCTATAAGGTGCGTTTTTCCAGTCATAACATCCCTAGTCTATTCGTAAAACCTCTTCCGTTAATTTTCATCGACGTAGGTGGTGTCACCAAACTGCACACTATTTCCGTTTGTTTTCTCCTCGATTTCAGATTCTTCTTTCTGTATGACATACGTTTGTAATTATACATCACTGTATTTAAAGTTTAATGAATAATTTTAATGAAAATATTGTTTGTCTATAATCTTTTTATTATTATTTTCAAGTTTAGATAACATTTACAAAAACTGGACATTTCACATTGCTTATAATTTTCTCGAGTACATAATTTGTACTAAATGCAACTTTTAAATACAAAAGTGAAGCAATATAATTTTAACAGACAGAAATAAGTAGAATAATTTTAGAATAATTTTATCTGATAAAACATAAACGTTAATTTCCTTTTTTAGCCATCTTTCTTTTACGTTAGAAATACATGTACTTGTTTGTCTCGCTATTGTAAAATATTATACAAAAATATTCGTTATTTTGATATCTTACTTTCTAAATAACTATAACAACCACCTTTTTCTTTTTTCTCTCTTGAGTGAACTTGAAGATGATCAAACCGATTTCGTACAACACAGCAAGAACAGCGAAGGCAATTAGAAAAATAAACACACCAAACATGTTAGAAATGTTCAACTCTGATGCTGTATTTGTCTTGGATCCAGCGTCCGAAGTCTTGACAGTGCAGTTTGACTTTTGGCTTGTCCACCATCTGACGATATATTTAAAATAGAATTCTCGTGTTTTAATAAGATGAAAGAATCTTAAATGCTTTGAATTAAAGTCGATAAAGGATGTCAACATACTTATTTGATATGTGTGATTTATTTACTTGTCAGCAACCGTGCCAAAGTTATAAATGATCCTAACACAGGCTCAATCCATGATTTAAAGGAAACAACTATCTTAATTGTTTAACATACCAAACATAATTAAATATTTGTTAATGAAAATATAAAAATAAAAGCAGTTATGCTTTACGACAGAAAGATTTAAATGGTGTTATAGTATTGACAAAAAGAAAGTTATAGCATTGATACTGTTAAAGAACGTTAAAGAACAATTTTTCAGTTGTTTACTTAGCAAATACAGAAAACAAATTACTTGTCTCTAAGTCGGTCTAAGACCCCGTTTTCTTTGAGTTGTAAAAGAGCTCTATTGATATCGCTTCGATATGGTGCTCCTTTTGGGAACCCTATACTGAAGTGTTTGACTCCAAAATTTTCTTCTATAGACTCAAGCTCACAGTTCTGCTGTGCATTATAATTATTTATAACGCCGTCGTCAAGGTAAATGAATTCCGCTTTTCCACTAGAAGTTGGTACTCCGTTTTGAACAAAGTCCAAACCCTTCTTCCTTGTAGAAAGTAATGAGATGTCTTCGTACAGTTTCATAAATGTCCACATACGTTCATAAGTGTCATCCCTGTGAAGTTAAGTGAAACTTGATTTTTAGACATAGCATTAACTCATAAAGAAGTGTTACATATTTGTTGGCTGAAGTAATGTCATAAACAGTATGTGTAAACCTACCACAACCCTGAAATAACCATTTAAACAATAAAAAACGAATTTAATGAACTGAATTGTAATGATACTTTTATTCCAAAAAAGCAGACTAAAAATCCAGGGCTAATTGCATTAAATCATTTACAGTTTATTTTTCCGATTTTTTTATCTACATCATCGAGTATGTAAACTTCTTTATTTATATTACTCAGAATATAACCTTCATTGCTTATTAAAAAGGAGTATGCGCGTAAATACCTATTAAAATGCTTAAAAGTATTTTTATTTTGAACAAGATGTTATTAACATGCAACATTGACAAAAAGTCACTCTTGCCTGGATTCTCTAAAGAACTGCATAAGGTCACTGTTGTTGAGGATACCGTATTTGACGTTTGATTGTCTGGCCAAAGAATCTACAGTTTTGATTCGGTTGTCAATCTGTTGGAGGGTAAGAAATGCTGCAAGGTTTGCAGTGTATGCAGCATTTATCACTAAAGTACAGAACCAGAAAAACGCGATAATAGTGCGCATGGATGTCGTTTGTGGTGAGTATTCGGCAGAACCTGAAAAATAACTATACATTTAATTACTGTTTAAATAATTTAAAAAAAAAACTTTTCAGGGTGGATGTCCGATACATCACATTCCAACATCTGAAAAAAACGTTCCAGGTTGTAATATGAATATGTGCTCTAAACATAAATCTTAAATATCGTTTCATTGCTATTAAAAGTATTTGAATGTATTAAAATTTCATGTAACTATTACTTTTACAAAATACTAATTTCAACAACACTAAAGAATTTTAAAGTAATGCCAGCAACTATATAGCTTCAAATTGAAATATGCAAATTAGCACTGAGTAATTCATTTCTACTGATATGTCCAAATAAATTGGGTAAAAAAACGCCTAATGGAAAATGGAAATTGATATCGTAGATGTTACGTTTTCTAGTTATACATGTAATAGAGGAACGTTCACGACATACCTTGCAGTAAAATTGTCAGAGAGTACCACATACTCTCCTTGAGGTCAAACTTTTGTTCAGATTCTTCTTGGGTAGAATCAAATCTTGCCATAAAGTACAGACCAAGACCAACCGATAAGAAGAACACAACGATCATCATCCACAGCAAAGGTGAAAATGGTCCTAGAAACTAAAATCAAAAAGCTGTACTTAGAAAGATCACTAACTGAGACAACTAGATGTTTTGTTTATTGATAGAGTTGTTTCCCATTTAATATGGGTTGTTTCATGTCTTTAGCAAATAAATTACATGTAGATGTAAAATGTTCTTTAAAGTTGAAATATTGTTATCCAGGGCTTTGAGTAATATCTTATTGCGAGTTGTTTTTAATTCTTACATGGTGCTGATTTCATAAAAGAAGTCATCATTTTTGTATGATTTGAAACCATTAGGAATTTTATTGATTCATAAAAATTAGAAGATATAGTTTTTAAAATTATGGTAATTTTATCATACCAAATTTAAAAAAACATACCTGAAAGTAGTTTGTCGTATCCGGGGGCTTTTTCATCAGCAAGCTGACTGCAGACGATATTATAGTGTACGAAAACGATATTTTGGCTTCCCTTTGAGCAGTGACTGCAAATGCACCTATTGCCATCGAAGCATTCTGAAAAGTACATTTGATAATTGTTCAGAAGAAAACCATTATAAATAAATACTTTCTATATAAGAATGAAAAATGAAAATATAAACGTATTGCAATTGCGTCAATGGATTTCATGGAACTTGTGGTATGTAAAAATCTGGAAGGTAAGATCAACTGTCATAAAATAATAAAGCTTTGATTCATGATGTTATAGATGGATGAACAAAGGCGCAACTTTTCCTTTTTCTTGCAACGTCTAATGCATTAGTCAGTCTGAAACAATACAATATTGGAATCAATGATTTCCAAGGACTAGACAAAATATTAGCACTGAGATACACGTGTCTTCGTATGGTGACATTAAATAACCGTTGTCTCGGCTTTCATAGAAATAACATAACGTATTGGGATTGCATATATTTAAAAATTACTAACGATATCAAAGAAAATCATACTTACCCCGACTTTAAGTTGCGTTATAATATCATCCCAGACTGTAGATTTCCCGTTTTGATTTATAGTTGAACCCTCAAGTTCAAAAATTTCGTAGTCAAACTTCAGACTTCTTGATAATTCTGTTAAGACATCAACACAAAAACCCTCGTATTTATCACCGTTCTTCATAACAAACGGCTCATCCTGTGCAATAAATATTTTTATATAAAACTTTAGTAATGGACGTTCCAATAAATGCGTAGTACTTTTAAAGACAATAATTATTATAACTTAGATCATGTGAAATGACTGATTGCCTTTTTGTCTTCGAGTTACTTTTTCAATGTAATTTAACTAATTTTTATTCTGTAAGAATCATGGTATATAATATACAATAACTTATTATAAAGTACTTTTATTTTCCTGAAGCATAAGCATACGTACTTGGAATGAATCTATTGAACAATGTTCAACATAAAAAATGACTTATACATGTACCAAAAATGAAAAATGGTTCACTTTATTTCTCACCTGTTTAGCAATGACATCAAACTTTTTACCCATGAAGGGATCCTTAACATGAGGTTCTTCACTTAGCATAAAGGCGTTTACTTTTGCCTCATTCTTTCCAAAAGTAACCTGAGCAAACTGTTTGAATATATAATGAGTGTTTTAGATTTTGTTTGCATACATCATATACTATGTATACCATCAATCAAATATTTATAAAACTGTAAGTATATCTATTAGATTTACAGACATAGAAGTGATGTCTATAAGAATTGTATGGCTTGAAAATAAAAAAAATAAAAGAAAATATACTTTATATATGTATAAGGATATTTTAATAGAAGTTTTCAAACGTTGTATGCATAAAAAACAAGATTATTTTCAAAACAGATTATTTTGAAGGGTTAAAGTTTATTTATGAATAAATATGTTCCGATTCATACAACAAATGCGTACCCTCTCAATTCCATTGATATATCTGTAGATTGCGATAGGGTAGTCTTTTCTAACGTTTGACGTCTCTTTTTGACTAACCTTTGGCCAGATGTAGTCACCTAGTGCTCCACTGTACGGTGTCACCTTAATCACAATAATAGCGAGAATTTAACATGTAACAAACACATTTCGTTAAGGTATACAACAATTTGAATAACCTGCCTCAGGCATAATAGACCCTTATAATGATTTACCCTTTTCTTGAAAAGCACCAGCTCTTTATGATATAAAATATACTAAATTAAAATATCACGTTGCTTATAGTTTATAAGTGGTCCATAACGGGCATATATTTGTCAATTTTAGTTTATAATCTATAAACGCTTTTTATAGTAGCAATGCATTGATTTAGAAATTGTAAAAGAATCAAAGTTCATTGGCGTTTTTGCATAAATAACAAGATTCTGTAAATATTTGAATAAAGCATACAGATATCCATTTCAATTGAAAATGTACATGCAAAAATGCATTAACCTTTATCATTGGATTGAATGCATGTAATGATGTTTTTGTAATTGTTACTTATAACATTATAACCTTTTAATAATGATAGAATTCATTTACGTACCCTCATGAGTGACAACAGTATATAAATAACACATGGGTTTGTGGGTAACAGTAAAAATATGATCCCAAGGAAAATACAGTATTTTTACGAGGGATGATATTCTTATTGTTACTCACAAACCCCATGTGTTATTGACTTTTTACCAGGAGCAATAACTGTGATGATTTTTTTATGAATTTTTTTCTTTAGAAAATAAACCGTGTGACCAGATTTTATACTGCAGTACAAATTTCTTAGTACAATGGTACACTTGCATTAACAGTATTAATAACTCCCAGTGGTTTATGGGAAATTAACAATGGGTAATAATATAAATTATCTTAATATGCTCCCTTTTTGATGTCAAAATATCGACTATTACAGTATTCGTTTAAAAATCGACAGGCATATTTGAGATGAAACTACTATAAATTTGTTTGATAAATGTAATAAACCGAAATGGTTATGATATTAAAGGCACATTATGCCTCAAGAACAAAGAAATTTTACTTCCTTAGAAAAGGCAAACATGATTTGTATCATGTTTAAATAATGCAAGATGCTCGTTACCTGGAGTAAGAAGCGATAAATGTGAAATTTATTGTCATAAACGTAGTAAACAAAGTAGTATTTTGACTTCCATACAAAATAATAATTCCCTATAACTCTACTTATTGCCAAATAGCAACATATGTAAAAGATGGTTTTGGTAATAGGCCAATGAGTAACTCTTTTTGATTTTGGATACTATAAATACACCAAAATTAAAAAAAGCTTTTTAGAAATAAAAATAAAAGCATTTCTGAGGAATAGTATACCTTAAAAATTGTTCTTAATATTTTACAAATAATGTTATAGGAAATAAAACACAATGCAAACTTTATTGGTTAATAATAATATTAATAACAATATCTGTAATTGTAAAAAATTATGTAAAAATTATATACATAAACAATGTAATGTACAATTTAATAATTATGGTTCTTACAAGCTTTACTTTACTTCTTTGTTATACAGATTTGCCAATAGAGTGCATTATAACATGATATATTTGAGCCGCGCCATGACAAAACCAACATAATGGGTTTGCGACCAGCATGGATTCAGACCAGCCTGCAGCGCATCCGCGCAGTCTGATCAGAATCCATGCTGTTCGCTATCAGTTTCTCTACTTGTAGTAGAGTTGGTAAGCGAACAGCATGGATCCTGATCAGACTGCGCGGATGCGCAGGCTGGTCTGCATCCATGCTGGTCGCAAACGCATTACGTTGGTTTTGTCATGTCGTGGCTCATATATATGCACTGAATAATTATTCAAAAGAACTGCTTACACGTCATATGACGTCAGTTTTTAAGTCATTAAACTAAATGCCGGCATTATGATTATTTCACCTCTCAGTGTAGTTCAGCATATATTTTTATTCATTGATTCAATTTCTATTAGCATGTTAAAATGGCAAAATATATTAAATGTTCGTACATTACTGTACAATAACACATAGCTTATTGTTCAGATGTTTGGTATTTGATCACCCAGATCTACTAACATTCCATATGTTATCATTGAGGTATCGTCTAGCATTATTCTATAACGATGCTCTCAAATTGATATCTATTCCAGAAATTGTGGATACTGATATTAAATAAATGATGATTAAATTGATGCAACATAATAGCATACAAAATTCCCATGCACATTTCATAATAAAAACATTGAATTAATCAAATTATTTTATGTTCCCAATTGTTATACATTCAATTTACTCATAATCATATTAACTTTCTCGTTACGTTGTTATCTATTAATAATGATAACATGACTTTGAAATGTCTACTCATATTACAAGAATAATACTATTATTGTAAAATTGCATACAGTTAAGTGACAGTTTGTACAATTATAAATGTTTAGAGTACCGTATCTTTTAGAAATTTAATCAACTTGTATTTAAACCGCAACAATCTGGAAGAAGCACTATGGCTCCAAAACTAGTCTTGTTTGAACAATATCTGATATTAACTGATTTTTCGTATTTTAATATAATACCTACCGGTTTCTACATCATCAGGGCAAATATATATTAAATTTTACGAGAATAAGAATAAGCATCATGATTAAGTACTTTGTGACTTTAGATTTGACAATATGCAAATTATTATAAATATTTAATTATTATGCACTTCTCCATGTCACGTTATAATCACTATCAATCAACTGATTATTGTTTTAATTGTTAGCTGTTTCACGTTTGGCCTGTAAAATTTAGTTCTCTATATTGACTCAGGGTTAATGTATATCTATATTTATATGAATAGTTGACCCGGTACAAATGAATTTTCAAAGAAATATTACTAATATAGCTATTACTAATTCAAATGAGAATAGACCTTTAACAGTCAAATGTTTTAACGCCAACTTTGATGATCAACATTTACTCATCTTTTATAATCATCGCCTCCATAGTTATTTGATATCTGATATTATTTGCCTTGTTTTAGTCTAATTATTCCATGTTTTAGAAGTTAACACATTCGGGGTTTGTATGCAAATATGTTGACGTACTGACAACTGTTAAACCTGTCTGTGTTACAACTTCTATGAGACCATGTTCATTACAAAAATGTTGTCAGAATTTGATGCGATAAAACAAAAATTATATCTTACAGATTTCAAAATTAATGTCAATTTTCCTAAAATGCCTAGATATTACAATCAGTTATATAGTGAGACTTAGATCTACTTTAACCTGGACCTTATACATGTAATTGGTCTATTTTTCATAGGTCAAGTCCATTCATTTTTGATAATGCAATTTCTATGATGTTATGAGAGAATTAAAAATTTTCTGCTGTTTCTCAAACATTCTGAAACGGCCTTGTGAATTAAAATTATGTGACATTAAATAAAACAGTGAAAATAAAATAAAAGCATCTTATAATTGTTCATTGAGAATGCTCAAAACATTGGAATTCCTTCGGATATAATTATAATTAAAAGAAGAGTAAAAAAAAACAGACTTGATGAAATACAAGGCGTTCCTGGAAAGTAACTGTAAACTATATTTGAATTTAGGAAATAATAATAATAATAATAATAATAATAATAATAATAATAATATTTTTTGCTCGCTCTTTAAGTAGCACCAACACAGTATAGGTCATATGGCGTCTTTCCAACTTTAGTGGGGTTGGAAAAGCTTTTGTGAATTATGTCAGGCATAATAACAATAATTATATTCAAACGCATAAATATGATACTGCAAACAAACAATGCACATATTGCGTACATTATATCATACATGTAACAGAACATACTTTTTATTCTCTCAGGTACATATTACAGTATGAGGAAAATAAAATATAAACCAGATTAAAGTATGACAATTTTATCAAATACGACTTTCGTTTAATTTTATCAAGCTTTCTTTTGAATCAATTTTCTAATTTATGACCGACATAGTTTCATTTGGGATGAAAAGCATAAATTGTATACAATCATACAAATATAAAAAACAATATAAAATAATTAGTTATGCACGTGAAAATGTTATAATGCAATGCTGTATAAAAAATCAAATTGCTTTATGAGAAAATAACATAAAATGTTGTTTATTCCATGCAGCATGATTTCCAATTTTCCCATGCATTATACATCAAAGATCGTAGTCATGAACTCATTACTATACGGGTTTACTCATAATTTTAGTACTGATTATTGTAAACTTGATTTTCATTTCCGATACATTGATATATAAGTCAAACATGGAAACCTTAAAGAACGCCAGAAAACGGCAAAACTGATAATGCTGCAGGCTCGGTTTGACCGAGTCTTTTCAAATACAGTATTGGTAATTGCAAGCTGTAAATCCAGTATTAACAAGCTCTCAAATCTAATAAACAAAGTTAATCACGTAATCAACTTCATTTTCGTCATAAGAATAGATGTATTGAGATATATCTGCTCGTCTCCCACACCACCCTCTGCCCTCTAAAATAGCAAAACAACAAAACCTATGACTATAAAATTAAACTTCTTCGGCAGAAGTATCACAGCACGTTCTTTGGAAAATTCCATGTAATATATTACAGTAACTTATAAACAAGATTTCATTGAACCGAATCTACAACTCTGGACTGGGGGTTCCATGATCACATCTGCGAATGCTCGTAAATTCAACATTTCACCATTTTTGTGTTTACATGTTGAACTCTACTAAAGCCGGTGCTAGCGGTGTCGGCGGTAGCTTATAGTCATAAACAGGTCTAAATAAAAACCGAACATTTTGCCGTATTGTGCGTTCGTTAGGGATGCTGTTGGTTCTCTATTTTGGTATCAAATGTAATCTAAAAGCAAATCAGTGTTTGGATATTGCGATAAAAAGGCGAGTTGCTAACAGTATGTGATAATTAACAACATTCCAGGTCATATTATCATTGATTAATGATGCCTATACACTGTATACAGCGATGCTTTAATGGTGCCTACTTGATAGTGCCCTATACCGACAAATAACCATGCGGCAGATAGAATCACGAT